ACTGGTCTGGCGATTGCGTCTAGCTAGTTATCTTCCCTTCTGTAATTGAAAATAGTAATCTATCGATTGATTTAATTTTGTTATCTCCCTTTTGTTTCTAAAAGTTTAATTAATTTTTAATGAATAATTAAGAATCTAAATAAATAAAAAATTAGATACACTTGTATTGTCATCAACGTGTAACTTGTTTGGAAAGTTTGAACGAAATCGTTGCATTAGAAGTGGGTCAAAATTGACTTACAAGATTTGCCACAAACACACAAACAAACAAACAAACAAACAGACATAATGAACTAAATAAAAGCTTGTAATAAAAATTAATATAAAGATTCAGGGGCGTAGCGAGGGGGGGGGGGCGGGGTTGCGGACCGCACCGTGTGACACCATTTAGGGGGGTGACACCAAGGCAAAAAATAGCAAAATATATAGAGAAAAACTTGAGGGGGGGGGGGTGCAAATCGAAAACTTGAAGGGGGTGCAAATCGAAAGTTTGAGGGAGGGGGTGCAAATCGAAAACTTGAAAGTTTGTCCCCGGGAAGGGTCGTACGCCTCTGGGGGGTGACACCATTAAGTGCCGCACCGGGTGACACCCGACCTCGCTACGCCACTGTAAAGATTACGACAAACCTTAACAACAAAATTAATCTCAAGCGATCAGCCTGTTTTGAACATGTTTTGTTTGTCGCGGACGGTTGGTTTGTACAATCGTTGAAAGAGGAAGCTATCTGTCTACAATAGATCACGATCTACTGATTGGGTTTTTAAAGCAAATGTTTTTTGTCATATATATTAGAACGAATTAGTAAAAGATTATAAAAATAAAACATGTTTTAACCTTCATAATTTAACCTTTTGAAGTCACTGAAAATTTAAAACCAACTTGCTTTCTTTAATAAAAGCATTAGTCTCCTACATTTTTTTCACGGAGCAATGCTTTTAGAAAAGAAATCAAGTTTTTTAAGTTTTATTTTTGCTACGAAAAGCTAATTATGAAGGGTGTTTGATATTTGTTTGGTTCTTTTTAATTTATACTATTTTTATCTTCAAATAAAAACTAACGCAGTACAGAATATTAAGAATGTTTTTTTTATGTAAAAAGAATAGTTACAAAATAAATATTTAAAAATTTTTATTATAATAAGCTTTTTAATGCACTGAAAATAATAAAACATAGCCTACTTGCTAGCTTTAATAAAATTAAAAGTATTAGTTTGTCACGTTTTAATGACCAAAGTTTTGTTAAAGAAAGTAAGTTTGTTTTATTTTATTTTTTCAGTAAAATTAAAAGCTGATTTTATAATGTTTTCTGTACGTTTTCTTTCAAGATTTTTTTTTAGTATGTCTGACCCTCTTCCCTTCATTTAGTGTTGGAAAATCTTGTAACTCAGTTTTGACCAACTTTGAAATGTAGTGATCTCGTTTCTAACATTCAAGATACGTTAGTCTCCAAAGACAACGCAAGAATAATAAATTCACATTTAATCAGATATTAAATTAGTCATTAAAAGTAATTTATAACTAAGTCCCAGAAAGGGAAATAATCGGATATATCTCAAGTGAACACCCGAAAAGACTGGTAACAGCGTGAAGTCTACAGATTGTTGATTTTACTCATGAGAGCCATGCACGAATATTATGATTTATTTATATTCAGTTTCATAGACGGCAGACTACCGATTGGCTTTTAAAAAGCACTTGTATCCTTAGTTATGTCGATCTATTCGAGAACAAAAATTACTGAAAAGGGAGAATAAAACATAAAAATAATCTTATAATGATCAATTTTTAAATGCACTGAAATTGTTTTTGAAACAAAGCGAAGTGGCTTTATTTACATAAAGCATTGGTTGCTAGTGCAAATTCTGATATATTATAGCGACCAATGCTTTTACTTTAAAAAGCAAGTTTTAAAAATATTTCTTTACAAAGTGTTTTATTAGTCAATTGTATTGTAGCACACACAATAAACACGATTGACCAATTTGCTGCGCGTTTTTTTTTTTGTTCTAATTAAATCATTCATCTCCTGCTGTGTAACATCCTTGTAGTCACTAAGTTGTGGACGTGAGGGTGTAAGGAGGGCGATTAGGCGAGGAAAGAAAGCGAAATGTCATTCCGCATTAAAAAAGACACCTGTCTTCAACACAGAGAAAATGTCTCCCGACAGTAGAGTTCCCAGCAGTAGGGCGCGCAACAATTAGTCTCACTTCAAAATACCTGCAGACCCCGTCCCAGACTCTAGTACCGTCGTACGTAGAGTATAGAGCTCAAGCTGCAGCTTAATTAAGCTCCCGCGGAACAAAAGGCTCTCCTCACTGTTCATTGGGCGCCGGGATCCTTGCGTGCTGCACATCTCGACATAGCTCGTATCGTGTGTGAGGATCCAGAGATTATTAAACTACACCTGTTAAGGTTTAATCACCCAGCAAATCTTTTTTTAAATATTAAACTCCCGCTGCATATTTAGTTCACGCAAGACATTGCATTCTTGCTGTTCATAAGCTCATCTTATACATTAAGTAGTGTGCTCTAAGCCATGAACATACTACACCTTTCTTATTAACTGGTTCGATTTTAGGAGTCATATTTTCGGTGGCCGTTTTATTGGGCGATTATGATGGAGTTATGTCAAGGGGCACTAAAAATCTCCACCAGGATAAAAATCTCCACAAAGAAAAACAGAAAACAAAAAGCTGAAACAGGTTCAACATCAAAAGTGCTGAATGATGTCCTACAGTATAAGCTTGATTTTTGCTCGGTCAAGGCCGGCCACCTCTTTATAAAACATGGAACCGCGCGTGGACTGCAGTTAATGAAGGTCAGGTACACATTTTTATACAACTCTCTGAGACTGAAGGTCAGGTACACATTTTTATACAACTCTCTGATACTGAAGTTGGGTTACAACACTTGCCAATACATTACAAAATACAAAAAACTCCAAACTATTTTTTTCCATAAATGTATGCTTTTAATTTGATTTATTTTTGACTGCATCTTTGATATCACATTTATATGAGTATTGATTGAAAATTAAACAATCAAAATTATTTAACTAAGATAAACTGTGAGCAGCTTGCTAAAAATGTTGCAAATTATTACTTCAGTCAAATGGAGTAACTGAAGCCTTTCTGCAAGCCTGTGATCAATTTTTGTGTGAATTTTTGCCTAATCTGGCCACTAATAACCAGTTTGTTAACTGAGCTCTTGCTGGACATGATAGCCTCACACAGGGCTGTAGAGATCTGCTGGACATGACAGTCTCACACAGAGCTTTAGAGATCTGCTGGACATGACAGCCTCACACAGAGCTGTAGAGATCTGCTGGACATGATAGCCTCACACAGAGCTGTAGAGATCTGCTGGACATGATAGTCTCACACAGAGCTGTAGAGATCTGCTGGACATGACAGTCTCACACACAGCTGTAGAGATCTGCTGGACATGACAGTCTCACACACAGCTGTAGAGATCTGCTGGACATGACAGTCTCACACACAGCTGTAGAGATCTGCTGGACATGACAGTCTCACACAGAGCTTTAGAGATCTGCTGGACATGACAGTCTCACACAGAGCTGTAGAGATCTGCTGGACATGACAGTCTCACACAGAGCTGTAGAGATCTGCTGGACATGACAGTCTCACACAGAGCTTTAGAGATCTGCTGGACATGACAGCCACACACAGAGCTGTAGAGATCTGCTGGACATGACAGTCTCACACAGGGCTGTAGAGATCTGCTGGACATGATAGCCTCACACAGAGCTGTAGAGATCTGCTGGACATGACAGTCTCACACAGAGCTTTAGAGATCTGCTGGACATGACAGCCACACACAGAGCTGTAGAGATCTGCTGGACATGACAGTCTCACACAGGGCTGTAGAGATCTGCTGGACATGATAGCCTCACACAGAGCTGTAGAGATCTGCTGGACATGATAGCCTCACACAGGGCTGTAGAGATCTGCTGGACATGATAGTCTCACACAGAGCTGTAGAGATCTGCTGGACATGACAGTCTCACACAGAGCTGTAGAGATCTGCTGGACATGACAGTCTCACACAGAGCTTTAGAGATCTGCTGGACATGACAGTCTCACACAGAGCTTTAGAGATCTGCTGGACATGACAGTCTCACACAGAGCTGTAGAGATCTGCTGGACATGATAGCCTCACACAGAGCTGTAGAGATCTGCTGGACATGATAGTCTCACACAGAGCTGTAGAGATCTGCTGGACATGACAGTCTCACACACAGCTGTAGAGATCTGCTGGACATGACAGTCTCACACAGAGCTGTAGAGATCTGCTGGACATGACAGTCTCACACAGAGCTGTAGCGATCTGCTGGACATGACAGTCTCACACAGAGCTTTAGAGATCTGCTGGACATGACAGTCTCACACAGAGCTGTAGAGATCTGCTGGACATGACAGTCTCACACAGAGCTGTAGAGATCTGCTGGACATGACAGTCTCACACAGAGCTTTAGAGATCTGCTGGACATGACAGCCACACACAGAGCTGTAGAGATCTGCTGGACATGACAGTCTCACACAGAGCTGTAGAGATCTGCTGGACATGACAGTCTCACACAGAGCTGTAGAGATCTGCTGGACATGACAGTCTCACACAGAGCTGTAGAGATCTGCTGGACATGACAGTCTCACACAGAGCTTTAGAGATCTGCTGGACATGACAGTCTCACACAGAGCTGTAGAGATCTGCTGGACATGACAGTCTCACACAGAGCTGTAGAGATCTGCTGGACATGACAGTCTCACACAGAGCTGTAGAGATCTGCTGGACATGACAGTCTCACACAGAGCTGTAGAGATCTGCTGGACATGACAGTCTCACACAGAGCTGTAGAGATCTGCTGGACATGATAGTCACACACACAGCTGTAGAGATCTGCTGGACATGACAGTCTCACACAGAGCTGTAGAGATCTGCTGGACATGACAGTCTCACACAGAGCTTTAGAGATCTGCTGGACATGACAGTCTCACACACAGCTGTAGAGATCTGCTGGACATGACAGTCTCACACACAGCTGTAGAGATCTGCTGGACATGATAGCCTCACACAGAGCTGTAGAGATCTGCTGCTGCTCTGGTGTAACCAATCACAAGACCAGGCTCAAAAATTGGGTCATGAACTGGTTCAGAGCTGGTAGCGCAAACTCTCTAGTTACATTTGTTACTGGGTTAACAAGTCTAATTTGCTTGAACAATTAAAAATGAACTTACAGTGGGTAAAATTATTAAGATAAATTACAACCAAAATATGCATCTCTATAATGCATATTTTTGTCTACATTTTTCATCAAAGATAACACACTAATACATTAAAAATCTAAGCGGCTTCTTCAAGACTTTAGCTGAAATTATTCAAACTATGATACATGAAAATGAATTATTCATTCCATTAAAAAGATATTTAAAATTTTTGTACACATAAATAAAGAAAATAATAACAAATATTTAAAGATGAAGTTATATGCAAGTCACAGTCAAATAATTCTGCAGCTTTAAACTATTCACTGGAACCTGAATGTTCAATATCATTTCAAAAAATTAGTGGAGTTGATAAAACAATGTTAAAATAATGATGGCATACTGCTCAGGACAGTCCCAAAATTCACACAAATCCTTTAGCAATCAGAAATAAAATCACATTATTTCAACTGTTAACAACAGGTTTTGTTTTCTATTATTTGATTCATTAGTCACAAGATCAGCAGCTACTGTATACCCAACACAATGAAATGTAAAATGACAAGAATTTTCTTGTGAATTTCTGACTAGAGACACAGGGCTGAACACAGGGCTAAAACAAGGGAAGACAATTGCCATGTAAAGTGTATAATTGTATAATAAGAGACAGCATTTAAAACAAAAAGTTAATAAATAATACTGTAACCATATTGGCTTAGTTATGAAACATTTGGAAGACATTTAAATAAACAATGATTACAGATAGAATTGTACATTATTTTAACTGACTTCATATACCACAACAAAATTATCTAAGTAAAAAGCAAAGCTTAGCCAAAAATAAATTTGTCTACCAAAAAAAAAAAAACAGGTTGGAAGTGTTTTAGTAAGAACCCACCAATGACAGCACAGGCATGTGACAGACATTGGGTAATAACAGGCTAACCAGATATAAGTTTCATCTCCACATTGCTGGGCCAGGATATCTTAGAAATTACAATTACACAAGAACACTATCATGACTCAAGATTTTCTTTCACAAGATCACCAACCAGAAGTTGAACAGATAAATTACCCATGTGATATATCTATCACAAAAACAAACTTACCCCACTACCAAAAACAAAAAGATATTCAAAGACATGCAGTCCACTGGTTTACATGATCTTTGATCAAGTTTCAAATCAAACATCTACACCAGAAAACTTTGTTCTAGTCATCTCCATTCACCTGAAACTGTTCAAGTAAGGTCAGCTATGTTTGACCACTGCCACAGTGAAGGCAGTGTGCATGTCTGACAGCTTCAATGACAATCAACTGGACAGTTCTCAAAACTAGCACTGAATGCTAGAGTAGTGGTTCTTATATAACTCATTGACAGATCTCAATTTGAAAAGTTTTTTCTCTGAGCAAAGTGGGGCAGATTTAGCACCTGGTCACTGCTGCATGATGCTTGACAAAAATTATAGCAGACAGCTCCTTACAAAATTCTTCTAGAACAATTATGGCTTCCATTCTGCTTTGGTCTTCAAACCTGTTAAAACATTTTAAATTTTAAAAGCTGTGTCTTGCAAATAAAAACTAGAATATATACTGTTTATATAATTTTTTTAATAACTGCTAACGTTGAACAACTATCAAAAAATAAAAGTAATGACATTCATTTTTTAAAGTAAAATTTTCTAAAATAAATTAAATTTTTTCTAAAATGTTTTATTATAACAGTATTAAAATTACTGCCATGCAAAATCAAAACATGCATAAACAAATCAGCTATTGAGAGTATTAAGTTTAAAAAATGTATGGCCAATAGTTTAAAATTAAAGGTGTCAAAATAAAACAACAAGTCAACAAGCTTATTCTAGCAATTCGAGATTCATTTATAACTATTATTTCCCTAACAACATACAAACAAAGTGTAGATTTAAAGCAAACTAATGGGTAAAATAAATAAAGAAATCATTTTAAATAATTAAGACATCCAATTACATTTGTTTAGAATTAGTACCTTTACTAAATATTACTATCTTTAAAGATGCAATGCAATCATTTTAAATACAAAGGGAGTTAGTACAATAGTTAATGATCTATAAAGCTTGTAAGGTGGATCACAAGTGCATAACATTACACTGACCACTGGTACAACACATGACCAACTGGTTCAACACATTACACTGACCACTGGTACAACACATCACACTGACCACTGGTACAACACATCACACTGACCACTGGTACAACACATCACACTGACCACTGGTACAACACATCACACTGACCACTGGTACAACACATCACACTGACCACTGGTACAACAACACATCACACTGACCACTGGTACAACACATCACACTGACCACTGGTACAACACATCACACTGACCACTTGTACAACACATCACACTGACCACTGGTACAACACATCACACTGACAACTGGTACAACACATCACACTGACCACTGGTACAAAACATCACATTGACCACTGGTACAAAACATTACATTGACCACTGGTACAACACATCACACTGACCACTTGTACAACACATCACACTGACCACTGGTACAAAACATTACATTGACCACTGGTACAACACATCACACTGACCACTTGTACAACACATCACACAGACCACTGGTACAACACATCACATTGACCACTTGTACAACACATCACACAGACCACTGGTACAACACATCACATTGACCACTGGTACAACACATCACACAGACCACTGGTACAACACATCACACTGACCACTTGTACAACACATCACACTGACCACTGGTACAACACATCACACTGACCACTGGTACAACACATCACATTGACCACTGGTACAACACATCACATTGACCACTGGTACAACACATCACATTGACCACTGGTACAACACATCACATTGACCACTGGTACAAAACATCACATTGACCACTGGTACAACACATCACATTGACCACTGGTACAACACATCACATTGACCACTGGTACAACACATCACATTGACCACTGGTACAACACATCACATTGACCACTGGTACAACACATCACATTGACCACTGGTACAACACATCACATTGACCACTGGTACAACACATCACATTGACCACTGGTACAAAACATCACATTGACCACTGGTACAACACATCACACTGACCACTGGTACAACAACACATCACACTGACCACTGGTACAACACATCACACTGACCACTGTTACAACACATCACATTGACCACTGGTACAACACATCACACTGTACACTGGTCCAACACATCACACTGACCACTGGTCCAACACATCACACTGACCACTGGTACAACACATCACACTGACCACTGGTACAACACATCACACTGACCACTGGTACAACACATCACACTGACCACTGGTACAACACATCACACTGACCACTGGTCCAACACATCACACTGACCACTGGTACAACACATCACACTGACCACTGGTACAACACATCACACTGACCACTGGTACAACACATCACATTGACCACTGGTACAAAACATCACACTGACCACTGGTACAACACATCACATTGACCACTGGTACAACACATCACATTGACCACTGGTACAACACATCACATTGACCACTGGTACAACATAACACATCAGGCAGACTACTGTACCCTTGAGTCATGCTGCAATTCATTTGTTCATGGAGTTGCTAAAGACAAGGATTTATCTGTATGACCTGAGAAGATCATGCAATGTATTTACATGCAGTTGTGTTGCCATGACAACCACTTACCTTCCTCGGTCACTTTAAAAAAATAATAAAAGTCCAAAATTTAGGTTATGTAAATCAAATGTTTTTTTAGACCATCACCAATAGAAAATAAATGAAAAGCAACTGCAGCAAACTACTGAGGTACTTGCTGTTTGTTTGTTGGTAAAAAGCAAATGAAATAAAGATACTTACCAATGTATCTCAGATTTCAAATGTGACACCCTTAAACTAATGTACAAGATTACATATATAAAGTATCAGTCAGATAAACAACCTTTCATATGGCATTAAGTAGTTCAAGATTGGATGGGCAATAAAACAGAAGAACCTGAGATCATTTGTTTCAGAAGTCAGAACAATTAAAGAATGCATTTGACCAGTAGGCCTATATATGCAGTAGTCTGACATACTTTTGTAGTGTTGTGATTTTTAAGTGGTTCCGTTGCTATTAAATTTGGTTGAAATTTTTCATTTAAACCATAGCCGTGTATGGTTGTGATTTAAGTTGGTTGGATTTTGTCATTTAAACCATAGCCATGTATTGTTGTGATTAAAGTTGGTTGGATTTTGTCATTTAAACCATAGCCGTGTATTGTTGTGATTAAAGTTGGTTGGATTTTGTCATTTAAACCATAGCCATGTATTGTGATTAAAGTTGGTTGGATTTTATCATTTAAACCATAGCCATGTATTGTGATTAAAGTTGGTTGGATTTTGTCATTTAAACCATAGTCGTGTATTTTTGTGATTAAAATTAGTTGGATTTTGTCATTTAAACCATAGACGTGTATTGTTGTGATTAAAGTTGGTTGGATTGTTTAATTTAAACCATACCTGTGTAGTGTTGTAAAGTTTCCCAGTAGCTGCTTTCTGGCCAACAAAAGTTTTTGAGTGAAAGATGGGTCAGATTTTAAGTGGTGCTTTATTTCATTGGTCACCTAAAACAAAAGCAATTTAAACACCTAAAATAACCTGATTAACTTTAAATATAACAAAATGATGATTACAGTATACTCATAATGTAGTGGCAACTATAAATATAATATAGGCCTATCATTTTTTTTTACTTACCACAGAAATGCATTTAATTTAAAGGGAAAACCAGATAATAATCTATAGCGAATAATACTAAGTCTATGATGAGCTCACACAAATTTTCCAGGTGTGAAAATGTATTACAGTAGAGCAATCCAATATTCTAAGCAAATTATCATCCCACCATATACCAGATGACCCCAACCCCAGAAGCTAACGCTATTCCCCACCTTGGTTAACACGGTGTAGAGTGTGCGGGTTCCATCAGGGACAGGCAGGAAAGGATCCAGAAGAAACTCGTGTAAATTTGGATGTGGGATCAAAGCAACTTTGGATATCAGGGCCGTCAACAAGAGATTCACTGAATAGCTCTGTAACAAAAGACAGAAACAAAAAAATTCAACAAAACTCAATGACCAAAACACAGATACTTGACAAAGAAACTCTTACTTGGGGCATTGTGTTATTGCTTCTTAAAGTACACAAATTCATACAATTACTTATGAATGAATACATATGACAAGAAAACTGACACATATGAAGTTTTAGTTCAGATGTAAATTCCATCTTAAATAATCAACTTATTTTTTTTTCTTGTTTGTGTTAAACTGAGGTTAAAAAATATTAGATAAAAAAATGGCGTTGTGTTTAGCTATCGTCTATTTCATGAAAAATAAATATTGCTAATTTATAGTTATCCTTAAGACAACATCTAGTTATCTGACATGACCCTAACCTGATCCAATAGGTGCAAGAGTTTGTCAAGCAGAATATGCAGGAAGGAGCCCTCAAAAAATGTGTCTCTCTTGTACTCTGGGATGGCCACAGGTTTCTTTGGCCAAACCCATCCCTTACACACTGCCTCAGCTATGGCAAACTGAAACAAAGAGACTTTTTAGTTAGGTTCTCATTGGTCAGTTCAACTACAGAGATGACCAAACCCATCCCTTACACACTGCCTCAGCAATGGTAAACTGAAACAATAGTTAGAGACATTTTAATTAGGTTCTCATTGGTCAACTCAATTTAAAAAAACATTTCATCCATTTGTAAATAACTGCTAGAAAACTGTTGTTGCTTTGGGTTAGTAAGTTTTGTAGAGGACCAAAGAAGCACAAATAAACCATTTGATTCAGGCATGCCCACCTGTTTGTTAGCATCTCTGAGGTACATGTCATAGCCACTATCAGCAGTGTGTTGGGATGACTTGGCTTCCTCAGGCAGCAGGCTTAGGTAACAGTTGACAACTTTGTGGATCTCTGATGGCCCAAACACTGGGGACTCGTAGCTGGGGTCTGTGGGAGACATGAAAGATCAGGGGTCATAGCTGGGGTCAGTGGGAGACATGAAAGATCAGGGGTCATGGCTGGGGTCTGTGGGAGACATGAAAGATCAGGGGTCATAGCTGGGGGTCAGTGGGAGAAAGATCAGGGGTCATAGCTGGGGTCTGTGGGAGACATGAAAGATCAGGGGTCATAGCTGGGGTCTGTGGGAGGAATGAAAGATCAGGGGTCATGGCTGGGGTCAGTGGGAGACATGAAAGATCAGGGGTCATAGCTGGGGTCTGTGGGACAAGAAAGATCAGGGGTCATAGCTGGGGGTCAGTGGGAGGCATGAAAGATCAGGGGTCATGGCTGGGGTCTGTGGGAGACATGAAAGATCAGGGGTCATAGCTGGGGTCTGTGGGAGACATGAAAGATCAGGGGTCATAGCTGGGGGTCAGTGGGAGGCATGAAAGATCAGGGGTCATGGCTGGGGTCTGTGGGAGACATAAAAGATCAGGGGTCATAGCTGGGGGTCAGTGGGAGGCATGAAAGATCAGGGGTCATGGCTGGGGTCTGTGGGAGACATGAAAGATCAGGGGTCATAGCTGGGGTCTGTGGGAGACATGAAAGATCAGGGGTCATGGCTGGGGTCTGTGGGAGACATGAAAGATCAGGGGTCATAGCTGGGGGTCAGTGGGAGGCATGAAAGATCAGGGGTCATGGCTGGGGTCTGTGGGAGACATGAAAGATCAGGGGTCATAGCTGGGGGTCAGTGGGAGGCATGAAAGATCAGGGGTCATGGCTGGGGTCTGTGGGAGACATGAAAGATCAGGGGTCATAGCTGGGGTCTGTGGGAGGAATGAAAGATCAGGGGTCATAGCTGGGGTCAGTGGGAGACATGAAAGATCAGGGGTCATAGCTAGGGTCTGTGGGAGACATGAAAGATCAGGGGTCATAGCTAGGGTCTGTGGGAGACATGAAAGATCAGGGGTCATAGCTAGGGTCTGTGGGAGACATGAAAGATCAGGGGTCATAGCTAGGGTCTGTGGGAGACATGAAAGATCAGGGGTCATAGCTGGGGTCAGTGGGAGGCATGAAAGATCAGGGGTCATAGCTGGGGTCAGTGGGAGGCATGAAAGATCAGGGGTCATAGCTGGGGTCAGTGGGAGGCATGAAAGATCAGGGGACTTGTAGCTGGAATTTCATTTTGCTTGAATAACAAGAAATCATTTAAATAAAATACAATATTTAATATTTTAAAATATTTCTGGGGAAAATCTGAGTAATAAACTTGTAGTTGTATGCAAAAGAGCTGTACTCTACCTGAGGATGAAGTGGAGGAATGAGGAACTGATGTACCCGCTGTATGGGACTGATCGAGGCAAGACCCCTCTTGGTCAGCTATACTGGTTTGCTGGACATCACTTGATATGCCAGCAACATTGGTTTGGGCTGCAAGAGGATCCTCTAAACTGTTGGATGTTTCGTGTGGAACTATTTGAGCTGAAGCCTCTACTGAGCCAGTATTACAAGTCTCCACATCAGCTCTAGGTGCTGTAGCTTCTTCTGGTGAAGATTTCTTTCCTATATGAGCTTTACTCAGGAGGTAATTTCTTCCCAATACATTTCTAATCAAAAGACTGTGGAAAATGTGCTCATCTTCCTTTTGCAAAAGTGTGTCAAACAGCTTCAATGTTGCCAAACACACCTGAGGATAAAAAAAACAATTCAGTTCAACCACTGATTAAATTTTTTTTTACTATGTCTTGATATCTTTTGTAACTCCACCATTTGACTACAACACTGAAATTTTTTTTAAATTAACATTACATGTCTTATTTAAACTTATAACAAATAATAAATAACTTTTGTTGAAATTATTAAGCTTAATGGGTCTGTATTAAAAATGCCATCAATTTTCAAATATTATAAAAACAATGGGGTATTTTTAAAAAAATATAGCATATAAAAATATTGAGGATTTAAAAAGTTAAAGGTCTGTAAATACTGGGCAATTATTGATAAGATTATCTTTACCTCTTCAGACAAATGGTTGCACCGCTCCAGTAATCTTTTGGTGAGTAAATGGCCAGGGCAATCTTTTTCCTCAATATTTCTCTCTTGGCCAAGCAGGAAGAAGCAAAACTCTGAAAATTATTGTACAGAATGTAAAACAAGCTCGACCCTTGACATTCTGAGAAGTAAAATATTTTTTTCTTATTTAATTAAGGTATGCTGTTTTATTTGAATGCAAACCTAAGTTTTTCTCAAAGGTATATCTGAAATTATTGTAACTGATAAGACACAAGGTTGAATATAACATTTTCATAAAATACATGTATCAGATGCAGATACATTATCAGTATCGTTGAAACTGTAGCTTGTGTTAGTAAAATATATATCTCAATTTTACGAAAAAATTTATTTCACTTCATTAGAAATGATATTGTGTTTTGTGGGCTATGAATCACTTGTAAATTTTCAGAGAATGTTTCTACAATCCTAAAAATTGTGACCTGCCTCTCAGTAGTGCTGGTGAACAGACTGTACGTAGACACCTGGTGAGGTAGGTAGTGGCCACTAGAACACCTGACTCAGACCTGGTGGAGAGGAAAAAATTAAACAATTCAGACATTTCTTTCAAAAATATAACATTCGGCAAAGCTTGTCCCACAATTTAATCAAACAAAACTATGAAACAAAATAAAACAATAAACAGTTGTATTAAAATTAAAATAGAACTTTAACATAGCTATTTTAACTAAATCAAAGTTATGAGAATTCTTACGTCTGCATTAAATGTGGTAACATTTGACCAGTGAGAAACTGGCTGTGGATTTCTAGGGAAAGAGCCTCGCCTACGTCTGGATTGGCTAAAGATATCAGCTGGTCACAGTAATCAAGCCAGGATAGGAAAGAAATGACTTGTCGCTTCCCCGTAAATCCTTGTTGGCTGTGTCTCTCATTGACATCATCAAAACTAGAAAAACAAAATTTGATTTGAATGAGCACTTAAGTTTGACGCATTTGCTATTCCAAAAACTTCCCCACACACTCAACTAAGAGAGACAATTCCAACAACTTCTTTTCTTTTAAATAATCATTTGCATATTTATTAAAAATCAAAAGTTGTACATTTTTCTTTATTTATACCTCATCAACACTATTATTTTAGCAAGGTAAGAAATACTTCATAGAGTTTTTTGGAGAAGCTACCCATTTTCTATCTTGTTTTTATTTACCAAGTGACTTACCCCCATTTAGCATCAACCATCTCTATATCATCTGGACAGATAGCTAGTGGTAATTTAGTATACAGCTGAGATAAAGTGTTGGCAAACAACTGAGTAAACTGTGTCTGTGTGATCAGGGCTGAAGCAGCTGACTGCTCAGGCAGGCTGGCACAGAGCATCAATCCTTCACATGCCTTCACTGAGACTCTGGCGTCCTAGACAACATTTTCAGCAAATATACAGTCACTACAATGTTTTTTATATCTGGTTATCATATTCATATCATATTCTTACTTGATTAAAAGCTCTTTAAAATTTTTGTAAATATTCTAAACTAACAAGCCTGGACATGCTATAGCTTCCAAGTGAATCTTTTTAATGGGTTTGGTTGATATATTTCCTTGGTTTATTTAGGAGGAACAAAAAGGAAACTTGATAAACTAATTAACCAGAATCAAGTGTGTAGCAAGTGTGTACAAAGAAAAGCATACCTCACTAAAAGCCAATGAAAGTAACGCATCCACCAAACTAAAAGTTTGATGTTTTTTTTGGATGTTGCTTCCAGACAATCTGTCACTGGTTTTAGGATTCTAGATCATTCAAAGAGAAATTGACAAATGTTATGCTTTTATTAACAACTACATGGCAAAATTTTAAAAACAAAGAGAAAACCCAGACAAGACAAAAATATGAAATCTGGCTACATAAACCTTGATTGATTTTCTTTTTAACCTAATTTTCAAAAATGATACTGCTAAATAGTCTTATTCTGGAGATAAACAAACAGATTGTTTAATTAAAGAACAAAATCCTATCAACAAACCTCAATGAAGAAATTAACAAGATATGGATCAGTCTTGATTTTGGCACAAACTGTACATAAAAATTCAATTTCTTCCTTTTCTGTAGGGCCAGCTTTAGTCTCACCACATGTTTTTACTAGCCTCTGAAACATGGGACACTTATTCAACTGCAGGACTTTGTGTTACCTGGCTTTATAGATTTTTCTTATCATGACAAGGGCAGTAACTAAATCAACTTTTATCATGTGTTTTAGAACTCTTACTTAAAAATGCATTATATTTTGTTTTTTACTAACAAAAAGAAAATACTTGACAGTTCAGTCTATGGGTAATATTTAATGAAACTCTTGTTTAAGAGCTCTGTAAACAACCACTCAATAGATCAGACTGAGAACGAACATGAATATGGTTTCTTTAAACAAATATTGGTATTCACCTGAACAGCTCTGTGTACATTGATATGTGGAAGGAGAGGATGACTGACCCTTGAAAGAAGTTTGGTGAAAAAACTTAACACACACTGTTTCATACCAGGAGGATGCTGTGGAATATATCAAAATCAATTTACAAACTTTTTTATATATACCAAGGTATTGTTTGACCCAGATGAAAAATAATGTTCAACTTCAAATGTATAATTGGACACTGAATTATGGAATGCAAAAATTGAATATAAAATCCCTGTACATAAGTAAACAATTGAGTTGTTGCTTACATCTGTGCGGCCCAAGGTGTACAAGGTCTCTAGGAGTCTGTGTTGTAGCAAGTACTCCATACACATCCCAGTTGTACCAGCTTCACCCAGATTGGATTCTTCTTCTTGTAGAATCCGAAGCATTGAAGTGAGATGTTCAGGCAATGCTGTCTCTTCAATTCTAGCTCCACCATCTAGTTAGTAAAAAAATAAGTTCACTTTGTTTTGTTTTAAATTAGATAAATGGATGCCAAGAACCAAATATCCACTGTACTTACATATTTTATTTGCAATCTAAAATTAATATTATGTCCCAACACATGATACCTCATTTTAACTTTTATTTACATACAAATGCAAAAAGAATACATCACTATATATTAGAGAATTATTTATTTTGTGGATGGCTACTTGGGAGGGGGGTGGGGGTGGGGTAATCCAGCTCATCTATATGTCTGTGAGGAAAGGGTCCAAAATTCCATTTTGCAGTATATCATAAACAGTTGACTCATTATTAAATTTTCAAAAATTCGGCAAACTAACTTAAAATTTTTATTTTTGCTTTATTAAAAATTAGATTCTATTAAATAAGCATAAGATTTTACCATCTAACCATTACATTTTTTACTATTTATTCCACTCTTGCCCCATGTAACATTTCCTAATAACGCAACCCCTCAAGTTAAACAACATTTCTCTGTTGCCGCACCCCCCCCCCCACAATACAATATGGAATAGGAATTTATCAAATAAATTAAAATTTTAAAGAAAATCCCTGGTTGAGGAAGTCACAACTGATCTGTCAGAGAATTTTTGTATAGCAGTACTCTAAAAATTAAGAATTTAAAAAGTCAAACACTGTTATATATCTCATACCACCCCCCCCCCCTACCCTAATAACAAATAGAAACCACCATCTAACCCCCTGTGTTTCATAGTATGTGCACAATCAGTAACTTACCTTTATTGTCAATGAAATAACTAGTCACTGACTTCCAATGATATATGAATTCCTCTTGAGGGGTAACATTTGGTGCAAACTGTTTTTTCAAGAAAGTAAAGTTTTTAAAATCATTTACATTTAAAATAGACTAGAATTTCATGTATCATTAAAGGATCGTCATCTCTTCCTGTTCATGACCAAGACACATGGATAAAGTAGAATTCATATGTTTCAATGACCTCTGCATATGAAGGAATAGTGTGGTCGGCACTATGCTTAACAGCCTTGGTTTCCCTAACAGTCAGGTAGTCAGGTAACTACCAGAGTTTTGTGAACTCAGGGAAATCCTACAAACTTACAATGCGATCTCACGACTTTCAGATCAGCAGCCGCAAGTTTTAACATACAACCACGACATCCCATTATTAACTGATAGTCAAATGAAATCTTCAGTTCTAATAAATAACAGCAAGGAATAACAGTGAAGTGTCATATAAAGGTAGTTTGGCTGTTAGTTACAAGCTAGCATCAGAACTTTAACAAACCAGCTGGCATTCTTACAAGTGAAAACATACAATTTCAATCAGTTAGTAAAAAGGACAGATTCACCTGAACCTGTGGGCTCAGCTTCTCACTTAACTGTGATATTGAATGGGATATACTCCAACACAATTAACTATACACATGTCATCATGTTATGCACCATAAGGTTAACTGATTCTGATTCAGCCTGCATTTCTTTCTGGACTTGCTTACTTAGCTTTTGTCCACCCAAGAAAAATCTGCAAGGCAGCAGTCATTTGATTTTTAGGGGTCTCATCTAGATGGGTTATGGTCTCTTCTAGATGAATTGCTATCCCCAGTTAATGAGCCTTATCAGCCAGGGATCCAAACTCAGGACTTTTGGAGTTTTGGACTCTTTAGTCTTAGAAGCACTAACCATCAAATCTCCTATAAAATAACAGTAGGCAAAATATAGATTAGTTGCAGGTACTAACCGTCTCAACTGCTTGCTGTATGAAGTTAGTGAATTTATGAAACATTATTTTCTTCATCTCTCATCACAGATCTGTGAATTTAAAAAAATATATGCTACATGTATGACAAACACTACATATTCAATGTTTTAGGCCTAATCTGGCCAATAGCATTGTAGAATTTGCTAGATGAAACTAATTAAACAACATATATAAGAAACCATTTAAAAAAAAAAAATATGATGTTTGATCTTTTTTGGCATCTATCATTATCAAGACAACAATTTTTGAATTACATTAGAAAGGGAAAATATTTAATTACTGTGAATAGACCTCAAGGGAGCAATACTACAGTTGATTTTTTCTAGTTAGATATTAATTTTATTGTAAACATTAAATAATCTAGATTACAATACCAGATACCTAGTAGGTCTAACTTAATAATAAATATTTATTAAATAGGCTATCCCATTGTATGCATTTTTCCCACGTTTTCTTTAACTTGCTTTCTCTGTCTTTCCAATCAAATCTTGCGATCGAAATTCTTAATTTACTTTTAAAGGGAAAAAAATAGATTCTAGATCCATCCTACCTAGATGCTGTGCAGGTAGTGAATGTAAAGTGATTGTGATGATTCAAATGAATCTTTATTGTGCTTGAGCTGTTTGTTTGTTGTTGTTTTTTTTTAAACTTTTGTTAACTACATAAACACACTTGAATGAGTTGAATCAGTGAATATTACTTAAGTTAATGCTAGTACTAAATTTTAGTAGTAAGTAGTCTTATACTTATAGTTAATTTTTTTTAGACTAAATAAATTTAGAGAACTTATTAAATTAGACTAGTAATGCAAAATAAAGTAGTTTACTCCAAATGTTTATCAAATAGGCCTCATCTGAATAAGATTGCTTATATTATTATTTTAAGTTTATATTCGACTCAATCCAGCGAGCCCACTGGTTGGTTGAGGTCACGCCGGGGCCTTGTTCTGCCAGGTATCCAAAGGGTTGATTTTAAATATCATCTTACTTATAGAATACGTAATAATACAAAATTTCTTTACAACATGTTTCAAGCACAGTGATGTTCAAAAGTAATATATAGGGCAGCTTCAGTATTCCACACAAACAAAAACGTTGATCTATCTTCGGTACAGCAACGTAAAAATTTTAAATGCAGCATTTCTGGCTGTTTTGAACAAGTTGGTGTTCTAAGTCGACACAAAATAAAGAAATTGATAAATCATCAGCAAGTTTAGCGTCAATAGGAAATTATAACAATACAAACAAAACATATTTTAAGTCAGTGTTAAAGTTCATTGTGAATCAAGTGTGATATAATATTTGCAAGTATCTTTGCATTTTATTCCCACCCAATACTTACCCTGTGAAATGCAAGACAAAAATGTCACGTAACTGAAGGTTTTCCAACCCTTCTCGCAATTTACCACCTTCCCATTTTGTGTCTCGCACCTTACCAACATCCCTAGACATTAGATTGGGCCTATATTATTAGAGATTATATTCTCGATCAAGATTCTATACTTTTTTCTCTAGTACCCTCTAGTGAAAGAAGTTAACTAGAGTCTAGTTACTAGTTAATACAAGTTCAAGTCTTCAGGGTTCCTACTACTTTTTGAAAATGAAATTCCAGACTTTTTCCAGACTTTTATGGAAAAATTTCAGACTTTAAACAGATAATGTGTTAGAGAATAATTTATAAAATGATGCACCATATGTACTCTCATTATAATTACTTATACTAAACTGACATTTATTTTAGGCAATTGAGCTATATTTATATTGAACTTTCTCTAGCCAAATTGACAGAAAATCACTTTTCTAAGTTTGCCTACTCCAGTCCACCTAAAATTTTAATAATTAAAATAATTGATTAAAATGATGCAGCTATTTTTGTTTATGCTCATAGCTGAGATACAGGTCTGCAATTAAAAAATTGCCCGTATCCTCCCCCCCCCCCCACCCTTCATACAAGAGGTTATATTAGTCTAGGCTTCAATACGTCAAAGCATGAGCTGTGATGTGACTTATATCCCCCCTATCCTCATTACCAAGCAGTACCAACTACATACTTGGGGTCACAGTGAGTTCACACAAGTGACTGTAGTTACAAGAAGGGGTGGGGTAGTCTAGCTTTAAACATCAGCATTGAAATCTGTGCTTGTGTTTTAAAAACCACAGCATGTAAATAAAGCACGGTATATATATCTACCCTAACATTATTGCAAGAGCGTGTCGTCACACTTTCTGAAACTCTCCTACCGACTTTCCTGAGTGTGACGTCGTTTATGGACAACTCCTAAATAAAAAATAGTAGCTCTTGGTAAGCGACAGCTGAAGCAAACAGAAATACAGGTATGAACCCAAGAAGGCCTTGCGACTTAAACTACCACTCAACTTACTACTTGCACTACTTGACTACTTCTCATTGTTATTGAATATTACATTAGGCCTACCTGTTATTAACTTATTATATTAGTAATTTAGTAATTAATTAGGCCTACTTGTTCATTGTTATGGTTTGGTTTATAAATAGTAAATTTTTAAGGATCTAACCTACTCCTTCCTCCTAATTATTATTATTAGTAGCCTAATTAATTACTAATTAATTAATCAGTCCTAATCACATCACTCCTTAGACCTTAGTCCTTAGTTCTAGGGTAATCTATCGTTTTGGGTACGTAAACTCGCCCGCGGCTATTAATGTACGAAAACGTTACCTCATTTTCAAGGCTTTAATAGAAGTTTACTATATTGTCATATGTTTATGTCAAATATTATAGATAAATGAATAATAAACCTAAATCAATGGCTAAATATATCGAAATAGGCCAGAAATTAACTTTAAACAGCAGTGTCTGAGAGCAAGATCTGCTATATAAACAGCAGCCATTTGTAAAATGGAGTGGCTTCCCCCAAAACGATAGATTACCGAAATTTATATAATTTATATAGAAAATATATACTTTTAACAGTGTCCGCCCCCCCCCCGGAGAAAGTTTACCCCCCCCCCCCCGAAGATTTCAAGTGTCGTCGTCGTCTCCCCCCCCCCACCCCCCCCCCCCCCCCCGAGAAAAAAGTCTGGAAGAAACACTGGATTTATTTTAACGTACCTACTAAAACGATAGATTACCAGTTCTAGACTTAGTCTTAGCCTAGGGCCTAGGCTAATGTTAACTAATGACTAATATTGTTTATTAACTTAACGGTAAACCTCCATTTTAGCGTAATTTATTCTCCGTTGCTTGTTTACCTCCAGTTGAGCGTATTTTATTATAATAACCGAAACACACTAAAACATTAGAAAAACACGATTTATTTTTTGTATTGTATTTCTGTTTTCACAAATGAATAAAATGAATGTTTAAAAAACACGACTTATTTATTTGTATTGTATTTTTGTTTTAACAAATGAATAAAAAACAACAAAGAGACTGACTGAAGTGCTTTGTTGGTTACAAAAATACTTAAAATAGAGATGCACACTTTGTACAATTAATTTAAGTGTTCCAATTTCAACTAAACTGAATAAAAGTATTAAAAGGCACAATGATGCTGCCGAAAGTTGGCCGAGGGGGGGGGGGGGGAATTTGGTGAGGGATGGCTTGGAGTGTTAAAGAAAGAAGAAAGTGTGACAACTCACGTTGTCATTTAAAAAAAAAATGTTAGAGGTCGTCCATAAATGACGTCACACTCGTAGGGGGAGGGGGGGGGGGGGTGATTTTGTGACGGTGTGTGATGAGGGGGGGGGGGGTTCAGATGGTGCTACATCATTTTGGGGGGGGGGGGGTCTTGCTTTTTGTGATGACACGCTTTTTTTACGATTTTTACCTCCCGCCTCCCCTCCGTTACACGTCGTCACAAAAAGTCAGACCCCCCCCCTAAAATGACGTCACACTTCAGCCTACAACCCCCCCCCCTCAAAATTTCTGTTGAATTTTTCTTAAAACATCGATAATTTTTCCAAAATCTTGTCAGAACTCTGTCAACATAGAGTATTTTGATCAATTCATATTACAATTTATTAAAACCGTTTTCTAAAACGTGAAATAACGGCTATAACTTGTTTTTCTAACATTGCTTTTTTATAATGCAAAAAAGGGACGTCACACCATCTGAAACCCCACCCCCTCCCCCTCATCACACACCGTCATAAAATTGCTGACCCCCCTCTCCCTTACGAGTGTGACGTCATTTATGGACGACCCCACATCAATTTTTTTTAAAAGTCAGAAATTTACTCATACAGAAATTTACTCATACAAAAAAGGGAAGGATGGTAGATTTACTATGAATTTAAATAACATACAACTCTATAGTAAAATAATTTTTTCAGTTTTAGCAAAACTGTCAAATTAAAAAACACAGAGTTTGTACATTTATTGCATAAATACAAAACAGAATGATTAACAGCGTATCAGTTTCACCATGAGACAAATGCCTTTTTTTTTAAAAAAAATACAATACAACTAAACAAGTCGTGTTTTTTTAAATATTCATTTTTATTCATTTGCTAAAACAAAAATACAATACAAAAAATAAATCGTGTTTTCCTAATGTTTTGGTGTGTTTCGGTTGTTATAATAAAATACGCTCAACTGGAGGTAAACAAGCAACGGAGAATAAAATACGCTGAAATGGAGTTTTACCAACTTAACTATTATTAACTAAGGCTTACTTAATTAGAATCTAGTTTGTTATTGCTTTTTAGATTATTCACTTTTACATTAGCTAGTCACTGGGCTAGTGATAAGTTTTGCTTACTGTGTAGATCTAAATGTTAAATGAAACACATCCGCCGTCATTGTGTAGTGTAGTCTTCAATGTTTTGGCCGAAACATAAATAAGTGGCATGGATTTTGTACTGCTGGCTTAGCGTTCTGAACACATTTTTTTCTGGTCTTTCTCACCCTACACCAGGGGTCTCCAAACTACGGCACGCGAGGTCCTTTCATCCGGCCCGCGGCGATCTTTTTGTCCACGGAATAAATGTTTGTTAAGGGGTGGCTGAGGAACTTTGTCCAGAAAATTCAAAACGATTTGAAAATTTAGCTTTGCAAATACCATTGCCCGCCATGTTGCAGACATTGGTGAAAACATCGTGCAGAGTTTCTTCCAGGCATCTCTTCGGGGGGGCTTTGCCCCCCCGAAAATTTTTACCGCCCCCCCCCCCGAACGAAATGAAATTTATATAATTTATATAGAAAATATATACTTTTTACAGTGTCCGCCCCCCCGAAGAAAGTCTACCGCCCCCCCGAAAATTTCAAGTGCCCCCCCGGAGAAAAAAGTCTGGAAGAAACACTGACATCGTGACTCAAATAGTGAAACAAGTAATTAAAAAAAGTCTAGTGACAATTTTAGCGCAATTTCCTTATGTTATCTAAAAATAGCTCTGTCGTAGCGTAAATCAAGAGCAGGGTTAGTAAAACCATTGGTTAGTTATTAAAACGTTTTTTATTAATTTTTTTTTTCAGTATTTTACATGTTTTATTTACAATAGAGTAACATGACTAAAAACCATTGCGCGCCTAGCTACCGAACGTGATGTCGCAGCCATTGAACGTGATGGCGCAGCTATTGAACGTGATGACGCGTGTGGTGTGGTTGGAAAAACATGCCTACTAATTCGGTCCAAATTTTAATTAATTCAAAAAAAATTTTGTGACCGAACGAAAGGATATTTTTTAAAACTTTCTTCGGCAATATTGTTTTAAATTATGGCAGGAATCGATTGGTACATGTTTCAAGTCGCTAAGTGGTCTGGTTGCCGAGATATGGGCCAAAAACTGAATTTTTTCGAGGTTTTTTGGCTTTTTCGGGAAATCCATGAAAGAAACCCGGAATTTTTATGGCCTATGTTCATCCTCGTAACTTGCTTAACATAATTGCTTTGTAACTAGTCATCGATATTGCTTCGTTGAGGAGGAGATACGACTTAAAGCCGGACACACATTCATACATCCATACATTCATCCATCCATACATTCCCAGAAATGACGAGTTAATAAACGCAATTCTCCAGAATGGAAATTGTGCTAAAAATGCAAGCAAGTTTAGCCATTTTTCAATTGCAATGGATGAGTCGCTGGACAGCCGTTCCACCTCAACTACTTGTGTTCATTAGAGGTGTGGATGAAGACATAAACATAACACAAGAGCTGGCTTCCCTACATAACATGTATGTCACTGTTAACGGAGAGGATATCTAATCTAACCATAGATAGTTCAGAGACATGTTGAAAGATACAAACACAGAATCGCAAGATTTACCATATTTCAAAGTAGTAAGACGGCTAATTTGCGAGAAAGATCTGAGCAGAGTATTTAAGTTAAGAAAGGAGATATGTTACTTCCTGTAAAGTAAAGGCAAGCCACAGGCCAAAACTTGACGCACTCTCAGAAGTGCAAAGTCTTTACGGCTGAAGCAACCACTGAGTTCCCCACGTCATTTGCATACGAGATCATCGAAGACTTCAAGCTGCGGTTTCAGTAGCGGTTTTTCTGACTTGGAAACAAAGGCAGAAGAAGTGAGACTGTTCCAAAGGCCCATTTGAAGCAAATGTGGTCAGTTGCAAAGATGAACTGCAGCTGGAGATCATTAGAGGCACGTTCACAGAAGGGCGGGTGTGTTTTTATAAGTTTTTGCACAAGGAAGACTGGACAGTGTGGTCTAATATGTAGATCTAGTACGCACGCTTACTAAACTGAAAACCCGGGCTGGTGACCGTAGGTCATCCCACGACCGAACTGTCCCTCACGTTCAAAACCAGGTGGCAAGATGTCGTATTTAAAACTTGAGGCAAAAGTTGAACAGAAACCCTCGTGTCTTGCGTCTTTCTTTGTAGCTGCGAGAAATGCTCGATTCTCCATAACGTTGCTGCTTGTTACTATTACTATGATGTTAAATTAATGAATCTAGCAGTGTTTCTTCTAGATTTTTTTCTCCGGTGGTGCACTTGAAATTTTCGGGGGAGGGGGGGAACACTGTCAAAAGTATATATTTTCTCTATAAATTCCATTTCGTTCGGGGGGGGGGGGGGGGGGGGGGGGGGGGGGGACAGTGCCTGGAAGAAACTCTGGAATCTTGCCAGTGGTCTATTTTTATTTAAATAATTTTTAATTAATTAATTAATTAATATCTCGGTAGTTGGTAGTGATACCCCATGCAGTTATAAATGCATTTACAAAATACTTATTTGATAGTTTATAACTGTGCGCCTACGCAGAGTTATTTCCCATTCGTCTTTTTCTATACTCTCGACGGGACTGATTTTTGTTTTCATTCTCAATAGGCTTAGTTGTCCCCGCATTTTTACACTAGGCCTAAAACCGTCATATCTAGAGAACCGTTTATCCTATAAACATGTTTCAGTGTTTCTTCCCGTGCGGCGTCAAAACGGCCAATGACAAAACGGCCCCGTCAAAACGACCCCGACAAATCAGCCCCGACATAAGAGCCCCGTCAAATTGACCCCGTCAAAATGGCCAGCGACATATGGACCCCGTCATAAAGGCTCCCGATAAATAGGCTCCCGTCATTTAGGCTCCCGACAAATAGGCTCCCGTTATATAGGCTCCCAACAAAAGGGCTCCAGTCAATAAGGCTCCTGACAAATAGGCTCCCGTCATTTTGGCTCCCGACATATAGGCTCCCGTCATTTAGTTTTTTCCTCAAAACGGCCCCCATCATTACGACTCCCGACAAATAGGCTCCCGCCATTTAGTTTCTCCACAAAACGGCCCCCGTCATTACGATTCCCGACAAATAGGCTAGCGTCATTTTGGCTCATGACAAAAAGGCTCCTGTCAATTTGGCTCCAGACAAAAGGACACTTTCTACCGCCCCCCCCCCCCCCCCCCCCCCCCCCACCCTTGAACGAAATGAAATTTATATAATTTATATAGAAAATATATACTTTTAACAGTGCCCCCCCCCGTAGAAAGTCTACCCCCCCCCCCCGAAAATTTCAAGAGTGTCGTGTGTCCCCCCCCCCCCCCCGGAGAAAAAAGTCTGGAAGAAACACTGCAAAAGGACCACTGACAATACCGTTTCTGTATAGGACTAAGTCTATTTGGCAAAGCGGTCTCATTGAATATGACACCTGCCAGTGGGACCCCTTCATCAATATTCTTTAGAGTTAGCTTATCCAACACTCTTAAGTAATACAACGTATCAGTGGCGTAGCTAGGATTTTTGGGCCCCTATGCACCCCCCCCCTCAGACTTTCGATTTGCACCCCCCCTCAGACTTTCGATTTGCACCACCCCCCTCAAACTTTCGAAAAAGGGCCCCTATTTGTCTTGGGCCCCTATGCCTTGCTTACGCTAGCTTTACGGTAGCTACGCCACTGCAACGTATGTATCTCTTGTTCGGCAGGCCTTATTTTTATATTAGTTTATTATAAAATATAGTATGTTTTAATTTAAGGCTCATCTAAATCTATCTATGACTTCCATAATTGAGTCGGTTATAAGCTGTTCCAACTCAGAGTGTAGGGAGAAGGGTCCACGCTGTACCTTCCTACCTCCAGTAGGTATGCTTGTAGGTTATCAAAACAAAATGTTAACCTGTAAACATCATGTATATCGTACATTTTCACTTCTTTGTTTGCTTTTATGCAACAGATCTTTACTGTTGTAAATTAACCATTATCAAAATTTTAGAATTGGTAGATTTTAGCTGTTAAGGGCTTGATTTGTTTGTGAATTGATGTTGGTTCATGAAAAACAATTTCATTCAGGCATTAAAAAGAGGTTATAGTAGTAGTGGAGGTAGGACAAAATGGTTACTTTTATGCCAATAGTGGTCGTGCCATTCATTTGTCTGGAGCCAATATGTCATGATCCCATTTGTCGGGAGCCCATTTGTTGTGAGCCCTTATGTCGGGAGCCACTTTGTCGGGAGCCAGTATGTCCTGAGCCTATTTGTCGGGAGCCAATATGTCGAGAACCCATTTGTCGAGAGCCTAAATGTCGGGAGCTCATTTGTCGGGAGCCTATATGTCGCGAGTCAATATAACGGGAGCCCATTTGACGGGAGCCAATATGTCGTGGCCCTTTTGACGGGGCTATTGTGACTGGGTCGTTTTGTCGGTGGTCGATTTGACGGGGTCATATTAACGGGGCCGTTTTGAAGGGGCCGATTTGTCCCGGGCCGTTTTGACAGGGCACCATTTCTTCCAGGCATCTCTTCGGGGGGGGGGGGGGGGGAAGTCTATCGCACCCCACCCCCAGAACGAAATGGAATTCTTATATAAAATATATACTGTTAACAGTGTTCGCCCCCCCTCCCCCGGAAACTTCAGTCCGCTTCCGAAAATTACAAGTGACCCCTGACCCCCCCACCTCACTATCGGGGGTTGGGAAGGGGGGGGGTGGAATCATTTTGCAGCATTTAGTCCCCTTAATACAATTATTAATCATTATTTTGTCATTTTAATTACTTTAAAAATTTCGTGCAACTAGCTTATATATATATATATATATATATATATATATATATATATATATATATATATATATATATATATATATATATATATATATATATATATATATATATATATATATATATATATGTGTGTGTGTGTGAGTGTGTGTGTGTGTGTGTGTTACGGTCAAAGCCCGAAGTGTGGTCAAAGCCCGCATTGGCCGGCCAATGTGCGCATTGGTCGGCTTTCTTGGCCAAAGCCCGAAGAACTTAGCACTAAGAGCGTATTTCGTACATTGGCCGGCCAATGCGCGCACTGGCCGGCATGTCCTGGCCAATGTTCTATCTAGACTAAGTTGTGATCACGTTTTTATTATACTGGGTGCGTTTTCATTGTGAGTAACGTATTTTAGCTCTTGTTTGTATAGCATTGGGTATGCAAGGCGACAAGGACCAAAAGGGCCGTCAGACCATGAGATAGACATAGTAGATGGCTGTCAATTGAAAAAAATGTAAATCCATGTTAGTTTCCATATATGGGCTGCTGGATATCTTCACGGCCCTAAGTGTGCTTCAATCAGATAATGTAAGAGAATTTGTTAATCAAGTTATTTCTGAACTAAAGAACAAGTGGCCTGAACTTAAACTAGTTCACGGAAACCCAAGGCATAGCCAAAGCCACGGTTCAGTCGAATGTGCCAACCAAGATGTTCAAAACACAATGATAACATTGATGCAGACACATGAATCAGCTCAATGGGCTGAGAGTCTCAAATTCATTCAATTTATGAAAAATATTTCTTTTCATCAAGGAATCCAACAATCGTCATACGAAGCCTTGTTTGGATGCAAAGCAAAAGTGGGACTTAGCACTTCGAATCTACCAAGAGAGGCTCTCGATAATTTAGTGACTGGGGAAGATCTTGAGAACATCGAACAAGAAATGGAGATTGCCATAAATGCAACGACATCCTCTGCTAACACATATGCTGCCGTGGCGGAACGTCCAGACCAGTTGCGTGACAATAATATGGCCAATAGATTATGTGTAGTTTGTGAAAAATATTGTAGTGCAGCTAGTGGCGTAGCGAGGTCGGGTGACACCCGGTGCGGCACTTAATGGTGTCACCCCCCCCCCCCATAGGCATAGCGACCCTTCCCGGGGACAAACTTTCAAATTTTCGATTTGCACCCCCCCCCCCCTCAAACTTTCGATTTGCACCCCCTCTCAAACTTTCGATTTGCACCCCCCCCCCCCCAATCAATCTTTCGATTTGCACCCCCCCCCAATCAAGTTTTTCTCTGTATATTTTGCTATTTTTTGCCTTGGTGTCACCCCCCTAAATGGTGTCACCCGGTGCGGTCCGCCCCCCCCCCCGCCCCCCCTCGCTAGGCCTCTGAGTGCAGCCCATTCTTGTGGATCCTGCTATTTGCGGAATACCCAATGAAGCAGACAAAGGGTGCGGAGGAAATATTACCTGCAGATTATGTCACAATAAACAAGAAATAATGGACAACAGGTCAGCAGCTCATACTAGCTTGCAAACTCAAGGTGCTAAGATGCTTAAAACATCAAATACAAAATTTAAACAAGCTGAAGTAGGTGACAATGTAAGCATCCGCATATTAGATGTTGACAGAGGTCGCGGTGATCCCCGAAGCGTCATGGCAGTAGTCATGAGCGTCGAGGGCGCTTTCTACAAGTTAGGAACGAAACATGGTGCGAGTTCTAAAACAACTGTATGCTAGTAGTGAGTTTTCTATTCTTCACGAAAAACTGCTCTTATTGTCGTCAGTTGACACTGAGGAAAAACCACTACGAACCATCGCATCTTCACAATCACTGACCGGTGGCCAAGGCTATATTTGCTGCAATTGCACAACCAAGTGCACAACAAATCGCTGCAAGTGTAAAAATAACAAAATGCCATAAAAGTTCAACTGATAATACTGATTGATTGAGACTAAAGTACAATAAAAAATTTGAATGTTTCTGTCATTTACTTTAATGAATAATCAATAAAGACTTAATTTCATTATCCTTATGGTATAAAAAAAACCCAAAATCTGCTCATGATCTTCTAATTCGGACTTTGGCCGGTCGTCCCTAGCCAGATGATCTTCTAATTCAGACTTTGGCCGGTCCACCATGGCCATTCCGCGGATTGGCCTGCCAAAGGCCGAAATCAAGCAAAGTTTCGGACTTTGACCGGTCAATGGGATGCGATATTGGTCAATGCGCGCATTGGCCAGCCAATGCGGGCATTGGCCGACTTCGGGCTTTGACCGTAAAATATATACAGAAAAAATATATAACATAATATTAGGATTAGGCTTACCATTATTACCCAACTCGCAATCTCTCTATAAATTATTATGAAATCAGCATGGTTCTTAATCTTATATTCTTAGTTAGATCTAGATTCTAGGTATTTATTATTTTTTTAAATGTGTCACCTCCCTTGGATGTAGGCAAATCTGTGAAAAAGTTAAATAAAGATGTTTTGGTTTCAGGTCAAGGACATATGATATTAGTCATTGATTCCCGGCCATAACTGTCTTCCAGCACACTGATCAGTTTCATAAAAAATATTGTTTCTACAATTTTTTAGATCTAGAAATCTAGATCTAGGATAATTTAAGTACTAAGCATTGATATAGAATCTAGATCTAACTACAATGACTACTCTAGCATTAATGTTGTTTCTTGTATTGATTTATCAGGTAAAAATAAATCTACTTTACTTTTTAGTTTTTACTTTTTTACTAAATCTAGATCTAGATCTAGATTTAGATCTAGATCTAGATCTAGAATCTAGACTAGACTCTAACTAAACTAAAGTCTAAATCTTCTGTTCTTCACTTAACGACTAACGTGTTAACTGTTAATAGTTATGAGTTAACTGTAGATCTAGACTAGATCTAGATCTAGTAGTTAACACTAGTTTTAGTTTTAGTGCTGACTTCATTAATTTAATATAATAAATTTTTAGTGAGAATTTTTATACCAGTGTCCGATAATAGAATCTTCTTTAAAAAAGGGGTGTTAAGGTTACTGGTAGTCAACTAGTAACATAAGGTAATCTATTAATATATCGTTTTAGGTACGTAAAATTGCCCGCGGCTAGTAATGTACAAAAAAGTTAACTCATTTTCAAGGCTTTTTTTTTTTTAATACTTCAATAGTTCAATTAGGTATTGTGATTTGTGTCAAATTATAGATAAATGAATAATAAACCTAAATCAATGGCTAAATATATCAATATAGGCAAGAAATTATCTTTACTTTAAACAGCAGTGTTTGCGAGCAGGATTTGCTATATAAAAAGCGGCCATCTGTAAGTTAGAGTGGCTTCCCCTGAATCTTGCGCTATAAGTTTACTATTAAAAAAAAAATAAGAAGGCTGCTATAGTAAATGAGCATGGTTGCATCTGTTGGAAACATCGCTAGTCTTCATTTATTACTGAAAAGTTTTAATTCAATTGTTTAAAAACAGGTACATAAATGAAACAAGGGAACATTTTTGTATTTTTCAAAACATAAATCCTCCTAAAAATGTGAAATGATTATTAAAATTTAAGGAGTCACCTGTTTTTCACATTACTAGTCGCGGGCGATTTTACGTATCTAAAACGATAGATTACACACATGGCTGGAATATGTCAATGCTAACCATTTCCCTAACCCCCAACCCTTTTACTTTTTACAAGGTAATACTCCATTAGCGTATTTTATTTGCCACCCCGTTCACCTCCGATTGAGCGTATTTTATTATAAACACAACTGAAACACAGTTCTTACTTACTTAATTACTTATACTTATCGAAGTGACTACTCGGAAAAAGATTTTTCGCCCCAGCATCTCCACCTGGTTGGCAAAAGATAGTTCTGCGCGTGCTCAGTAACTTTAATAGCTGAGCTTGGGTTAAGATTAGGGATAGGGTTAGAGTTAGGGTTCTGCTATTGTAAACACACACATGCGCAGTACTATCAAAAACATCGCCGCGATGGCAAATCGTAGTTTCTCTCCATTGCACATTTTAACACGGGCCTATTTATTTTAATTTTCAACTTAGTAAAGTAGCATCAGCGCGTATGTTCCTCTTTTTGGGTTCAAATTCCGCTTTTTAGGTATGACTGTTCCTACTTTTGGCTGCCAGGGTTAGGCATGTCGGCCTAAGTAAAAGACTTAAGGTATTATGTGGCTTGACACTTTCATCTGAGTCTCATGAAACTTTTGGGGAAGATTAGCAATTTTTTTTCTTTACCTACGATATATAAAAATAAAAGTCAGATGCTATTTGGTGCCCAGAATTCCCGAGCGACTATCTTAGCACTTGGTATTCATTGATTGGGCATCCTGCGTCGGGGTGCTAGGGGTTGAATGACCCGAAGCTCCCCTGGCTCCCCAGTGAGCACTATGGCACCTACATTCATTAATTAACAATAATTGTTGACCAAATCAAATCAGGTGCGTCCTTCAGTGCCCCACCAGGATGTAATTGGCACCCTGGTTTCCCACAAGAGCCTCCATTAGTTTGATGTAGTCCAATATACTAAGGATATGATGGTCTGCTATAAATGTTCTACTCTAAAGGTGGGGTGGGGCAATCATGTCTAAATCCCCATAAACAGACTCACATGTGCACTTGAGACCAAAGCCAGCCAATATAAAATGGTCATGTTCATATATTATTATTATCCTAACTTACTACTTATTCAGTATTGACATTATTTAAATTACAAACAAACTTAAAATATAACTTCCATTATGGTAATTATATCAAAAGTTTATGCATCATTTGATTTTTTGATATTTGATGTCTAACTTGATCATAAATGACTTTATGCCACTAGTTAACTTGTGTATTTTATTGTTTCTATCGTTTAAATCTAGATATTTGCGGAGGACTGTGGGAACAACCTTCAGTAAGTATGCAGACAGATTTTTTAACAGTATTTTTCAGACCAATGCAGTTTTTTGGTTCGTTAATATTAATGTTTGTGTTCTAAAAAATTATTAATAAAGATTACCATATGTTTAATTGTTCACATTTTTTAAGCTGTAATTAATAACATTGAAATAACAACATTTTTATCATATTCCTATATTAGATTTTCCATGACATTTTTCTTGTAAAAACAAGTTATGATTTTATTTTAGGTGTATTGCACCTCATAAATGTTGTGAGTATAAAACTGCCTGCTGCCCTGATGGTTTGTTTTACAGTAGGCTTCAAATATGGAATATGTGGTACTTTTGGTAAGTGTTAATTTCATAAAGCTTAAAAGAAATATTAATTTTGAATCTGATCTTTTTTTATGATAAATCTTTCTTGACATGATATTATTATCAATGTCTCCCTCACTTTTTTGAGTTTGATATATAATCATTGTATACATAATTTTTATTCAATTTAAAATATCTGTGTAATCTAAATTAAATGTAGTTATCAAAATTATTTTTTACAATCATAAAATAAGAGAGAGACTAGCAATGAGTTTTTTTTATATGTTGTAAAGGGAATACTAAAAACCTCTTAGTTTAATATTCACCCCATTCTTTAAAAGGGTGAGCTTTTGTACCTTTTTTTTTGTATCTCCAACGATAATATTGTCAGTTTTTAATCTATTAGGTTTCTCATCATATTCATGATGATGTCTTGCTTTGGTGGTTGTGGTTACTACAGAAGAAGGCGTTTAGCAATGTTGACAAGATCTTCAGCAGCTCAACCTACAAGACCTAATGTAATCTTAACTCCTTGCCAAAGAGCACATAGAACAACTATTCAAGATGGGAATAGACAGTTTAATTTCTTTGCTTACAGTGGACCAGGTTTTAATGGACCTGAAGCAATTTCTAATTTACCTCCTGCATACAGTGAGGTAATGATATATATTATTCTTATCAAATACAAAATAAAATTTGCATCCAGCTAAGATGGAAATTTGTTATTTTATAATGGTTTGATATGACTTGCTTAGTACCAGCATTTCCAAATGATGACTGATACTGATATCATTAAAATGCTACAGATGTTGTAATGGATTGTGTAGAATAAGACAATATCTGGATCAAGTAGTTAGATAAGGATGAGGTTATGACCTGTTTGTATTATGCCTACTGCTTGATATGGTGGTAAAAAAAAAATATAAAAATAAACAATAAGTATTATTTAAGTTTCATGTTTGAGAAAATATTGTTAGTCTGGAGGTTGTTTTTTTTTTTAAATAATTTAATGGCATTTAGACTAGGTTATGTAAACAGAGTTGTGCCATATTAAAAAATTTTAATGTTTGCGCAAAATAGTTTTATTTATTTTTTCATGTCAACAAAATATTTTTCAATCATATCTTAGGTTGTTAATGAACCAGCCCTTTATTCTCTAAATAAAGTTGAACTTCCCCCGTATCCTGGGAACTATAAACCAGGTATATGTTTTATTATTACTAAAAAACCATTAGCATGAAAATAAAAAGATCTTTTAATTATTATTCATTCTAAAAGCACAAGTAATCATTATCATACCATTTTAACAACAAAACTCTTATAAATGATTTATGTTATTAGTCTACCTTTTCCTATTTCCCCTCTTTTATAACTTATAAGAAGTGTTGTGTGTTCATTAAAAAAACAACATATTCCTGAATTTCTCTTTCTAAGCTTTTGATTGCCTAGCTTTTTTTTTTAGCATACCTCATTAGTTTTATAACTCATTTTCCCTACAAGCTAATTTAAAAGAATTGTCTTTAAATTTCCATTCAACAGAGGATAGCCATATTATGTCTACCCATGGAGATAATAGCATGCCTCCAGCGTATACAGAAATCCATTTTGATTCAACACAAGCATTCACAGCTTCCCAGAATAGTATGCCACAACACACAGATAGTGCTGAAACAGACCAGCAAGAGACAGCTGATGGAGTTAACAGAGGGTATTCAAATCATGCAATGCATCATAGCAATTAGATTTTGTATTATGTAATTACAAGTATTAACCGCTCCTCTTTTTAACATCTGTCGGAACCAATAATCAGCAAAATATTTGATTTTGTTCAGAAAGAATGTAAAAATAACAAACCGATAGCATCTTAAGTTCACTTTATGTGACAGTGGTAGAGCACATAATTCCTAATTCAGAAGTTTTAAGTCTTGGGCTCAAGTATAGAATATCCCTGAGTTCACCCAGATCTGATGGTTACCCATTTAAGTCAGGTAAATATATAGATGACTGAGCATAGCGCTATATAATACCTTGATATACCGTGGTAAAAACAAAATGGCGCTATATAATACCTTGATATACCGTGGTAAAAACAAAATGAACTCCGTATACAATTGATCATCAGGCCAACAAGTGTGCTTGTATAAGGGAGATGACAATTTATTTTAATAACTTTATCCCTTTTAAAAAGCCATCTGTTAAATATTGTTCATAACGGAGTGTATTTTATTAATAAGTGAAAATGAAGTGTCTTAACTTTTAAATTTACTAAAAGATGGCTGTGTAACAAATATTAGAATATCAAATTCTTTAATACTTTTATCAGAGTTAGTCCTAATGATTCTAAAAAAATGGCTTAGTTATACAACTTCTTTGCAGATGGTTTGTGTGATAATCCCACTCTTGTGATTATAAGCCATGTCATCTATTCAGCCTTAGTTTTTACCACTTTTTAAGCTGCTTAGTGTAAAATCACATTCTAGTGATTATGAAGACTGATGTCATTTATTCAGTGTTTTGTACTATTTTTTCAGTTTGCAGCTTTTCACATACACTAATTTAATAAGTATTCAGTTGTAGTTTGTAGTGGATTTTTTTTTAAAGTAAGCAATGAGGTTATTTTATTTGGTGCATCTTAATATTTATTTTGCCTTGAGGAATTACAGCTTTGCAGAATGGATCTGAAGAAGAGATGAACAACATTTTTTAAAAAAGTGTTAGGTCTGTTTTATTCATTAAAACATTAGTCGGCCTATATAATATTTAAAAAAATGTATTAAGTGCATTGAAAAGAATAAGCAAGAAACATACAAAAATATCCATTTAGCAGCAGGGTATCCTCCATGGTCAAATTAAACAAGAATGGGGTATACTAAACAGTACTTGATGTGTTATTAAAAAAGAAATCTTTTCTTAATTGTAAATTTCTAAATTATTATAGGGACTTATTTTCATGGTGCAAATGTATATTTAATAAGAACATGGTTAATGACAATATGTTACAATATTTGCACTAAGATAGGTGTACTTTGTAATATTTATTCTCTGTGTTTATGTAATTTAAGTGTGCAAAATCAAATTTTTCTAGTCTTTTTTTTTCTATGTTGAAATGGCATGTTTTAATTGTATGTTGATGTAAAAAGTCAATTTTTACTTAGCAAAGTTTCATGACAAAACCAGTTTATTAAGTTTATTCAACTTCAAAGTGCAGTCACTTGGCATAATATAGTTTCATTATCATTTTCATAACTTAAATATTTGCAATATAATGTGCCTTCAGACAAATATTTCATGTGTAAGTGTAACAGTTTATGTAATTACATATAATTATAGTAAAATACAAATATCACCCTTCTTTTTGTGCTTGTTACTGTTATAGTAATAGGATGCAATATGTATTTTAAGTTCTTATTTAGTATTTTTTAAACACTTATTTACCAAGATTTATGTTTTTATTATATTATACAAGTATACAAATCCATGGTTAATATAAATTTATGGCTGTTGAATAACATTTTTTAATGTTATCAATGGTCATTATTTTTCATGTTGTGAGTAGACTCCAACTAAACAATATACTTTTATGTTGGAGTAAAAACATATTTTAAAAAAATTGTTAATACATTTCAACTACTAATCCCTTTTCCAGAACACCATCTAAATATGAAATAGCTGAGACTGTTGTTAAAGACCTTTTTTTTAAACCAAGATTTGAAATGTTTTGCAATAAACTTGCTGTTTAAATTTAAGTTCATTTTATCAAGCTATTTGACAAATTTTGACAGAACTTTTTAATAGTTTCTACTAAATTTTTTCTAAATGCTTATGTTAATTTTTTTTTTTTAATAAACTAATTCAGCGCATCCATTTAATTTAACTCATAACACCAGCAATTTTGAGTCAAATCAAAATGAAGCTGTATTCACACCTTGGTGAGTGTAATTTTTAGAGAAAATGCTGTAGATCACAACACTGTAGCATGAGGAAAATAGACAATGTGTGTTCAACATTATAAATGTTTCAATGGATTTATTTTAATTACAGACAATGTTTAAGTTTATGGACGTAACAATGTGCAATAATTTTGTGAGTGCTGTGCTTGATGGTTTTTAAAAAAAATATTTTACTTTGTGTCTACTTTAAAATGGAAACAGTTTACAATTTTAGATATTTTACAGTTATAGTTTAGTATAATTGGAATGTTAAACACACAATTGACTTTACTTAGTAACTCTAGAATACAAACAGCTTCATGTTGTAACTTTTCTTTAAACATACATTGACCTGTTTAAATATTTAATGGTTAAACTACTTTCAGAAAATATTCTTATACAATAAAATGTTTATATTTTTCTTTACAAGAAAACACTTGTTACCTTTAACCCTCTTAGAGTGGATAAAATAAATACTGGTGCTTGGCAGCTCTCCATACAAAAAGCATCAATTCTAGAGTCAAAATTATTTCAAACAACAATGTTAATACAGCAAATAACAGTCACTACATTGAATTTAGTTATCTTCTATTGATGTAAAATTATTAGTAGTTAACATTTTTTAATAATATTGATATAGTAATGACATTGTATTAAAGTCAAGGAAAGAAAATTAACATTCCAAATCAAATTTCAATCGACTATATTTTATGTTTTGAAATTAAAGGTTTTCCTGCAAAATTGTTTTTAGTTTTTTAAGAGAAAACAGAGACTTTTAAAACACAATGCTTACACCAATATTATTAGGTGTATATTTGTATATTTAACAGTGGTATGGTATTTTAAGACATTGATAAAATGATCAATAATATATTAATAGTATAGGTAGGCCTTTATACTTAAATGTGTTTGTCTCATTTTGATTTGTATCAAATTAAAGGGGCTAAGTGTACAACAGTAAGTAGTGTGCACAAATAACTCCTAATTGGTTGTTTTTTATTTGTGTATGGTGTGTTGCTTTAATTTCTTATTTTAAATAAGAGCTGTGAGTGAGTGTTTCTAAACAGTATTCTAATCAAATTGATCTTATGCTTTAATTTACACTCTATAAAATTGTATGTGTAATTGTATAAACAGTTCAAGAATAAAGTTGGATTCTAAAAATCAAGTTATAATGAAGATTGTTTTTAGTAAACAAACTAGACAAAGTGTGTTGTGTATCTGTAAATAATTAAAGTTATATTAGTCTATATACAATACTAGTTGCATATGCCGCATACTTAATTATAAGATTGACAATTTTTATATTATTTATACATTTGGGTTCTACTTCTGCTCCTCCATCTCAATTTGTCTATGGCTCCAACAACTAGCTAGATAACACACATTGGAATTAATTGAAATTCCATAATTCATTCCAGTCCCCTATTTCGGTCACTTAAATTCATTTAATAATTACACTCTTAATGCTACATTCTATCCCTAAACTTAACCGAAAATCATTGGTCTTGCTTTTTTTCCATGCTTTAAGGCATTAAATGGAGGTCTGTTTTTTCCTCCCTTTCAGAATTTTTTGATAATTAGTTAGGTAAGTGAAATTAAATAGCTCTGATCCACAATCAGTTAAACATTTTGGAGATACTTTTCCACAAATTGTTAAACTGCTAATCTGGTTACTCGTAGCAGATGAATAAGCAGTGGTAATGCTCTTCTTAAATTTCACCTTTTTTCCCTTGTCATCATCATAGCCAGTTCATTATTTTCCTTCTAGATCTAGATGATAATATATAGTTAGCAACATGGTGGGCCTGGAATGTGAGAGAACAGAGAGGCAGGCAGACGGACCTATAGATATCTATTCCTAGGATGTGTTATAAACTCTAAGCTTGGTGGTGCATTGTTGACAAAGAAAACTGCCATTTGCTGAGACAGAGCAATTTTAGTGATCGTTGTAGTGTGTTTTGTCCAGCTTGGCCTTTTTTGGCAATGCTCAGAAATTAACGATACTAATACAAAATTTATACAATCTCAGAATCACACACTAATTTTCCTATTGCTTAGTTGTTGTTTTTTTCTACATTTAGAATTTTTAGTCTTTTATGCATTTTAAAAAAATTAGTATCCCTTTAAAAGCTATTCAATTTTTCACATTTTATAGGTATTTGTAAAGTAAAGGCAAAGGAATACGCTGAATGGAAAAAAAAAAAAGGCCCGGGAGTTGAAAAGGGGGGGGGGAGGGTCAAAATCCGTTGCGTAGTGCCGTTGAAAAATCATCTCGGTGACAGTCTAGTTTTCAAGTGGTAAATGAGATATAGATCTAGATCTATGTGTAATATTACTAGATCTACTAATATCAACAACTATTTTAAAAAATTAGGCAGAATTACTTTTTAATGGTACTAAAATATAGAGGATTAGCCTACTATATAGTATAAGTAATACTATATACTACTATACTGACTATACGACACTATGAAATAAAAAGCATTATATTTTGTCAAATTAGGGCGAAAACGGCGTTTTATTTCCCGGCCGTTTGACTAACCTATATCGCTATATGGATAGCACCCATAAAAAGAGCCCATAATCAATAATCATGCTAATGATAAAAAAAAAATGTATTAGTAATTTTTGCTTTTTGTTAAAAATAATGATTACTCCCTGGTATTTACTAAGCATGTTGTTAGGTACGCGGAAAAATAATTTTAATGTCTTTAATTAATAATATTTAAAAAATTAAAAACGTACTAAGCTAGCTGTAAAAATATAGATCTAAAAAGTCTAAGATTTTAAAAGTTGGACTAAGTTATTTATATTTATTAATAAACTGAAATTTGTAGCTGCACAACTTAATTTTAATAACATAAAAAATTTTTTTTCCATCAATCGTAACTGTTGCCAAGTAAATTTTAAAGGGAGATAATTAGACATACAGAAATGTTATTAAATTTTTATAGACTAGAAATCGTTTCTTTTTTTTTTTTAAGTAGGCTAAAGTAACAGATTAAAAAGTTTTTAAAAGGGCAAAAACTCGAGATTTCTAAATTAAATTAGATCTAAACCAATATATCTAACTGAAATAGACTAGATCTAGATCTAATGCGATACAAAGAAGACAATCATCTCGCCCATGCCAAAAAAACAAAAACTAGCCTCCAATGAAAGCATGGGTTTTAATCACGTGACAGAATTTTTTGTAGATACATTGTATAGCCTAGGCTTAGGCTATGCAGTATGCAGCTATTCATGATTTACTCACTCTGAAAAGAAGATTCGCACTCTTGTGCTCCAAATCTAGATTCTGGATCTCTATCTGATTATTTTTGAGAAAAAAAAAGACTATTATAAAGCAAACATATTGTATAATTAAGTGGTTTGTTGACATTTATTTTACTGGAATAGAAAATATGAACCAGACAATGACGAATTCACTCGTTTTTGTTATTAATTTAATAATTTCACAATTTTAGCCAACTATTTTTAGTCTTTCCAATATTCTTTAAAATTAAATTATAATTTTATCGGTTTTAATTTAAAGTTAGTCTACTAACTACTGGACCTAGTCTAGATTCCTAGAATAAGTCAAGAGATTAAAGTTCTAGAATCTAGATAGAGTCTAGACTAGATTCTTAGTCTAGGTAGGTAGATTCCAGATATCTAGTCTAGTAGATAGTTAAGAGTTTAGATACCTGTAGATCTACTTGTGGTGAGGAATGTCGAACCAAGTGCCCCAGAGAGTTAGACGAAATGGGTCTCCATCTACCATCACCAAGCAGGGCCCCATTAAAGCTGTAAAAGTATTTTCCTTGAAACAAGGAACCGATGTTCTTCATAAGCCTACTTCTACATCGCCTAGAGATAGCCAAAAATTATTATCAAGCAAATCCCCTGACAACAGAATCTCACCTGAAGAAGGCACCAGTCCTGCAGGATCAGTTCTATTATCACTTACTGCTGCAGCAAAATCCCAATCTCCAACCAGCCCAGGCAGCTTTTATCATAGTAATCCAACCAGCATTAAAATCAAAGGTAATAATTACTAAATTAGATCTAGACTCTGGACAGGCCCAATTAGTGCTAATGATAATGGACATCTAAATAAATAACTAGGGTTGCCAGGTGTCCAGTTTTGAACTGGACAGTCCAGTATTTGAGCAGACTGTCCAGGATAAAATAAATATAACTACTTGACAAGTATATGAATAATACTCTGTTACCCCCCTTCTTCTGCTTTGCGGCATACCTGAGAAGGGAAGGATGAAAAGGTGTCCAGTATTTTCGGAAAAGGTATCTGGCAACCCTATAAATAACTAGGGAAAAAGTTGTAAAAAAAGGAATGGGTTAAAATAGGCCCTTGCATACACATTTATTTTATCATATTTTTAATTAGGCTAAATTTAATATTTTGACTATTAATACTAGTACTAGGCCTACTAGAAATTACTATATCTAATTAATTAGCCTACTATTAGGCCTATCATTTTTAATAATATGCTACTGAAATTAGCAATCAATTAGTTGCAATGTGAATGTGCGCTCAATTTGATTTCAAAGCTTGATATTAGAATCTGTCAATCTTTATCATGATATGCATTAAATTTTTGTATTTAGAGAATACATTTTAAAAAAACCTCTCTAGACAATACAAAAAGTAAGTCTGCTGGGCATAGGCCCTAAATCATTTCATCCTTTCAAGAAAAAGATTAACTCTTCTTCATCTTCACTATAAATCTTCATTCAAAAGGGGAAACTTCAAAAAAATTTTTACCCCATATTTTAATTACTAGCCTAAATAGTCAATAACTGGTTCTATACATCCCTGTATGTGAAAGGAACCAATATTTAACTAATTTAATGCTTGACCCAAAATAACAATAAATAGCAGGTAATTTTTATTTTAGCTCCTGGTGGACAATTGATTTAAAACCTATTTATAATTTGTTTGTAGGCCTGCACAGTTCAGATACTAGTCCTACTATCAGTATTGTAGTTAATTTTATTAGCATTTTCACTTGTTACTGATATAAAAGTAAAAATATAATGCCTAAACTACCTTACCTTAAATCTAATAAGCTCAAGCATCTAATGTAAATTAAGGTATTTTATAGTTCATGGTTCCTTGGAAGTTAAAATTTAAAGTCAGTCATACTAGCTGAAACTTAGCTGTTTTTATAGTACTTTACCATGTTATTCTTATAGAATTTAACAACAAATTTAAATAATTTGCATAATTACAAAAAAAAATACTTTAAAATTGGAAAGTTGTATTGTTTTGCTGATAATGTAAGCTATGTTTAATTTAGCATTAGAGGGTAAACTTGGTGTTTTGATAATCTGGATTCTAATTAATGTGTGCTGTAGTCTATAGTATAATGACAGAAATAAATTAACCTTACTATATTTGTGAAAATGTCAAATCTCATGAGCAGTTTTTTATGTGTCTTTAATTTTGTTGAGTTGAGGCCTAAACTAAACGTAATACAAATTACATTTTATCTAGAAAGAAGTAAAGGACATAGACAAAGCCCAGTTCCTGGAAAATGGAGAGCAAGTTCTGCAGATGCAGTTGTTCCAACCTACTTAACAGGACAGTGGCCCAAGGATATCAACAGCTATCACTGCTCTCATTCCGATGGAGTTTTTATGTCTGATAAATCAACTCAGGTAAAAACAAACTACTTCTACTTAATATAGACAGTGACAATAGAAACAAGCTTATGATTAGTTATGAATGACTATTAGAACCCATAAATATAAACACATCAAAATAGACTTGGTTAGTGAAAAAGTTTTCACTAAATGAGTGTTAATAAATTGGTGGTTCTCTATTGTTTTATTCCACAACACAATATTAGACCCTAAGCAACACACAATACCCCATAACTATATAAAGCTTATTCTGTATAAAGGAAATAATTTCACATTGTTTAATATTGGTGCAACAAATGGTGCTGTTTTTCAATATTGATATAATAAGTACCTTTTCTTTGCTTCTATTCATTATTTTTTAATAGATTTTATTTTTTTGCTTTTAGCACTTACACTATATTTGATCAGACAATTTTTAATTAACAGACTGTAGCTGAATGGGAAGGCAAACCTGAAAAGAAAAAAAAGGTGCATAAAAGATCTGCATCATTTGGTCAAGGAGATCAGTTAAAGGTAGGATAGTTGTTCATAATGTTCTGTGAAAATGATATTAATTTTTACATCACTGTCCTGTGAGATCTTGCTCAACTTCTCTATGAAAATGTGTGTGAACTACTTTTAAATTTTAGCCTCATTTAAATTTTTATATGTATTTTTTAAATTATATTTTTCAAGCTCCAGTTCATCAAACATCATTTACAAAAATCCAAAGAAGGCTGTAAACAGAATGACGTCAAGCAGCGTTCCAGTCCAATCCCAGGGAAACATTCAGCCCTTTCACTCACAGCACCACCAGCCCTTTGTTCTCTTCAAACCAAAACTGTGTTGACCTCATCAGGAAACATTCCTAGGCATAATATGAACAGATATCAAAGAAACAGTGTAGAGGGGTTGAATATGGTAATCAGTTGTTTTGTTGTTTTTTTCTTGTATCTAACCTAGTTCTTGTTTTTAATTTGTTTTTTTTTTTTTAATTATTTTTTAATTTGTATTATTTTAGGAGATTGAAAAGCTAGTTTCCAGTGTAAGGGGTGTGCATATTAATGGCATTGATGGGGATGAAACAGATGTTTTTAGGGTAAGTACATTAATATTTATGCAATATCGTTTTATTTCTTTGTTATTTCTTTGTTAGTTAAAAAAACTACTAAGATCTTGTGGAAGCAAACAGATACAATAATCAAACTTATCCTTTGTATGAATTAAAAATGTGCAGAATATTCCCTCTTTGTAAAACAAACTCTAAGAGGCATTCATATGAATTTGTTTTTACTAGGAAATACCAGATGGACATCGAGCACCAGTCCCTGAAATTTCCCATTTAAGTTGTACTCGAAGTATAGACACTCAGACTCCTTTAGACAACATCACAGCATCCACCACAACAGCTGCTACAGCAAGCAGACCTGCCTCAATAAGTCCCTCTTTACGTCCAAGAAGTGGAGAGGGTCTGTATTTAGGTGGAAGCAGATCTGAATCAACAGACAGCAAGTCTAGCAAAGGTAATTTTTTTTACTCAAAATTTTGTTACTTTGTTTGTTCTTTAACTCATTAGCTGCTGATGTTGTTCTTTAACCCATTTTGATGCTGATGGGACCGGATGTGACAAGACACAATGCTATCCCTTTCTTCTCTATTGAATCATTACACAGGAAGCTGGTTTACGTGCTATTACTGTGAAAAACTAAATATATAACGAAAAAGTTAAGATATTTTTAAAAAACTGCTGTTTTTGCTTTATTCATTCTTGGAAAATTAGGTCAATTTTCCAACTTGAAATTTCATAGCGCTGGGAATATTTTTCCTTATTTATAAACAATTTCTAGAATGTTTAAGTCAAAATAATGTGTCTGACATTAAGGTAGGTGAACTTGCTTGTAATTTTGAATCAGACTCGGTCTCTTATTCTAATGATGGTAGTGTTAATGAAGTGCCTGCTGTTGGTGATGGTGAGTTAGAATGGACAGATCAACTGATTCCGTTTTTCAGAAGTGATTGGAGGAATCCACAATTTATTTGTTGACAGTCGTGCTTTAGATCATTTCAAACTGTTTATAACTGATGACATGATCAACATGTTTGCTCTTGAAACAAACCGCTATGCTGAACAAAAACAGGCATAGAAGGGAGCCAGAGTTGTCTACTGGAAGCCAGTTAACTCGGGTGACTTAAAAATAAATTTCTTTACATACATTTTATGTTAGGGCTTCACAAACTGTCCAACTCCAAGAAGTACATAAAGACAAACCTGCACCCTGGGTCATGAAGGTTGGGTGTTGCACCAAGGCCAAAACTGGATAGGTTTTAAATTTCCAGGTTTACATGGGAAAACAAGAAAAGGCTTTTTATGATGTCTAGGCCACCAATTTTTTTTTGACAATTTTTCTTCTTTGAAATTTGCTGAGGACCTTCTTTCTCAAGGAACATACAGTTGTGGGACAAAAGATCCAACAGGAAGGGATGGCCACTCCCAAAGAGCAAACAAAAAACAGGGGAATGTATTTTGAAGCAAAGAGGTTCCCTGTGGACTGACAAGTGACATGTCAATATTTTATCACCTAATTCTAACCCTGAAATGTATTTGGTGGTTATGCGAACAAAAAGAGTCAGGGAACAGCTCATTCCACACCCTGTATTCAGGTACATTGCCAGCTTGTTTTGAGGAGACCTGTCAGACCAGTACAGTGGGTCGACCCAGCAACAAGTGCTGGCTGTACTTGTTCTGGTACTTGGTCCATGTAGCAGAAATTAACAGTTTTATTTTAAAGGATGCTGCTGATTCTCCTTTGCAGAATGATCTCAAATTGTGATAAAAACGCAAGTGTTTTCAATGTTCTATAGACTGTAACAAGAAGAGCTCTGACACAACCAGAGAAACAACAACTGGTTGTCATTTGTGCCAAGTACACTTCCACAAAGGTCATTGCTATTTAAAGCAGTTGTTCAAAAACTATTTTTGCTACGGAAAAGCGGTGTCAAGTGAACTTTTTTTATTTGTGTTATTAGTATTAAATAAATGTACATAAAAGTATACATTTACTGGAAACATCAAATTTTTTAGTTTAGTTTTTGTTAATATTTGTTTGTATTTAAATTGTCCGATTATTTTATTTTAAAATATTAGCTCAAAAATGAATTGGTATCTGCTTAGGGGCAGGGGAAGTATTTTGAGATCAGCCTTAGTGACAAATAAGACAAATTATTTTATCAATTCAGATGTAAAAAAAAATTGTCTTTGTTGGTCAGTTGTTCTCATCTTATTGCTTGGTTAGAAGCATGTGTGAGAAAAAGTTAATTGAAAATGTAAGTTTTTAACTTAAGAATCTAATACAGATCTACATGTAACAGAAGTTTTAGAATGTATTACTTATTCAGACTTTTAAAAAAATGCTTTTACTAAGTTATACATGTCTAATAACATATGCTTTCTGTTGTTGTTTTTTTTATAAAGTATTTTGTTTTTGCATGCAGATTCTGAACCTTACACCATTTCTAGTCCAAAGACTTCTTGTCCATTTGTTAGACAACCACCAGATGGCTGGGAAAACATAACAATACTAGAAGAATCAAGGTAACAAAGTTTTATATTTAGGGAAAAATTTATTGGGCTGTCACATCATTTCAGATCAATTTCTTAAATAGTAAGCACCCAATTACAGAAATATTGATAATTGCTTCTTAAAAGAGTTACTCATTCATTTAAAACAATCATAAGGTAGTTTCTCTTTTTATGAAATACCTCTACACAAATTGTAATTTTTGTGTAAGTTTTTTTTTAAACAAAATGTATTTAAAGAGCTGATTTTTTATTACTGTGTAGCCATGTATAATTCTAATCAAAGGTCCACTATGCTATCCTATTACATTCCCAATAATGAACTTTTTCACACTTCAGTTGTAGTTAATCCCTTTTTTTTAAATTGATCTAAAGCCAATATGTGCTACGCTTTAAATATGAAGAAGATAAATTATGTTTGGTATTACTACAATGATAATGTGTATATTATATGGTAAAAAGCTTCTCAATTATTTTATATACATTTCCTATGAACCTCTTAGAAGACCACAGATCAAAGAACCAATGCTCTTCTCTCCGGTTAAGCCGAACCAGTTTGTGTTTAAGCCCAGTCAAGGCTCAGCATTTTATCCCCTGATGAAGAGCTATCTGGTGGACAGTGAGTTCACACACGGCTACACCGGCTCACAGTCTCCTGTCTTGTCGTCTGGCTTTGATGGTTGAAGTTCAGCATAACAAAGTTACACACAATTTATGGGTATATTTTGATATTCAATGCCTTACCTGAATCAAAGATTTGACTTTGCTCTTTCCATAAATATTTTATTTTAAAAGATTCTCATTCTACCATTTATAGCACAAGCTGTTTTTTTTTCAAAGTGTTTTTTTATAACTGGGTGTTAAAGATTGACTTGATGATTTTGTCTGTTTCACCTTGCCATATTTAAAACTTCCAATTTGTTACAGCTTATCAAAGATCTGTATTATAACATTTTGCCATACATTATTTTTCCATGTAGCTTTCACTTCTGTACAGAGGCGTAGCAATTGGGGGGGGGGGGGTACATATGTCCCCGGGCGCCGACCTTAGGGGGCGCCAAAATGGGTTGTAAAATCAAATTAAAATGTCATTTTAGCTGCATTTTTGCATTATAAATAGTTTGAGGGGGGGGGGGGTGCAAATTGAAAGTTTGTCCCCGGGCGCCGGGAAAGGTCGCTACGCCTCTTCTTCTGTATACAGTCCGTACCATTAGCTCTTTTATGTTGAAAAAAAATTAAAACAGGCTCATATTCGATTAACAATAAATATTTCATTAAATAAAACTTCATTTAATTTTATGCCTCAGTGAGTAAACTAATAGTGATATGAACATATTTTAAACATGACTTTACGAACGCCTCAAACTTTACAATTCTTTGTGTGTAAGATAGTGAAAGAAGTGATAGTCTTGTTACTAGATCAATCTTTCTGTTCAGTAGCAATGTTTTCAGTGTTATTAAAAAAAATAATTGCCCTTTCGTATTTCCTTAATACATTTGATATACTTATTTTACTTTATTGTAATTTACTATTTGAAAATTTTTGAATGTAAAATATATAAGAGCTAATGGTTAGTGTTTTATTATTACGATAGTTTCAGTCTGTGATTTGAGTCTAGAAATCTCTATTTTATCCTGCAATTATTTTTTTTTTAACATTTTCTCTTGAAAGTGAAATAATGAAATTATTTGAAGGAGACAAAAATTGCTTTCAAGACATGATTACTAATGTCTACAACAAAATTCAGGTATTATAATTCATGTAAGTATTTTGTCAGCTATGCTAAAACATATTAAAACCTTTTTATCAAGACTAACAAAACAAACACATGTGGTTTTACCTTAGGTCTTAAAATAAACTAGCTTCCAGGTGTGAAAACAAAAGATGTCACATGCCCTAGTAGAGGATAATTACTTGCATTGGGATTTTTCTGAACAATTATTTTCCCTTAATACGTTAACACTTAAGATTTGACTTTTTTTAAATATTTGATTTCATTGAAGGGAAACATGGAAACATTTAAGTGTTCGGTTAGTAATAATGTGTTCTAAATTTTATAACAACTCAAAATCATTTAGGGTATTTGAAATAACTCCCATAATTAAGTGCATTTGCTAGCAATGTCAGTAAACATTTATTTTTAAAGGTTATTTTTTTCAAAACAGTATTTCAAAAATTCTTCAAAAACCATTGTTTCATCTTTTTGAAACTATGTTTGTGTTTCCCATATTAAATCTTGAGTGAAGTTTTCTTTTTCCATTGACGTAATTCATGTATTAGAAACTTTGTAAGCAAATATTCAAAGCTGGAAAGTTGTATGGACTTAAATATCAGGGACATAAATCAAAATCTGTAACGTTCCATCCTAAATAAAATATATGAAGTTTTTAAATGTTTAATGGCCCTCAAACAACTTACAAAATATTTATTTTCTCAAAAACTACATTTAAACATGGAGAATATATAATATATATACAGTTAAGCCTACCAAGAAAATGGCAACTTTGGGGTAATTTTAAAATAGGCAAGTAACTATTGATCATAATATTGCAATACATGTTTATTTTTATTTTTTCAAACCTCTTTCATTCACTCATATTTTGTATTAGTTAGAATGAGCTTTAGTTTTAGCTCATGTTCATACAAAAAAAAATAGGGTCTGATAAAACAGCCATCGGCCCCCCCATCTCCTCAACTAATGTATTTCAACTGAAATGAAAACTTTTATGCACTACCTTTTCTAAAAAAAATATTTTCGTATCCAAAGTTTTTATTACTCTTCTGTTTATTGATGCGTGTGAAGGGGAAACATTATTGCTCTGCTTAACTTTTTAGTCTTCCCCAGTAAATTCGTAGTGATTTGTTATCAAATAATACAGTGAACAACCAGCATAATATCACACATTGCTTGTTTGTAAGCTAGAATCTATTCATTCTGGGAACAATTTACTCTATTTGGATGAAGTTTTAAAAAATTAATAATTATTAACAGTGCTAGAAATAGTTTGAATTTTAAGTGGTTGTTGGAAAAATGTGTACATTATTTTACATTTTAAGATTTTGTGTGTTCCTTACATTTAAAAAAACAATTTGTTAAACGGTAAGGAATAAGTGCTTTGTTCAGCAATTTTTTGGAGTCTTAAATGTTAGAATATTTGTATTTTCTTTAGCAACTGTTTACGTCTAATCAAAAGTATTCACATACTTTGAATAGTTTTTTTTTAAAGAAAATCTATTGTAAATAAATTAGAATGTAGACATTATATAGTTCTCATTTTAACATTCTACAAACTTATTCTGAACATATTTGTATTCTGGCATCAGGTTATTTAAACAAATCCGCTACCTATCCTGATGCATGAAATTGTATGTTATAGTGCTGACATGTTGATTTTCCATCACAAAGTTTACTTTTTTCCAGCTAAAAGTTCTTTCAATATTTATGGAGTGCATTTGTCCTCCATAAAGTACCGTCCATTGTTGACCCTACACTGTTTGTCCATTGCTGTTTTAACCACCCCCACTCCCTCCCCCACTGTATGAATGGCCAGTGTATTTATGTAATAGTTAGGTCAAAGACTTGTCAGGTGCCATTGTGTGTGTGGGGGCAGCAGCAGAGGGTAACTAACATACACACGCATTTATAACCTGCTGCACGGCTGACAACTTGGATGTGATGAGTGTTACAACATAAGCAATCAGTTGACCCAAATGTTTTATTTTGCTGGGCTTTTCATGTGATATTCTGTTGTGGAACACTGCTAATTGTTTTAACACATGTTTGACTTGTAGTATGATAGTACTTAGTACATTTACTCTTGTATAAGCATATATTTTTATTATGTTATTAAAAAATTTGAAATAATGGCTGCAAAGGCAAATGTGAGGCAAGTCATTAACATAGTCCTGGTAGTAATTTTACAAAAATGTGGTGATTTCATTGATTACTTTATTGCATTCTTTTAGTTTAAACTTTTGTGTAAGAGAATTTCTTGAAGGTTTTGTTTTCAATGCAGTATCATAATGATTCATGTGACTGTTGAAAAACTTTAATTTGACAGCAAATCTTTGATCTCTGTAAACATTTTTTTTGTAAGAAGCAAAATATACTTTTAGTTCTGACCATTTCTAAAAGTATACTTTGACCACTGTTTCTATACCAATGAATGACCAATTACACTTTGATATAGTCTGGCAGCTACATACTTATTGGGATCAATTGGACCACAATTTTCTGGCCACTGTTTGCTTTTCTATTTTTCATAAGCAGATTTTTGCCATATCTACTGAATGTGTTGGTAGTTTTCTGCATGCTTTAGTGGACTTGGTTTGCTGAAATCATGTCCTGATGTCACATAATAGTTTGTTCACATATACTTGTATGTTGCTATATACCATAGTATTTTAGTTGATACATTTTATCCCATCTTTCATATGGCATTTTTATTTGTGATATGCAATGAGGATGCATTTGTTATGAGGAGGTAATGAGAAAATAAATTCCACGGTTTTCTCAAATCCCACAAGTGATGGTATATTTGTATGCTACCCACATAAATATCTTGTTTTATATTGTTCAAAGTTAATTGTTTGAAATCTAGTTGAAAAATACATTTAAATTATTTTCTAAATGGTTTGTTATCTGCTTGTATGTTGTGCTTATGTTTAAAGGTTGCGTTTGAAATGTAATATGATCCATCCAATACAAAAAGCGGGTGCTAACTAAAGTGTTTTATTGGCATTGGTTTCATGGTTTCTTCTTGTAGACAATGCAGATAGTCTAACACCAACAATCTGCATTGATTTGTTGAGCATGAGAACTATGCCCACATCCTAAATTTTCCCAACTGCGTTAATTAACTGGGCTAAGTTTTCACCTCTATAGGAGTAATCACCAAAGCTTCATATATTACGTGGGGCTTTATCATAATGCAATCAAATAAACTAAGGAAACTACTGGAAGCTTTGGCAGGAACCTGGTAACGGACAGAGCATGACTGCAAGTCACGCGACTTGAGATGGTCGGTTTCTCGTAGTCCGAGGCGAGCTGTTCTACGGCCACACACAAACGGGCGTGTGCATGCCTTTACATTACACGGCGAGTCTACGCGACATACTCGGGGCCAGACTTGTCACTTGACATTGCTTGTACGGTATATGATTTGTTTCCGCATCTTTATTATTCGATGCCATGGCGATCTTATTCCAGCTATCATTTATATTATTATTGAATCGTTGCCTAGCGTCAGAAAATAAATGTTTGTGCTTGATAAAGAGTTTCAATGGAGGTGTGTGGATGGAGCGAATTTATACATGCTAGGCAAAGTGTGATAGGAATCTAAGTCTTCTTGGCAACTACAAAAGATTATATTCTAAAATGAATTTAAGGAAGTAGATCTAACATGAATGAGGATCTCCTTGCTAAGGCCACTGTCAATGGGCATCAGAGTTTATTCCAAGCATCTCTTCGGGGGTGGCTCTACCCCTCCCCCCCGCCCCCCAACGAAATGGAATATATATATAGAAAACATACTTTTAATTACACATGTCCCCCCCCCCCCCCCCCCCGGAGAAAAAAATCTGGAAGAAACACTGATAGGCATGCACGCCACATATTCACTTAAAGCTAATTAGGGGAACCGCGAACACGCCAAATTGGTTAAATAAGTGTAAGTTTATTTTTTTCATACTCCAGTAATGGTTCATACGACCATTCATCGTACCACCGGCAACTACCACTATTGTATGTATCGCACATCACCATTGGCTGATCACTGTCTCGAGCTGGCAGATGTGGAGGCGCAGGACGCCGGCCAATCGAGTAGAATGTTGTATAATAATACCTGGGGAGTAAGCATTTTTTTAATAAACCAAAAATGCAAAATGGTGATCATACATATAGTTTACAGAGGTTGATACCTACCATCGTATGAGGATGTACTTGGTTCCCGTCTTGACCATCGAGGCCACGTGTTTTGAATGGGGCTCGCAGTCTCCAGCAGGGCTCATGTTATTCCACACCAGTGCTCGCCCTTTCCTTGGTTTGACCCAGATGCCGAGTTCTGAAACATTTCGACATGTCTGTGAAAACAACTTCTATCCTCTGACAATCTTCAGATATTACGTTTAAATTAAAAAGAAGAAAAAATGTTTACCAGGAAACTTAGTCTCGCCGCCATCTTCAACATTGTTGAGGTACATGAGCACCGTGGCCACACGATCTCGCTTGTCCTGTCCTCCTATCAGACAGTCCGTATGTTCTTTGTATGCTGGCAATGGGAGATACACATCGCATAATATTGAGCATAACCTTCCAAAGTAAACTAACCTATTAAACCGAACTGTGAAGATTTGAACACTGACTAGGGGCAAAGCCCCCCCCCCCTCCTCCCCCAATAGCTAGGTAGACCTTGTAACTGAAAATAAAATCCGGCCTACTAGTTCAGAAGATACCGGTACCTGAAAGAAACTGCTGACCGCTTGTGTGAGAGGTAACAGTAAAATACGGGAGGGGGGGGGGGGGGAATGACACCATCAGGTGCCGCACCGGGGGATACCGACCTCGCTACGCCACTGCAAATCGAATGACAGCAATTACCGAATTGGAAAATTAAACCGACAGGTTCAACAGAAGACGGCTGTAAGCTATTCTTGACGCCTATGTTTACAAAATATCCTATACCGACTGGGTAAGATGTGATTTGATCCTGACTGCCTACCTTTACCGACTGGGTAAGATGTGATTTGATCCTGACTGCCTACCTTTACCGACTGAGTAAGATGTGATTTGATCTTGACTGCCTACCTTTACCAACTGGGTAAGATGTGATTTGAAATTTCCCTCCAGTTTTTGGATCAAGCCCCATAGCTCGATTGATTCTCTCACTTGCAATCTGAAAGAAGGACAACAGCTTGGACGTTAAGTTGGTGATAACTGACTAAGGCGAGTAGTGACACACATAAACGATGGGCCTACAACTTTTGAGTAATGACGTTTCAATTTCTCAATTGCCCCAATTCTTATCGTACAATTCCGTTGCATTTATAAACATGCGGTTGTTGTTTTTTTTTACTTTCTCTCTATACGAAGTCAATCAACATTGACATTTTCAGAAATCTCGACGGTTTACACTTTCTTGAATCGGAAAACCCCAGTTTTACTATGTAGCCTATATATGTGTGTTTATATATGTGGTGAGTATGTGTGTGAACACGACAACTTAAGTACCGTTATAGTTAGATGGACGAATATAATATCATCCCGAAAATGATATTTCAACCGCTTGGGTTCGGCATAGGGTATCACTAGATTATAAATTATACAAACAGCGCTGATGAATATGTAGAACATGTAGGTCTTGCCCATTAGTGATTACCAACACACACAAAAATACGAGAGACCCAAGAAGTGGTAACTCACCTTGGAAAACACGCTTTCCCCCGGGTAGAAAGCTGTGCTGTAGCTCCAGTTGCTGTTCAGCTTTAAACTAAGCTCAGCCGAGAAGCTCGAGTTGATGCAACGAGTCCCTTGTTGTGAAAGATAGGGACCATTCGCTAATTATCTTTCGTCTATTATTGTATATACTTGATGTCAATTTCATAAGTATAACGTGATCTAATAAATATGATTTTTTTTCACAATATGAATTTGATTAACATGATCAGATAAATAAGATTTTTCAATGTAGGCCTACATAATTGAAACAAAACTGACATCGAGGTCTAGTGGTAAAGCACTCGGTTACTAACTCAAAGTCTCAAGTTCGGATCACGGGAATCCTAGGGGCACCCCAATTATGACTCGGGTCTGGGAAAGAAAGGACGGCTGGACATAATACTGACCAGAATATTTATTCACATCCCGTTGTCTGAGAAACAGATTACCTCTACGTCATCTACCCATGGTCCATGGTGTCAGATTCGATATTTTAACAAAGTAATCAAAGTAAAGGAAATTCCCGTTAGTGTTGGGAATTTCAGTGGATTAAAATCTCTAGTCTTTGTGTCACGTGACTGCCGTATTTGTTCCTCTATGAAGCGAGGGGACACGCCGCTCTCTGTGAGACTTTGCCTTACACCACCAGCGGCATGCTAGAAATAAAGTTGTAGCGATACCTGCAGTGAAGTCGTTGGGCGTTACTTTCACTTTCATCTTGGCGTCTGAGATGTGTTTCCTCAGGGTGTCTACAGAATCGAAGCAGAGCAGGGGCTGTTTGCTTTGTGCCTTCACGTGGTTGTCGTGAGCTCTCATCAGACCATCACACTCCTCGTTCGATAAAAATTCGTCGAATAAAAACACTCTGGATAAGTAATCAAACGTTATATATATATATATATATATATATATATATATATATATATATATATATATATATATATATATATATATATATATATATATATATATATATATATATATGTATATGTATATGTATATATATATATATATATGTATGTATATATATATATATATATATATATATATATATATATATATATATATATATATATATATATATGTAACTAGGGTAGTTACCATACTATGGTTAACAACGTATTACAGTCTGATGCAATAGTGCAGATGTTGGGCTGATAACGATCACAAAGCCGCTGCGCAGTTCACAGGCTGACGTAACAGTGCAGATGGTTTATTAATCGGATTGTAGGACAGAAGCTGCGCAATTAATATTCTGATGCAACGATTAGAATACGAGTACGAATACGAGTATGAATATGAGGACGAATACGATTACGAATACGAAGGGATATATAGGAAGGCGACAGCTGAGAACGAGGAGTAGAAGTGTGGCAGTATCAAGTTGGTTACTGAACGTTGTAGACGTATTGTGTTAATAGGGACGATAGACATGTGCATTCGGTTATGTGAAGACTAGTGAGGACGGTTGGGGGTCAGTTGATTCATTATATTATTGTGAAGCATTTCTTTTTGATTCATGTAATAAAAGGATCAATGGTAAACCTGCATCTTCGAGTATCTATATTGTGGTCGATGTTGTGTAGACTGAGTAAATACACTCGTTAACATTTGGCACTACAAGCAAATAGACTCGTTACATTTGGCGTTGTCGAGCAGAAGATGCAACTAGACTCGGTTACATATATATATATATATATATATATATATATATATATATATATATATATATATATATATATATATATATATATATATATAAATATATTTAAACCCGATCTCATTTCAAAATTCTGCGCTGTGCCATTTTGGGTTCTAGACTTTCATCATAACCCTCTTCCAACCCCCCCCCCCCTCTCTAGATCCGTCTATAACGCAGGCCAATAGGATTCGGGAGTCAGCGTTTGTATACTCACTCTTGCAAAAAATATGTTGAAGGACGAACTATTTTTTAAAAATCGAATTTATGCGTACTTGACACTACTGTTGATTCTCACTTGACACTGCAGTCTGATACTTGACACTGCTGTTGAATTTGAATACTCAATTGACACTGCTGTCTAATACTCACTTGACACTGCTGTCTAATACTCACTTGACACTGTTGCCTGATACTTAACTCTACTGTTAAATACTCACTTGACACTGCTGTCTAATACTCACTTGACACTACTGTTTGTTGGCTTTTCTGGCAGCAACTCAACTGGCGGTATTCTTCTGCCGTCTGCAAAAATCTTCTTTGGTGTAAATGTTGTTTGTAGAGTGGGAACAAAGTTTTTCAGTTCTTCATCCAAGTCGGGTCCCGCCTGTTCCACTTTACGGGTGTCCGGCTGCGCCTTTTCGCTAGCCTCTTTTCTCTGTATTTTACTTTGGGCCTTTGGTGTCGTTTTTTGGGAAGAACGGGAAGCAGAGCTTTGACTGTCTTCAGATGGAGCGTCTACAAACTTGATCTGCGATGGGTCTAACACGATTTGATTGTTTTCACCACTTAAGATGATTGGCTTACTTTTGCCATTCCGTCCTATTAAGTGCTCGTCTTTAGATCGAATCTGTTCGTTGTCTGCTTGTTTTATTCGTTTGTCTTCAACTTTATTTGTTTCTTTAGTTATTATTTTTTCTTTATTTCTATCACTTTTACGTGAATCAGTTTTTTCACTTTGAATATTTTGTATTCTGTTAGACTGATATTCCCCTACATCCTCAAGATGACCATCAAGTTCCAAGTCCTCATCTATAAAATTGTCGTTCTGAACTCCACCATTTTTATTGGATGTTTCCTGCTCTCGCAATTTCACTTTGCTAGCGAGATTTGTCGAGATCTCACCAGTAAATCTACCGACGAACGAAACAATCCTCGGAAAGTAGAGCACCCCAGTAATTCCAACAAGTAGAAGGACGAGAAAGATGAGCTTGGTGTAGTTTAAACTGGATGTGGAGCCTGCTTCAGCTTGGATCGCCTCGTGTTTGATCTTAAGGCCTGGTCCTTGTGGAGAGCTGGGTTTGATGGGCAGCCTTCTTCTTGCCATCCTGGAACATAAAGTAGACAGCTAGAGACCTTCGTAGGTCTAACGCCAGTGGTGCTCAAGATGGTAGGGCAACAATGCCGTGTACATTCAGACATGTGTGATGTGGGCAGTGATGGTTGCATCCACACACCTTAGACAGTTGTGTTTACATCCACACACCTGAGGACAGTTGTGTTTACAACCACACACCTGAGGACAGTTGTGTTTACATCCACACACCTGAGGACACTGGTGTTTACATCCACACACCTTAGACAGTTGTGTTTACAACCACACACCTGAGGACAGTGGTGTTTACATCCACACCTGAGGACAGTGGTGTTTACATCCACACACCTGAGGACAGTGGTGTTTACATCCACACACCTGAGGACAGTGGTGTTTACATCCACACACCTGAGGACACTGGTGTTTACATCCACACACCTTAGACAGTTGTGTTTACAACCACACACCTGAGGACACTGGTGTTTACATCCACACCTGAGGACAGTGGTGTTTACATCCACACCTGAGGACAGTGGTGTTTACATCCACACACCTGAGGACAGTTGTGTTTACATCCACACCTGAGGACAGTGGTGTTTACATCCACACCTGAGGACAGTGGTGTTTACATCCACACCTGAGGACAGTGGTGTTTACATCCACACCTGAGGACAGTGGTGTTTACATCCACACCTGAGGACACTGGTGTTTACATCCACACACCTGAGGACAATGGTGTTTACATCCACACACCTGAGGACAGTGGTGTTTACATCCACACACCTGAGGACAGTGGTGTTTACATCCACACACCTGAGGACAGTGGTGTTTACATCCACACACCTGAGGCCAGTGGTGTTTACATCCACACCTGAGGACAGTGGTGGTTACATCCACACCTGAGGACAGTGGTGTTTACATCCACACACCTGAGGACAGTGGTGTTTACATCCACACACCTGAGGACAGTGGTGTTTATATCCACACACCTGAGGACAGTGGTGTTTACATCCACACACCTGAGGACAGTGGTGTTTACATCCACATTAGAGGACAGTGGTGGTTACTGTTCTTCCAGCGTATAACTAAAACGTCACACCCGATCAGAACCTCGAGCCTTTTCACAAGCTTGAAAGTCACATGTAGCTCCTGGCATTTGTTATCATTTAATCTTACAAAATACTAAATCTGCTTTATTTTAACATATTACATTCTGAACAATGAATTTTTAAAGAGACATTTTTAAAAAAATTGCGTTTATCCCCCTTTCCAAACAAATTAAAAAAAAATAATACACCGCGGAATAAGAAGTGATTAGAACCCCCTACAAGGTATAGCGAATATATTCAGGTGATTAAACGCCTACCCGTTTGCTGCAGAGATAAATGGCGAAATGACTTGAGATAAGTGGCAAGTTGAAGCAACTGTTTGAATATCTAAGGTGTGTGATTAATCTCTCCTTTAAGATAAATCACATAAGTAACACGCGCGGACCAATGAGTTCAAGTGAAACAATATCTGGTCCTTGGTTTATCTTGTTTTCATTGACTTAATAACTTATTTGTTATAGGATAAAACCAGACATCGATACGCGCACATGTAGGCTTAATTCTACTTCGATGGCTGTGTGCAGTGACGTCACAAGGTCGTTGTGAAACATTGCATGGATCGCTCGTAAACTCTCCAACACAGTTGGGCGGCCAATGCTTTGACTAAAGAAAGTTATTTTTTTTTACTTTCTCGTTTACAAAGTAGACTGCCTTCGTTTACAAAGTAGACTGCCTTCTCTGCCTTCTGTCAAATTTTGAGTAATTTCCTTTGACCGGAAGTAGTAATTTACGCTATTTCCGATTTCTCAAAAAACGCATGTGAATTTATAAAGTACTAATAATATCCCACACTATTATATACATTTTGTTTGCCGTTCACATGGTGCGCAATTCTTTTGTCTACGCCAGGGGTCTCCAAACTTTTCAGTCCGAGGGCCGCATTAACTATCAAATTTCAGTTCGGGGGCCAGTTTCTTCCCGGCATGTCTTTGATTTTTCTGGGCAAAGTTCCTCAGCCATCACCAACAAACGTTTTTTCCGTGGACAAAAAGAACTCCGCGGGCCGGATGAGAGGACCTCGCGGGCCGCATCCGGCCCGCGGGCCGTAGTTTGGAGACCCCTGGTCTACGCCATGGGTCTCCAAACTTTTCAGTCCGAGGGCCGCATTAACTATCAAATATCAGTTCGGGGGCCAGAGTTTCTTCAAGACATCTCTTCGGAGTGGTAACACCCCCCCCCTCCCCGAAGAACGTGTACCGCCCCCCCCCCCCCCCTCCCCCCACTTAACAAAATATGATTTATATAGAAATATATACAAATTTTAAGTGTCGTCCCCCCCCCCCGGAGAAAAAAGTGGGAAAGAAACACTGTCGGTGGCCAAAATCACACTCGAGGTCCAAGTTTGCTCTCAAATTATTCTTCACCTATTTCAATCTTGAAAATATTTGTTCACACAGGTATCTTGTTCCAAAATTTGAAAGGTACTTAGATGCAAAAGTTTTAATATTAGGAAAATCTTCCTTTTGCAAAAACTTATAAAAACCCACCCGCCCTTCTTTGAACGTGTCTCTAATGACCTCCAGCTGCAGTTCATCTTTGTAATCGGCCACATTTGCTTCAAATGGGTTCTGAAACAGTTTCACTTTTCTGCCTTTGAATCCAAGTCAGAAAACCGCTACTGAAACTGCAGCTTGAAGTCTTTGATGATCTCGTATGCTAATGACGTGGGGAACTCAGTGGTTGCTTCACCCGTAAAGACCTTGCACTCTTGAGAGTGCGTCAAGTTGTTGGCTTGTACTTGTTCCAAAAACATGACAAGTTTGGATCTGAAGGCCTTTAGGTGGGTGTATAGATCAGAAACTAAATTTCCATCTCTTGTAGTTTTAGGTTCAGAAAATTTAAATGACTAGTCATGTTTGCAGCAAACTTCATCAGACAGTAAGTATATCAGCTTGTGGCTTGCCTTTACTTTCAAGGAAGTCATCTATTTCCTTTCTTAACTTAAATACTCTGCTCAGAAAAATTTCTCGCAAATTAGCCATCTTACTGCTGTGAAATATGGTAAATTTTGCGATTCTGTGTTTCTATCTTTTAACATGTCTCTGAACTACCTATATTCTCTCCGGTAACAGTGCCATACATTCTATGTAGGGAAGCCAGCTCTTGTGTCATATTTATGTCTTCATCCACACCTCTAATGAACACAAGCAGTTGAGAGGTGGAGTTTCAAATTGTGTTGAATTTTCTGGGCATAGTTTCTCAGCCACCTCTAACAAACATTTATTCCGTGGACAAAAAGATCGCCGCGGGCCGGATGAGAGGACCTCGCGGGCCGCATCTGGCCCGCGGGCCGTAGTTTGGAGACCCCTGGCGATTCTATTCTATAATTATTAGACACCCCCCGACCTATGCACAGAACCCGCAATCAGTGTTTCGTTCAGACTATTTTCTCCTGGGAACACTTGTTATTTTCGGGGGTGGGGACTGGTATAAGTATATAAATTCCATGTAATTGGGGAGGGAAAATTTTGCTAACCTAAATAATTTTAGAAGCACGGTATCCACGAGATTTAAAAAAAAAAATGATCACATTTTCTTAATAATATGAAATTTACATTGAAAAATAATTGGACCTTGATAATTGCGGCAGCCAAGTTCTAGTTAGTAGACCTGAAATGTCCCGACTTTTGAAAAGTTTCGGTCGGTGGAACAAAATAGCGTAAGCCTACAATTTTCCAAATTATAACTTTCTTAGTGCAGCCCCCCCCCCCCCCAATCTGCTTTCATTACGTTCAAGACATTTAGCGGTGAAAGAACAAACGACCTGAACAATGGATAAGCCTCTAGTCTCGACCCGTGCAGATCTGTGAAAATTTGATTAAACCACTAAAATTAGTTAGAAAATACGGACGTAGAAACTCCACCTTCCAAAACCCAGTGATTTTTCACTTTTGAAATTCATTTGTCAATATTCCAGAAATGGATACCAACCCAGAGTAAAGATGGTTTAATGAAGTTGGCCACGACCTTAGTGTAGTAGTAAGAGTACGTGGTGAATTGAAAGGTCTTGTTTTTTTTAATAAAGACTAGCATAGCCGAAACCAGGATAAATGTTAGTACTTTTAAATGTATTTTTCAACGTGTGGACGTCCTCATAGACCCAAAATACGTTTGGTCGAACTATTTGCCATAAAAAAAAAAATCCAGGTGGCGTGTTTACTACCCCTCCCCATTTAAAGGTTTAAAATGCTCGTGAATTGACACATAAGCTTACAATATTGCAAGAGCAGTCACACTGAAATGATCTTGGGACTAAGGGTTTATGTACTCTCATTTCAGATAATAGTCCAATTATGATGATGGCAGTATGGTACTCAAGGCATTCCAAATCATTACCTGATCATATGCTTTACTACACTTCCATACAAACATGATTTAAATTCATGCAGACAAGCTTTTTCTCAAGCACACAAATAATGTTTTTCACAAGCAATAATGGTATCAACATTTTTAATAAAATATTTAACTTATCTAATGAACTTGCATTTCAGACTTCACAATTTAGAAAATATAGCTTCAAATTACAAAGCTAGCCAGAGATCTTAACACTAAATTCACTGGCAGCTAATTAACCAGCTATAACTTGGACCTTCAACTTTAATTCTTGCTATATCACAATATTAAATTTCAAGGCAAATCTGCCCATTCAACCAAGATTAACATTCACACGTTATTACATAAAAAATAGAAACTAGGTGCTAGTTGCTCATGACTGTTCCTTGGCCAATCTGGCAGCTTTTTCAACCACCTCTTCTATGTTACCAACCATATAAAATGCCACCTCAGGCAAATGATCCAGTTCACCTAAAAAGTAAGAAAACAAAAATTAACATAAAAATGAAACAAATAAATTAATATATATACATATAAAGAATGCTCAGTCCAAGGAAGGTGCCTTCATTAAAAATAAGGTTATTAAAACTATCATCAGTGCAATCATTTTAAACAGCATTAGTTTTAAAAACTACAACATACCACTGATTATCTGTTTAAAGCCCTTGATGGTGTCCTTCAAAGGCACATACTTTCCCTCAGAGCCTGTAAAAACCTCAGCTACTTGGAAAGGCTGAGAGAGGAACTTCATCATCTTACGTGCACGAGCAACAGTTAATTTGTCTTCTTCAGACAACTCATCCATACCCAAAATGGCAATGATATCTTGAAGAGACTTGTAATCCTATAGGGGCATAGAAACAAATTAAGTTAAAAATTGACCAAACCAATAGAAAAACCAAATATGCCAATAAGTGACTGCTCAGTCCAAGGAAGGAACCCTCAAAAAAATCAGGTGGTCACATTCTTCATCATATGCAATCACTTTCATGATTATATAAAAAATATTACATTAATATCTACAACTCAGTATTATTAATGATACAGATTGCTCAGTCCAAGGAAGGAACCCTCACAGAATCTCAGGAAACCACAATGTTTACATCATTTGCAACCAATGTATCTTAGTAAATGTATAAAAATATTAATATTTTATATAAAGTTAGTTAAACTAAAATTAAAAGAAATTTGCTGTTATGTCAAAAGGAAATGAAAAAATATTTTAGAATCTATCAAGTGATGCAGATTTAGTTAGTTTTCTTCTTGTATTATAAGAGTTTAGGTAGTGAGTAATTTACACAGATCCTTGCCTAAAATGGCCATGACACTAGAGAACCTGAAAAAAGTAATCTCAACTGCAATTTGTATAAAGAGATGTTAAAATATTTTTAAAAGAATCAATGTTTGATCAAATATTTATCAGTACAACGATTGCTCAGTCCAAGGAAGGAACCCTCACAAAATCTCAGGAAACCACATTGTTTGCATCATTGCAATTTATGTACTGCAAGGTATAGAAATAAAATAAATATAACTTTACCTGAAGAATCTTTTGTACTGCTCTGGCTGTATTGTAATGTTCATCACCTACAACATTGGGGTCTAGGATACGTGAATTTGAATCTAAGGGATCTACAGCTGGATAGATACCAAGCTCAGCAATACCACGAGAAAGCACAGTTGTTGCGTCAAGATGGGCAAATGTAGTGGCAGGTGCAGGGTCAGTCAAGTCATCAGCAGGTACGAAGATAGCCTAAAAGAAAAACCATATGGGTTACAGAAAAGCAAAATAACCTTAAAGCATTACTATCAGAACATTTAACTGCATTGCATGAAAATAAATCCAAAAACATAGGCCTACTTGCACAGATGTAATAGATCCTTTCTTGGTAGTGGTAATTCTTTCCTGCATACTACCCATGTCAGTAGCCAATGTAGGCTGATAGCCTACAGCAGATGGAATACGACCCAACAAAGCGGATACCTGAAAGGGTACATTTGTCAGTATTAAAGTTATTTTTAGACCATGGGAGATGAGAGCTCAATTGGTTCTGTGACCTTAATATGAAGGTAGTGTCCTAAGCACCTTTACTTCTCCCTACATCAGCGAAGTTCATAAAAAAAAAAGCTTCCACCAACACTTACTTCAGAACCAGCCTGTGTAAATCTGAAAATGTTGTCAATGAAAAGCAATACATCCTGGCCCTCCTGGTCACGGAAAAATTCAGCAACAGTTAATCCGCTCAAGGCAACACGTGCACGGGCACCTGGTGGTTCATTCATTTGTCCATATACCAGAGACACCTTTAAAAAAAAAAAAAAAACAATTTTAAAAACTAATAAGCAGAATGTTTATAGAGCAGAAAAAGTAATTAGCAGCTAAGAATACAGGCAATTAAGCTAATGAAAACTTTGCACAAAATCATTTATAATTTAGTACCTTTGATGTGTTGTCAGTAAGACTGATTACTTTAGTTGTAATCATTTCATGGTAAAGATCATTTCCTTCACGTGTTCTTTCACCTACACCAGCAAAAACTGAGTAGCCACCATGAGCTTTAGCAACATTATTGATCAGTTCCATAATGAGTACAGTCTTGCCTACACCAGCACCCCCAAACAGACCTGCCAAGAATACATAAAATAAGTCATTGACATTTTAAAAAATTCTGTGGCTGTGGTAAAAATGTATGCCTAAATGGAAGCAGGTCTGAACTTTTAGATACATGTATATTGGGTTTAAAATTTAGTAGAAGAGAACATTCAAAACAAAGAACCAATTAGAGCTTACCAATTTTACCACCTCTGGCATAAGGTGCCAAAAGATCGACAACTTTGATACCAGTCTCCAGAATTTCTTGCTGCACACTCATTTCTGAAAATTCTGGTGCTTCTTGGTGAATAGCAGCATAACTGGAAAAAGAAAAATGTATCCATAAAAACTTATTTACCCCAATAGAAACTTGCACACTGGAAAATTTTCAAAATCATAATGGCTTACTGCTCAGAGTTGATCGGTCCCCTTTCATCAATTGGTTCTCCAATTACATTAATTATTCTGCCAAGAGTTTTGGGCCCAACAGGGATCCTAATAGGTGACCCAATATCTATACATGGCTCTCCTCTGACAAGACCTTCTGTACCATCCATAGCAATTGTTCTAACAACATTTTCTCCTGAAAATCACAAAGGCATTTCAATTCTGTGCCAAAACGTAAAATTTCTAAGGGCTTCAAATAAAAGTTAAAAATAGAACAAACAAAATTTGGAATTTACCTAAATGTGAGGCTACTTCAAGTATAAGTCTTGGTGACCTGTTTTGAACTTCCAGGGCATTAAGAATTGATGGAAGTTGGTCATCAAACTGGACATCTACAACAGCACCAATGACTGCAACAACTCTACCAGTCGCATTTGCAGTTTTCGGTTTAGCTGCTTCTTTGGCATAATTACGATCTGAAAATATATATTGATAAATGAAATTGCGCACTATCAGGACAATAATTAATGTTAATGTATTTTGAGACACCAATTTCACATACAAGACGATCTAATCTCTGAATTTTGGCATGATTGTGAATTATGAATGCTAGCTAATTAGGCTACTTAAATTGAAATTTACCTTTGTCAACTAGTACACTTTTCTACAAGTCACTCCTTTCTTATGCATCCTCATTATTAAAGTAGGTATGCCAGACAAGAACAAAGCAAGTAAAACTAATTTAACTGGACCCCTCTGAAGTCTAAGGTCACTAAGGACATTGCTATTATAGCTACTCAGCTAATGTCTAAAAACATCCAGTTTTGCTTCAACTAGCAGGGTGATGTCAAGGTTAAGCCTTAATTTTCACAAAATAGCTAGGATTAACTTAATTTGCCCTTAAGAAATTCAAACTTAGTGACCAAGAATGCATTTTAAATTCCTGTTTCTTACTGTCTAGCAGTATCTACTCAAAGGTTTGTAGTCTTAACCCAAATAAGCTAGGCTATATCAAATATTTACTAATTGAACTATGGTACGATCAATGGTGCACTAAACAGTTAACTAAACACTAAGGGCCCCCCCATTAAAAATTGTTTGGAAAATTAAAGTTAATCTAAAAAATGTAGGCCAAGTCTAGATTCTAGAGTAAAGTTCCACGCGCGGTCACACATAGCGGAAAATTCCAAATTCCCGATTTTCATCGGGCGCTATTTTATAACCGTTTCACACAGAAACAAACCGAAAGCACTGTATTACTCCGCTGCCATTCTACTGTAATATGTATGAGTCATTTTGTATTCCTACGCATAGTATTTAAGATATTCATGTTTTAGTGACGTCCCTCCTTGCGATATTTTTTTTCCCTTTTTTTTTTGCCTGCGTACGCAAGAACCTGCTTGCCAACGAGCGTATTGTATACGTTTTGATCCAATTTTAATAATTGAAATAAATATTTTACACACTTAAACGTGTTGTTGATTGTATTATTAATTAATAGATTGCAAAAATAATAATTAAAAACATGTTAATTAAATTAATTAAAGACATTAAAAGTTGACCCAGTGATGACTCAAGGGACGCAACTATAATAATCATAACAAAGGGACGTAACAACCACTAAAAGACATAACGTAACATTTGCTTAGATATGCTTGTATGTAGAGACACAAACTAGATTTAGAAGAAGTAGATGATCGAAATAATTTAAAACAGCAGAAAAAAATAGAAAGTATACAGATTCTAGGCTTAGTTTGAAATATAGAGCATCTAGAACTAGGCTAGTCTAGCTCAAGTCGTTGGTTACGCAGCGATGTGAAACCACCGTAATCGACACCCAAGCTGCGGCCACCCCTATTTACCTATCAGGTTGCTTTATTAGCCTTATCTATCGTATGTAAAGTGTCCCGCATATATTGTAGAAGCTATTTATAGTTAACCTAGTTATAAAAAGCTTTGATTAGTTGGTTTTATTCATCTCATCCGGGACCTAGTGTTTTTCATAGGGGGAACTAGAACCGCCTACGACGTCATACCTCGAAACTTTAAAATTTAAAAACTCGACTTCCAGAAGGAGAAAAACAAAAGAATTTGACCTGGATATATTTAGAAATGGACAGGTTTACAGCAGATATCGGTAGTTTCGTATAAAACATCAAAACAAATATTGTACGAAGCGATAAACAGGCGATGATCGCACCGGTGTTTTAACCGCGCGTGGAACTTTACTCTAGATCTATTTCTAGAAAATAACTGACTCAAGAGATTCAGTGATAAGCCAGAGACGTGAAATTTTTATTAAAGATAAGCTGTATGGATTATTTCATTTAATAAAGAAAACAGTTTCCAGTTTAAAAAATTAACAGATCTAGAATTCTAGATCTAGATCTACAAAGGTGAAGTTCACTAAAAAAATCCTACTCTTTAAAAATATTGACCTCCATTTGTCATTCATGATTTATTTATTTTTTCAAACAGAACTTGTACTCTGTCAAATTATCAGTCCAAGACTAAGAATATTTGAAACATTGATAGAAAAAGTAATGAATATGTACAGTTATCAAAGTTTTTAATACAGATAGCGAAATCTAACAGTTTCTGGCGTAAGTTGTCCTGACGGACTTTTTGTTTCAGAGGAAAATTTACAACTCGTCAAAATGCCCATACAAAATATTAGAATCCAAAGCGAATTAAGCGATGTTTCAAACCAAATTGAATACTTACGAGATGAGTACAATGCTGGTACGAAATTCGTAGCATTTTGGTAAGGAATTGGAGAAACAAGGGCGCATTTTGCAGCCCTAGCGAACCCAGAACATGCCTGCCTTACTGCCTGCATGATGGCGACCCGGCGAAGGACGAATGTAAAGATCACGTGACTCAACAGCACTATGGGTAGCTTAGTGTTTACTGTTCCAAAACTTAAAAACAGCCACTGAGCTAGGAATATAGTTTCAAGTTACTGCGCTCCTGGCTTATACGAAGTTACCGTACGTTTTACACGATACAACTGCACGAGGCTGCCGAGAAACGGGACATTTGACACGTACTACAAGATTTTTAATATGTAGATCAAAAAAATGCATCTGAATATGTACTACATGTGTGGGAATCCGGCAAATATAGGCATATGACCTGTGGGGGGGGGGGGGGGGGGGAAGAAGATGTCGGATAAAATCAGTGATGTTTATTTTACAAAAAAAACCCCAACAACTCTGAGTAGTTTTGTATCTAAATTTAAGGCAGGCATTTTTCCGCAAGAAGAAGGACAAAAATATGGCAAAAAATGCCACAAACACAGATTGTTCATAAAGTAAAAAGGAAGTTACACTTTCTTGTGGAGGAAGGCTGTATTTCTTGTCAATGGGTGAATTTTGTTGACGTAATGTTGGCAATTATTTTGCATATTTAATATTTTTCTTCTTGTAAATTGACATTGTAATAAACATTGATCTTTTATAATCTTTACCAAGCTTGTTTAATATTTTATTTTCAGACCGACTTTGCTAAATTCTAGTTAAAAAATAAAGAAATTGCAATCGGGGTGGGGGATAAACTCATTAAACTGTGGTAGTGTTACTTTAGTTTTTAAAGTGGAGGCGGGGCAACTTTTTGTGTGACAATGAGTAGAAGGGGTAACAATCGGTAAAAAAGACTGACCGCTAAACTTAGCCTTATTTTTTAAACTAAATGAGTCAACTTAAGTGAATGCATAATTAAACAGTTAAATAGAGCATCAAATAAGAAGGCCTATGGATAAAATCATATCGATCTCGAAGTAGAATCCGTACGGCCGTACGACTTTCGTTTTTGTTGTTGAAAAAGAAAAACGCTTTTAAAAAAAATCTAGACTAGTACGGAGTCAGACCTGTATTTATATTTATACTAACCATATATTTATATTATATTATATAAATAAATAAATACCGAATGATTCGTTTGCTGAGCAAGTGGACTTTCTCCCGAGTTTCTTTTAAAGTTTATAGATCTAGATTAGATCTAGATCTAGATCTAGTAGTTACATTTAAAAGTAAGTTGAAACGTTAACATTTAAATCATTTAAGAATAAGTTAGTATAGAAACTACAAGTTGTGTTAAATAAACTGTGACTGTGACCATCTCTAAATTTAATGTAATGAAGTAAGAAGAGATCAAGTCAAGTCACCAAGTGGTTGAAGAAAAGGGGGCGTTGCCTGGTTCTGAAAAGCAAAATAAATAAATAAATATTAAATAAATAAAACTAGATCTTTAGCGGCCTAATAACTATAATAAAACGTTTTTAGATCTATAGTAAGCAAGTAAGAGTAAGTGTAGATCTAGTAACTATAATTAAATAATCCAAAATCCAACAGAGTGATTTATTATTTATTTTTTGGAGGATAGTAATAGTATTATTAGATTAGTCTTAAGTATTAGTAAAAGTGTTTTTATGTTTTGTCATCTTAAAGATTCATCCGTTCCCAAACAGAATTATGAAAACGAGCCCTGCGCGGACGGTTGGCACTAGGCCCCGCGTATTCCTAACGCCGGCTCTGCCTACATAAAAAACTATACTATAATTACTAATTACTAATAAATATAAATTAGACTATTAATAATTAATAACTATTATTAGTCCTTCATCAGTAGGTCTAAGTAATCAATTATTAATTAATTAGTAATAGGCATAATTAGGTTAAATATTAAATAACAAGATAAATGGCCCGTTGAGGGAGAGATACAACAGGTGCTTGGTTGATAGTGTTGTCTTTTTCTCTAAATCAAAACCAAAAATGAAATCACCACCTTAACTTCAAATTTAACCGTAAACGAAAAATGTCATTGAAAACGGATTTCTACCAGAATCACCATTTTAACCGGAATCAAGCTTGATCTACGTGTAGTTACTGCATATTGATACTAAGAGTAATCTCAAACATCGAAGTCATACCCCTAAACCTTGCACCTAATCTCAAACATCGAAGTCATACCCCTAAACCTTGCACCTAATCTCAAACATCGAAGTCATACCCCTAAACCTTGCACCTAATCTCAAACACGACATAAGTCGCGTTTAGAAAATTACCTTCCCCCCCCCACATACACACACTATAAAGCACATCTACCGTCCCATTCAACGAAATATAATTTTTATAGAAAACATATTTTTACCAGTGTCCGCCCCCTTCCAAAAAATTTAGTCCACCCTGAAAATTTAAAGTACCCCCCCCCCCCCCCCCCCCCCCCCTCTCCCCTCTGGGGAGGAATAACTGAAAAAGAAACACTGGTCGCATTTGTAGATCATACTAACTAAAGGTAGAGCCTACATCTATAATATTTTTCATCTAGCGTTATCATTACCTAGATAAATGATTAAAAACTTGGATTCTGAAAGACAACAAATTAAATAGAGAAATTTAATCAGACGATGGGAGGATTATTATGTCATGGCAGGCCATCCTGTCCACCGCTGGGAGCGCCATTACAGTCTTAAAGAGTTAATTATAATAGCCCTACTGCCCATAGTGTATAATATATATGTATATATATAAAATGTACGAGTCTAAAATCGTAGATTTTGTTTTGTTAGATTCCATATTAAAATATGGTTAAATATAGTATCAATATAGTATATTTATAGCCTGTTTAGTTAAATATAGTATATACTATTACTATATGGTATATACTACAATATATGCCTATTAAATAAATGTTTTCATCATTATTGACAGACATACTGCTATTAGTGTTGCTGCAGTCTCCCAAAAAAAATGCTGATGTTACCAATACGTTACCAATTTTGTATATTTAAATGCAAGACCTCTTTTATCAAACATAGTTATAGTAAATGTAAACAAAGCAGGTTTTTCTTGGATCATAGTTGTTGGGGCATGGGTTTGTTGACACTATAGCCTAGAGGCTCCAGAGCATGCTATATAAGAGCCTTGAGTTATCTTCTTCTTCGTTCTTAATTTATAGTGTTGGGAGGGATCGAGCCTTATCTGCAGAGTGTTTGAACTCAAGACTTTTTTTGAATTTATCAACCATGAGCTTTGCCAACTCGACCATGCTTCCTTCACAATTAAGGATTACGTGTCAACTGGTTTTGCGCCATTGAGGCCATTGACTCCGATTTCAGCCTGCTTTTCTTTTTGGATTTGCTTCCATAGCCTGTGTCCAACCAAGAACAAACTACAAGGCAGCAGTTGTTTGATTTTGGAGTTGTCTCTCCTAGAAGGGTGGCTGTCCCCAGCTAACGAGCCTCATCTGCCCGAGGGTTCAAACTCGAGACTTTTCGGTTTAGCAACCATGAGCTTTACCGACTCGACCACGCCGACCCCAGAGCCTTGAGTCATAATGAGGTATAATACACCTTTGTGACTACTCAGGTGTTATTGGCGTCATGGGACACTCTCGTGAGCAACAGGTTACACTCTGGGGCGCTGGGTATGACCTCTGGTTCAGTTTAACCATGGAATGTCATGCACCAATGTATGTATAGTGCATCGCACTTATTTAGATGAACAGAGGCGCCATAGTACTTACGGGGGAGCTCGGGGGGTGCCAAATCCAGCTACTATAAACTCTGTTTACTAAATCAATTTAGCCCCGCTCCCCAAACTTTCTTATAAGCACAATGTTGATTACGTTTGTCTTAAAGAGTGCAATACACTATAGGTACATTGAGCTACTATATTAGTTGACTAAATTGAATCAGACGTGTCTGCTAGCAGCCCTATGTTTGGGTGAACTGCAGCAACCTGGAGAACTAAGGAGCCTACATTTGTTTTAAATAACCCTACAATAGAGTCCTTTCATATGACGTCACGTCCGTTCGTGATACCTACGCCCGCCGCCACAGTGGTGTACACAAGACGTAAACACAATCAGCTGTTCGCCAGCGCTGGACGTGTTCACCAGCGCTGGACGCGTTCACTGTATGTAAAGAACCGCACCCGCGGAAAAGGAAAAATACGTTAAAAAACTTGAACTCTTAGGAATTGCAGATCCTTATACTGTTATTGACAGTTTCGTATAAATAAATATGTGGACAAAATTTCTAAATAAAAATACTGTTAGTAATACTGTTTGCGTTTAGAGTTAAAGTAGCCGAATCTGATCAAATGCAGTTCTCGATACTTTGTTTCATGTAAGGACAGTAAAATAATAAACTTCATTTTAATTATAAAAGATAACTATTAATAAAACAAATATGCTCGACCTTCACAAATACTAATAGTAAAAGACAAAGTCAAAAGTAATAGGCTAATAAGAATAATAAGATCTAATAGTAGGCCTAATACCTGGCTCCGCTGGGTAGACATAGAATCTAGAATCTACTTCTTTACTTAAATTTAATTACTTTAGATCTACATTCGATTCAAAATACACCCATAATAAATCAAAAGTAGTCATAATAGGCCTAATAAAGCATTTAATTGTCTCTAAGATCTAAAATCTCTCTCTATTATCTAATCATTTTTTTAGCAAACGAAATTTTCTGAAATTGAAATAGATTATATGACTAGACTTAGATCTAGAATCTGCTACTTAAATTAAATTGTAAAAACTTTATACAAGCATGTAGTTGATATTATTGTAGTAGAAGGCTTTAATAAATTACTAAGGCCTACCTACTTTGTTGTCTTTTTACAGCAATATGTATCTGATACTGGACTGAGTTTAATTAAATTCAAATTCATATCTAGTAATTGGTCTACTAAGTTTTTGTAGCCTAGTAGTACAATCTAGATCATACCAGCCAACAACAAATAACCACATTATTATTATTTGGTTAATGATTAGGCTAAATTTTTTTTTAAATCCACTGTTTATAAAAGAAACAAATCAAGCTAGAAACATTATAAGTGAGATGGTTTAGAATAATAACAATGGACCCAGTCTACAATTGATACAATTGCAGGTCTACATAGGGCATACAGTCTAGTAGTTTACAGTAGGCACCTAGTGTGTAGCTAGTATACTAGTGTGTAGCTGTCCAGAGTTAAGATTCTTAATGCCTTAATGCTTTCCCCTGATAAGCCGTGTGTGCTATAAATGACATAACATGACACCCAGGTGAGAAGTGTTGAGGGGAGAGCAGTGGGACTTTCCCCTTTGTTCTCCCTGCTGGGCCCTGAGGGTCAAAATTATATAAGAAATACTATCTCTGTGGGGCTGGGTATCACGGAGGTGAGACATTTTCAGGGGAGGGCAGGGCAGACTCCTCTTTGGTTTTATTGTGGGCTAGATAGAGGTGGGGGCAGCCATCATGAGGGTTGAACGTCAGTATTAATGTGTCTGATTACTTCCCTGCTGGATTATAAGGGTCTTAAATTGTATAACATGCTACCCAGATTGGTTATTACCCATGGATTATATTAGCCGTTGTAGTGTGGGTTTTGTAGGAGTTAAGTGGTCTCACGTTTGCTACAGTAGATAACCTCTAATATATTACTGCATTTGATCAGCTTCGTCTACTTAAACTCTAAACGCAAACGGTATTACTAACAGTATTTTTATTTAGAAATTTCGGCCACATATTTATATTATCCACGAAACTGTCAATAACTGTATAAGGATCTTCAATTCCTAAGAGTTCAAGTTTTTTAACATATTTTTCCTTTTCCGCGGGCGCGATTCTTTACATACGGTGAACACGTCCAGCGCTGGTGAACACGTCCAGCGCTGGCGAACAGCTGATTGTGTTTACGTCTGATGTACACCACTGTGGCGGCGGGCGTAGGTATCACGTGATTTAGGTCACGTGTTTGCAAGGACTCTATAGGGACACCGGCACTTGACATTTGATGATTAAACCAAACTAGGGGCAGTATCCAGCGCCCCTGCGCTATTGTAACCAATGGTTCTTGAGAGTGCCCTGTGAGGCCTCTGACACCTAAACAGTCTCTGAAGTGTGTTCTAACTCACTTTTAGGGAGAGCTATCATTTTTTGCAGTTTGAGGGGGGGGGGGGGTGCAAATCGAAAAGTTGAAGGGGAGGGTGCAAATTAAACATTTGCTCCCAAGGGGGGGGGGGGGCACCAAATTGAAAGCTTGTCCCCGGGCGCTGGGAAGGGTCGCTATGCCTCTGGCTGGGCGGTAGGATGGACAAACCTGCCCCAATAACAACTAATATCCAAGAAGTAGAGCGCAATCATTACATTTCAATAACTTTCAAAAACAAGGTCACTCATCTAAAAATGCACCATTGGTGATGCATTGATGAAATCCTCTTAAAATATTGCATCAGCCTGCACTAGTTTAGTATATATATATATATATATATATATATATATATATATATATATATATATATATATATATATATAGTAATAATATTATCTTTTAAAAATTTCAGGTATTTTTTTACAGAGTTTTAAAATGTCTACAATCGCCCATAAAGGAAATTACAGAGAGTTGTATCCTCCAATTGAGCCCTATGACACAGGTTTTTTGAAGGTTTCAGATATTCACACATTATACTATGAGCAGTCAGGAAACAAGGCTGGGAATCCTGTTGTATTCGTGTAAGATATATACAGTTAGTCTTATCATTTATCAGATGATAACAGCTCTGTTTTGTTATTTTTAATAGTAGATTGGTCTCCCTGGTGTGTACCATTATATTTTTTAGAACTCTATTTAAAATGTTAAATTTTTATTTTAGCCATGGAGGGCCTGGTGGAGGAACAAGCCCCACTGACAGATGTTTCTTTGATCCTTCAACATATCGTATTATTCTATTTGATCAGAGGGGAGCAGGAAAATCAACACCAGCTGCCGAGCTCAAGGTATGTTATAAATTTAATTTGTTCCATAACATTGCTCATATGTCACATTGTTAGTAACTCAGAGCAATTTTCTCCATTTAAATTATATAAAAGGCCATTAATCCATTCCAACCTCTAAAATGCCACCCCATTTGTTTTCATTTTGTATTTTTAAAAAGAAAAATATATTTATAATAACAAATGTATAAAAACATAATAAAAGACAGTGTAAAGAAATAAACTGGTTTTATAAAGTGTATAGTCTTTGGAAATCAGCCACCTTGAGCTAACTGAAGATGACGGCGAAGATGTAGGTTGGAGGGGAAAAGTTGAGGATCTTTACTTTGTTCACTTACTCTCTACTCTGTTAATGCTTAACTCTTTAGGTCTATTTAATTCACTTACTTGTTAAACTCATAATGATACACTTTATTCCGAAACTTTAATAAAAATTGCTGAATATAGTTCAACTTAAATGCTACTTGATAATTTATTATTACTTTCACTCAATTTTCAAGGCTGCTTTTCTCTTCACTTGTCTTTGCCTTTTTTTGCAATACTTTATTCAAGCCATTTAAAACAAAATGTATTGTGAAGTTTGTTTCTTCCTCCCTTTCAGAAATTAGTTAGACAATGGTCATTGAATAATGTGATGCACGATCCTTTGCAAATTTTTTTGGGGTGTTGCTTATCCATGAACTGTGTAACCTGTGGATCCGGTTCCTTGTATCTCAAGTTTTGCTTGTAACTCAAAGCAAATAATCACTTGCTTTACTGCTCAAATATCACATCTTGAATATTGCGGTACCACTATATATCTAAACTTAAGTTGTATGTAGTATTTCATGTGCAGGCTCTATGCTTTTTAATTTTAGGAAACAAAAGCAGTTCTGATGGGTTTTAACATTTCAGAAATACCAAATCTGTGTCAAGAATATTTTAAAATGCTATTTTGAGACATATATAAGAGTTTAAAAATAATGAATGTTGATTAAAAACGTATTCATTTTCTTTTAATTTTAACTCAATCAAGCTTTAACCTTTATTGGTTATCACAGTTGATTTTCTCATTATTTTCCGTTATCTTTCTTGGTTCTCTGCTGTCCTGAATAGTCCCGCAAAGCGCAGATGGTGTCTTCCATCCAGTGACATATTTGCCTTGCCATTCTTTTCCCTCCTGGCTCAGTGCCCTGCATTATTGTTTTGGATAGGCCGTTGGTTTGTGTGACATGCCCATTTTTCAGGTTTATTGTTTTGACTAGATCTATGCTCAGTAGATTCTCAAAGGTATCAATCGAATTGTTACATTTTGCTTTAATAGTAACTTTACAGCTGCTACCATGCTAAGAAAACATAATGGCTATATTTTAAACCATGTTTTTTAATCATAAAGTAATAACCACATTCAATATTTTTGTACCTCTTTTTAGGAAAATACAACATGGGACTTGGTAGAAGACATGGAAAGATTGAGGAAACATTTAGGGATTGATAAATGGGTAGTTTTTGGTGGAAGCTGGGGTTCTACCTTATCTTTAGCTTATTCTGAAACCTATCCTGAGTTTGTGAAAGCCATAATACTAAGGGGAATCTTCACTTTGCGCAGGTAATAGATAAAAAAAAGATGAATTAAAAATTGATAGACATTTTCTAATTACTCTGTTAGTGCTATAATTAAAATGTTGTTTAATGAAGAAAAAAGTATATATACTTTTAAAATTTGTGATAAACTATTTTTCTGATATTTATTTACTCTGGAGTAATTGTAAAAAATGTAGTGTTTATTTTAGTACCTAGTCTACTGCTGCTCACACTTATCTTTATTATCATGCTAAAATAATGCAGAGAAGAACTTGAATGGTTTTACGAGGGTAAAGGAGCTAATATGTTGTTTCCTGACTATTGGGAAGAATATGTGGATTATATTCCTGAGGTAATGTAAAATCTGTGTTGTCATTTATTTAAAACAATAATTATTGGAATTTGTGAAAATGTGAGCTAAGGGGCTCTCCAGGTTCAATAAAAACACATTTTTATCAATTTTCCAACATGAAATGTTTGGGTTATGTATCACATACTATAACAAGGCTAGAAATCATTCTTAACATATTGTTTATAAATAAAATATTACCAGTCTATACCCTTGCTAACAACTTATAGAAAAAATACTCAGTAGAATTAATTTTGCACCTAAAATGAAAAGCAAACCATCACTTTAAGAAACTGATTATGCAGGTTGAGCATTGCTCTTTTATGAATGCCTACTATAGACGTCTAACGTCAGAAGATGAATCTGTTAGGATTGAAGCATCCAGAAGATGGAGCAAATGGGAAATGGCTACCTCCCATCTATTTATAAATGATGAAAAAGTTGCAAAACCTGCAAATCAATCAACATGGGCCCTCCAGTTTGCAAGAATTGAATGGTTAGTTACATAACATTTAGACAAATTTACTATTATTTCCCAAATAAAAAGAGAAACAAAAATTTAATACTTGTCATCCCTATTCTGATACATATGTGATCTAGATATTTTTGCCTGTTTGAGGATCTAAACTTTTTATAAATAAAACTCAAATTTAATCAAAACACAATACAAAAATTTAAACTTTATAAACGGTTAGGTCTTACCCTCAGAATAATAATGCTACTACTTGAACTAAATCCAAGTAAAATAATCCTTGAAGACAAAGCATAGTAAATCATCTGAAATAAATCTGAAGTATTATCCCCTCCCCTTCCCTTTCACTTATATGCAAATTTTACAAGTAAAAAAACAACAACTCATATAGCCACTACCCCTATTAAAGAATAATAAATAATAAAATAATAATATATAACACATTTCTTAAATGCCCCATTTTCTGATTTTTATAAAAGTAAGCATTGTTAACTGAGTTTTAATTACTGAATGTTTTTGTTTAATTACTTTTTGAAATTTCAGCAGGTTTGTGAGTCTGTTGGTGAAAAACTTATGCATACAAAATATGCAACTTTAACAAACCTTTTAAATGATCAGCACAATATAAGCTTTGAGCAGTAAAAGAAAGAAGTTGGTTGCACAAATATTGTATTTTGTGTGCAACTAGATTTGTCTAAGCTCAAATTTCTTTAAATTTTTTTAGCCTTTTAGCTTGTTGTAGATTCTCTTAGCTTCCTCTTGTTTGCTGAGGCTAATAATCTATTTTACATGAATAATCCCCCAGATGGTGATATACTCAATCATTATTAAAAACTCAAAATCTTCATTACAAATATTATTAGCATATGGATTTTTACCCTCACCAAGTAACTAAATTGAATTAATAAAGTTTCATATTCATGTGTACAGTTACCTAATCAAGTAAAAAATTTTTTTCTGGAAATCTTAACTTATGAAACATGTTAAAATTGTTTGGCATTTTTAAGTATATGAAAATGCCAATTAAAAATGTGTATCTTTTTCAGCCATTATTTTGTGAATGGAGGTTTTTTTAAATCAGCCAATCAGCTATTAGATAAGGCTGAAAATATCAGACACATTCCTGGCACTATTGTACAAGGGAGATATGATGTAGTCTGCCCATTAGATACAGCTTGGAAATTGCATAAGGTAAATTTGTATTCCAAATGTTCATTTTACATCTACTATAAAAAAAATTTCAACAAGACCTAGTGCAAAAAAAAAAAAAATGATTTAGATACCAACTTTAAATGAATTTGTCTCAAACAGGTTCAAAAGATATTGATTGGCTATCTATAAACCTATTCAAATTTTAAAATTGATTCTAGAAATGGCCAGAAGCTGAATTTCATATAGCCCCTGACAGTGGACACAATTCACAGGAGCCTGCCACAAGGACATTTCTCTTGAATGCCACAGACAAATACAAAAATCTGTAACGTCTTGAACCCAATTTTTCTCATTTTGAATGCAAGCTTAATGTTATCAGTAATATTTAATCAGACTAAGCCAACTTTATTCATGAAAATAAAATGTATAACAGATGTAATACATGTTTATTTAGTGTTTGAGATTAAGTCCTTTGTTCATACATTTACCATGTTTTTTAGTTTCCTGTGCTATTCCAAAAACTGTTTAATGTCAAATTTTAACAACAGAATCTGCGTTAAGAAAAAAGCTGGAGAAATGTTTTATATTGTAATATGTAGAAAGCTAGTCAAAATATTTAGAAGTGTGAAATTGCAGATTAATTCTTTAAATTGATTATTTTTTAATAAACCTAATTCAATGCATTAAACATTTTAAATTTTTTGCTTGTGTCTATCTTCCAACACCATTGAGTATTGCTCTTATGCGCCATATATGGCCCGTTATATTTGCTTCCATAGACTTTGTCCGTCCAAGAACTACTAGTAGGTGGTTAGCTGTCTAAACTCTGGACTTGAGTTAGCAATCAAATTCTCACCAGACCCACTAGACTATCCAATTTTGCTTCAGTGAAATTATTTCAATTTAATTAAAAAAAAAAGACCCCACAAAGCAACATACATTTTATTGAATTGTAAAGTAGCATTTTTTTTTTTTTACAAAAACCCCAGGTCGTAAATCACTTGACCTGAGTTGACCAATCACACAAGCTCTAGATTTCATCACAGTGGTCTAATACAAGAGTATTTACATTACTCACAGAAAAAAAAACACTGACTTTTAAATGGAACACATTCTCTGAAAGTAGCCTCAATATCTTTGTTTTTTTTTAAATAGAAACTACCATTTTTAAAAAAATTTCCCTTACATATTTTGCGTATTACAGTCATTAAGCATAAGGCCTAAAGGCTGTTCCTACTATATTTTGAATGCCCATTTTTTTTGTGAACAGGTTGCGAAAAGTCTAAAAATTGTGCATTGTTATTTAGTTAGGTCATCAAATACATCATTTTATACCTTGAAAATACAGCAGACTGAATATTAATAAATAAATATTTTCCCACTAATTTTTTAATGACTTAATTATACTGCCTGTGCAAATGCAGTATTTATTCTGCAATAATTTTCCCTTGATTCACAACTAAAGCTTCTGACTACATTGTTTTAAGGTAATGTATTCCAACCAAATAGAAATACCAGTAGGTACTAAAAATGTATTAAATCCTAACTCGACATGCATTTCAGCTAAAACCACACAGTTAAAAGATGATAAGACAGTAATAGGCGGTTCATTTACAGCAGTAAGAAAATTGTACACGTAGCTAAAACAATGAAAAATGAGGCTTAATTATTTACAGGCTTCTCTGTCTAAAATATAAATAAATTGAAGTTAAAGCACAAGGTATCACATACTCCCAAAACAAACTCATGAATAAATGATAATTGCCCATAACAAATTTTGTTTTCTAAAATTGAGCTTCTACACTCTAGTATTGGAGTATTTTTAAACAAAATACACTAAATTGTAAATTTTTATGTTAAAAATAAAAACAAAACTCTTTTAAAAGTTTTACGAATTTGAGAGTAGGCCCTGACTTTAAGTACTGAAGGACATAATTAGGTTTCTTTATTTAAAACAAATAAATAAACAATACACTTGTTCAGTAATCACAGTACTTCAGCAAAAATTACACAAATCACTGTAATCTTAGGATGATATACTTGAATAGAACATTGTCAAAAGTTTTGTATTAAAAAAAAGACCCCTCCCAAAATATATTTTAAAAATAATCTAGGGCATATCTGCCTAGATTTTATATAAATTATTATATTGCCTTTAAACTTGTACATACCAAGTTATACATTTCCATTACAAATAATCAAAGATAGTCAACCTGAGAAAGCGATAATTTTTTTGAAGACAACATACAAATGCTCACTAATAATAAAACTGGCCAGACATTATTTGATGGACTACTTAAGGGAAAAAATTTACCTCATTCCAAATATATAAATATGATGAACACAAATCTTTGTGTTCATTCTGATCTAAAAAATTGATAAGCTATACAATAAATGTCAAAGCTAGTCACACACATTACTGTCAGCCATTATACTTATAGATATTCATTCATTTATCAGACAACATTCATTGAATAGATTAGTTGTGCTTTTAAATGAGTTATATTGCAGCAATTTTAACTAAAGAACATCAATCCATCACTAACACTTTGCATTAAAACATTTTGACTAGAACATAACTACACTATCCCTAAACTTTTTCAGTATAATATTAAATAGGTATTTATTGTCATCAGAATTTTAAAAAGATGCTTTTTAATTATTCAAGCAATTTTAAACATTTTAACATCTCTAGACATCTTAAAACTTGCTAGACTGACTGACCCCATGACATAATTTTTCATGTTTAGTAAAACAACCTTTTATATAAAGCAAAATTTATTATGCATCCAGTTAATTATATTTTTGAGTGTATTCACAAAGTATTAGGGCGAAAGACATGTTTAACTTAAAACTTGGCACTAAGGATGTGATATTGAACTAATTAATTAATATGTCACTACATAAGTAATAGGACTAAAAGGTGCAAATTGGAAGATTACTGTAGTTATTAAACATACAATTTTAAAAGTGAATGTTCAGAATTTAAAATTGCAAATATTATTGAATATTATTATTGAATAAGCTGATAACAGAAAATGTATTTTTAAAAAGTATAATTGCATCTATAAGTTTTTTCATAAATGAGAGATACTCAGGTTTCAATTTCAATAGTTATGGACATAAATATTAAAAAATTTCACCAGCAAAAATATTTATAAATTGTATAACTCAAGATATTTTTTCACAGTGATGATTCTTATGATTATTTACATTGTTAATGTTTGTATTAACTTTAAGTTAAATTTATCTCTTATTTTTTAAATTGGTTTATTTTAAATTTGTGGTTCATTTTGTGTATGTTTGATCATACATGATGGTCACCAAAAATTATTAAGTAAAAAATCAGTCATCTTTATTTGGGGGATATGGATGTGTCAATTTCATGCTCAACACTGTCTTCTTTAATCTCTGGCATGTGATCAGAGGGAATGCGGGATGCCATGCTACTGCTGTGAGTTTGTCCAGATGCTGGTCTGGTAATTAAACTAGCAGGGCGCCCATATGGCAACTGTGGTAGAGATAAGGGCGGCAAACTGGAGAATTCTGACGTGGGGTAGTTGTCATCATTATAAGTGTCTTGTGGGTGGGAGAAAGAAGCCTCAAAGGTCAGGTTGTCAATCATATCACAACTGACACTGGCTGCAGACTGTGGCGCAGTCCTAGAAAATAAAAATCCATCCTGTGTGTTTTGACCAGGTTGTAATGGTGAGGAGACTTGATTTGAAAGCCCCGCTGTGTTAGAGCTGTACCCAAAGTTTGAGTGAGGTGCTCTCTGAGTTTTTGAAAACTGCAAGCTGCTAGAGAGCTGCAAGTCAGGGTGTACAGCTGAGGCTTCAGTGGGAAGGTGAGATGACCTGCCATGGCGCTGTCGATGGTGTGTTTCATGGATGTGAAGAACACTCAGGCTCATATTTCCAGAGAGAAGCTCACGTTGGCCCTCATCCAACCCCATGGCGAAGGACCCAGAGTGAAAAGAATCAGAGGTAGTTAGGCTGGACAGGTTGGTTCCTGAATTGACAGGACCATCACAATTTGAGAGTCCTCCTCGGAGTTTGGCAGTCTGACCGGTTGATCGACTCATTGTGCTGGTGTGGTCAAGTTGATATGTTGAACTCCGATGAGTGCTTAACCCCATCTGTAACAAAATTGAAACGGAATTTTTTACTTATTGTACTATTAAAAAAAGACCTGAAATTCATCTGATATTTCAAGACACAGGCAACATATACATCATGATCATCACAGATACTGCGCACATTTTACAGCCGGTATGACTGTTGGTCAACAGCCAATTGACAGGGACATTAAAGCCTGCAAATGGGATAGATCAGGCATACCCAGAGAAGAGGATAACATCACAAGGCAAGCCTTCGACTGGAATCCTCAGGAGAGAGGAAAGTAGGCCGGCTAAAAAAATCCTGGAGGGCGGTAAATGTAGAGGCTGGGGCTGCCAGGCTTACATGGGCGCAAACAAAGAGAGCCCCAAAGGAATAAATCATACGGATATCCTAAACATCTTACATTCAGTATTGGGGCAACTGGGTTGACATATCCAAGACTGGGAAGGCTGATTGGGTCGGCTATTATGCTTGTCAAGGCAGGCAACTCTTTATGAACTGAAATGTGGATATAATTTTTAATTAAGTATTACAATAATTACATCTTTTATTTCTATAAGTTCTTAGATCTATACAGTATCAAATGATAGGCCTATTAATAAAAACCTGAAATTTTTTGACTGGTTTAGATTATTATGTTAAAATCTTAAATGTAACTAATTCAGAAAATAGATAATCTACTAAAATTACACTTTATTAAAATAGTTTAGGTATAGTTAAAAAAATTGGTTTTGATTCTTATATGCATTTTAAAAAAAATTTTCTAATCAAATGCACAAATTATCTCACTAACTTGACAATTAAAAGAATGCCCCAACAAACCCACCTTCATGCTTGATACCAGTGACAAAAAGATTGCTCTCTTGTGGTGGCTTCCACTCTGGGTTTGTGGTCTGTGGAATAAGAAGGATATGACTGGAACAAAAACATGGAGCTCCTTCCTTACAGACATTTACTTAAAGGCCAAAGGTTTTTGTTAGCATTTTTAAAGCACACAATTTTGCAGCAAAGACAAAAATATTAAAAACAACTTACAGTGAAATGCATTAGTGACAGCTCAATTTTTCCATTTTCAGCCTGCATAGACTTGTGAGTTGCTTCATTTGCAGGTCTTGTTTTTGTCCACTTAAAAAGTTAATAAAATTCATTTGAAGGTATATGTGATTAATAATACCATAAAGTACTAGTAACTAAGAAGATGCTTTTGTGATGCAACCCAAAAAACAAGAGCTAATGTAAAAGAATTAGCTTACAGATCAATCATGGTTTCAGATGTGTTAAAAAAGTTGAACTTTTTTCTAAATATCGCTTGATCTATTCATTTTAGATGTTGCCTTGAAAATGATTTATTTATAGAAAGTATTACCAATGCATTCTATGGTTATCTAAAGTAAAATAAAACAAACCAGCGGGTTCCCATGTTTTTTAATATCCATTTGTGCAAACGAGCAGACGTCACCCACACCTGCAACCTCCACTGTGAAACATCTAAAGAAGTCCACAATATGGGCAGACTTGGCACGCAGGAAGAAGAATAACCAGAATGGGGTAAACAAGGGGCTTAACAGCTCTTCAATTATGTAAACCTGAAGAAAAAATTCAAATTGTAAGCATTTTAAAAATGTAATTAACCTTGTTTAACAACCCTAGCTAATGTGGTAATGTGGAAGTTAATCAGCCAGTTTAAAAAGTGTACCAGTTTGTATTGAAACATCATAGCAAATTCATCTCTGACAAAAGAAGTATGAGCACGGCCCTTCCAGTGGTCAGGCATGTAATGGATCTGGGCCAGGATGCTCATCATCAAACGTTCAGGGCAGAAAACTTCATTCTATCAACAGAAAAAACACAACATTTATTTCCTAATTACAAGCTCTTCTGTGAATAAGTAATAGCTAAAGCAGTATGTCTACATTTTATCATTAAAGAAGGTGTAATACATACTTCATCAGGAATAAGTGAAGAGCATATTGTGGCCACCATTCCTTAAAAAACAAACATATTTAATGAGTTTTTAAAATAGTTTTGATCCATAAAATAAATGTGCACTAACAAAAAGCAATATGGGAAATAGTCTTGCATAATAGAAGATAATAATCACCAAAGAAGACTATGTATGAAATAATCTTACCACACACAGAGGCCACAGTAAATAAGTGTTCCACCTTAGTGACATCGTTAAAATCTAAGATTCCTAACACAAAGAGTACAGCAGCAGGGGCACCAGCAAAAAAAGCAACATACCTATGGAGAAGATAAACAGGTAGTAGTAGCTTGAGGAATTAGGTAGAGGTCAATGTATAGTATCTAGTGGATGTCTAGTTACTGTCTGGTTACTGTGGAGCTATGTATAACATTCTCATCAAATCAGTCATCAAGTTCTTGTTAGTGACCCAAATAAAAAGTAATGTCAACTATGTGTTATTAAATTAAATACACTGTCTACAAATGGTCCTCATACAATCACTTCAAACAGGCAGTAAGATCAGAAAGGGGAGATAAACAACACACACTTACTTGGCCAGAATGGTTATTGAGGCTGATGTAAAGCTATTCATGTACATTTTAGAAGGAACATAGGCTCTGTTTAATCTAAGTAATAAAACAAAAAAAAGTATTCATTATCTCTGAAGACTGATACAAAGAAAAACATTATGAAGAGATATCACAAAAAACTAACAAATGACATTTAAATCAGGACCTATCTATTCATCTTTACTACAATTACATATCAGATTTCTTAAATGTACCAAAATATCAGAATCAAATGGGGTGAAACTAAATACCCTCACCTGGCATTAAGTTCATGATCTAGCTCATTAAAGTGTCTGAGATACAGTCTCCCATAATTTGCCCTGGAATTGAAAATTAGCTAATTACAAATAAAATTCTTATCATAATGCTAATAAGATAGAAAAAATACCTAACAAGAATATTACTTACCACTGTCTTGATCCTAGAAAACTTGGTGAGCGCTTCACAAACTATATGAACAGAAAATAGAATTTAAATATTTGACTACAGCAGTTTATAAAATTTGTATTCTATTCTATATTCATGGTGCAGTATGAAAAGGTTAACCAGAATTCTTACCTAAGGATACTTTGATCTCATTTTTATGTTACAGCTAATTAAGGATACAGTTTTGAAAGATAAATTTCTCACCTCTGCATAGCGAAAAAAGAAGTAAATAATTTGGTAAAAAAATATGAAGGGGCACAACACCAGGTTTAGTAGAGCCAAAACACTTATATGGGTTGAAAGTCTAAGAATAAAAATAAAATAAAAACTTTTAACATGCTTTTAAAACAAGATAATAATGTAAACATTTAAAATTGATGTCGCTTAAAGTAATAACAAAAACCATTTAATTAAATGTCTTGAGAGCCATACTCTAATTACCTGTCAGCCAACAGTTTTCTCTTCTGTTGACTCTTGTACTCTTCTCGCATTGTGTAACTGTTGATAAAAACTGACCACGGGCTCCCTAGAACAGATATAATTTACATTCATTTCTTACTTCTCTGTGACATAGTACGATGTTATAGAAAAAACCTTTCTAAAACTGCAGTAAGTAAAGTAACCAGATTTAACTTTTAAAACAATGTATGGTTTGGAACTACATCAGTACACCGATGAATGGGTGGCAGGATTAATTAAAGGCAACAGAGTTGAATAGTTGAAGAAGTTCATACAAAAAGATGCACTCACAGTAGAGCAACACATCAAGGTTAAATCTCATCCCATGAGTCAGTATAGCACTGGAAGAGTAACAAAAAAATTTCTTTTGGTTAGCCGAGTTTCATGGAAATAAATATCAAGACAGCAATTCATCTAATACTAACGTATAGTAATATAAAAAATACAAATTAGACAGTGAAATGGTGCATACAACAGTGCAGAGAACTAGTGGGTAATTAAATGTAATTTAAATATCTCAACTTGTAGTAAGAGAAAAAAAATAAAAAACTTACTGCTGTCCAATAAATGGCAGTCGAAATTTCAATGGCAATAAATCTTTATTCACCATGGCTACCAGATAATTCTTGAAGCGTAGAATTCTGTGGTAGATATCTGGTGAATAAATTTTACAAATACAGTGAATACATAAACTAGACAAGTTTTTAGTTATAAACTCAGAATAATGGTTGAAAAATACATTGACAGCTCTTCCTGCCATACTACAAGTATATACTATTTTAATGCATTGTTTGCTTAGGGTTAAGATTTACATATTGTTTAAATATAATAAACAGAAACCACTTAAGGCATTTCTGAATACTGTACCTAGCTGTGTGAGTTCTTGTTTGTGGATACAAATTTGTTGTTCTTTCTGGACCTCCAGCAATCTCAGCTGAACTTCATGCCAGGTCATGTTGCTCAGGTCATGCTAGTGTCAGAAAATGTAACAACTTCTATGTAATAAGGGGCCAGGAAGTATACTGACATTTTTAAAGAGTTTTATAAAGTTTAAACTAATGAACTTAAACTTATTATATTTAACGAGCTGACCCGCTGCGTATCATACGCCGCTATTTAGTTGTTTTTTTTTCTACTTTTCAGTAATTTATAATTTGTGAATTCGACAGTACCAATGCTGCCATTGAAAATATTTGCTTAAAAACACTAACCCCCCCCCCCCCCCCCCCCCCACGTGAAAGCAGCCTCCTCTTAGTTACCTCCTCTAATTTTAAAATCGTTTCAAATTAAATTATCTGCCCCTAATAGCCGTCACCAAACCCGTCTCTATGATTGTAAAATGTAAACAGAGTGAACACAGCTCACCAGATCATGTGGGGGTGGGGTGGGGGTGGAAGTGATAGTGATAGAGAGGAAGAGAGGGGACTGCAAAGGCGCGCTTGCAGCTTGTTTTCTAACTGATCCCAGAAGAGAATTATATATATAGATTGTATCTTAAGTTTATAAAAAAATATATAAAATCAGAGACTAAATTAAAAAAGCTACCATTAAGCATTTTTATTTGTTTATGACTGTTACTGCAAAATTTTAAAGAATGAAAAAAAAAACTTTCAGTGATGTAATATATCAATAAATCTACTTACTGTTTCTATGTTGAGAGCACTTATAAAGAAATTCCTAGTCCTTATGTAATTACTGAAGTTGAAAGCAATCTTAATGGCTCTTCCAATAAGAAACAGGAGACAGAGGAACAACAGTAGCCAAGTTATAAAAGTGAATCTGTAAAAGAATGCAATATCTAATGAGCAATAGGTGAAACTTAAGTGAAAATACTGTTGCTCTATTTTTTATCACACTATACGGCATGCTGAACCAATTATAACTCTCAGATTTTAGCTTTTTTAACAAGCTAAACAGGAAATTTATTCTCTAGAGTAAAATATAGTTACAAACTTTTTTAAAGATAGCCTGACGTATACTTTTTGTCTATTTATGTAGTTGTTAGCTAGAAGCAAGTGAGGGTAGAATATTACCTTGCAATGCATACTCCAGAGGTATATGTGATGTCAGAAAATGTCTTTTTGCTTGTTGAATTATGAGGAATTTCATCAAATAGCTCGGGGTAATTGACACACCAGCTCAAATATGTCATGAAGAGCACAACAAAAATAAATTGCCTGTAAAAATAATGAAGCTAGAATACAAGGATTTAACAGCTTTTAAAAATTTGTAACTAGGAAAATATTGCTTGAATTAAGAAACTGATTTGCAGACATGAGAAAGTTCATACTTCATTTGCAACTAGGTCTGAATTTTTAAATCAATATGCATTTAACATTTTTTTCAGTCTAGGTGAAATTTTTAAATTATTTACCTAAGAATAAAAAATGTGAATTTATAACAGTGCAATAACACTACAATATTTGTATTTGCATTTAAATACATATTTTGCATTAAAATATCTACATACTTTAATATTACCCAAAATAAGTGTACACAAAATGGCTTATGTTATCCAAAAGATATCTTATTCATCAAAAAGCACACAAGGATACCCATGTACATCCCCTGCTTATCAGAACAACTGTAGAAAAGTTGTAACGCTTGTCTAACAAAACAATAAGCTTTTTATATATTTTGTGTCAAGTGGATTGGGGAAGTATCAAGGTTTGGTTTTTTTTTAAGGGTAACACAGAGACACAATTTTTGGGAACCCTTGATATAAAATGTAGAAAAGTAACTCAAACAATACTTACACTACTTGCAGTATTTCAGTCAGTACCATATTTTGAAAACCATGTCGTTGATGGTACTCATAAACACTAGTAAAAAACTTGTCAAGATCATCAACATGATTCCACTGAGCTGTTGATTGATACAAATGTTTTTTTAAAATATCATTGATTTTATTAAAATTATGATTGATATTTTTTTTTACCAAAAACAAAATGTGTGTTCTGGTTGATTAAAGATTAAGAATTATTTTCAGGTTCAGCTACAGAGGAAAACTGGCAACTCTTCTCTTAGGTATTAAAGATACTCATTCAATGTACAGTGCCAACTTAATTTTTTTGTCAACAATTGAAATATCCAAAACTGAGGCTTTTATTTACAAATAAATCATTGGACACTTCACCTTAGACACCCCAAAGTCCATATAAAACACATTTTATAAAGTGTTTATTACTATAAACATTAAAGACAGTAATCAATATTAAAGTCTAATGTAGAATAATGGACAAGGTCTTTTCAGTTTCATAGAATGTTATAATGAGCAGGTATGAAAGAGCAGCATATATTGTTTGAAAATCCCCTAGCCACCCAGTTTATAAGGATTGTAGTTACCAAAGCACAATAGGGTAACATTTTAATAATATGTGCACAATCAGTAACAGGAAAGTAACTAAAATACTGATATCAAAAGTCAGATATATTGTACTGACTTGTGTCTTTAAGTACAACTCTGTTGTTGGAAAACAACCAATGAGGAGGTAAAAAAGAACACTTATTCCAACATTGACCTTCAGGCACACAAGATGGAGATGGTTCAGTCTTGTGATCAGATTGAGAGCACCGTCTAAGACTGTACTGGGATGAACACCACAGCACAAGAGAAAATGACAGAGAAAGAGTTGAAATTTAGTGTTCCAACAAGCTGACTTTTAGATGCCTATTGCAACAATGTGCATAAAGAGAAGACAATGATGAATTATTGACTATAACCACACATTTTTACAGTAATTTTCACCAATAAACATAAGGACTGAAACATCATCATCATCAACAATACTTGCATTCTTTTATGAATTAAAAAAACTTTGGGTTACACATACTTTTATTAGCTTCAGGGCTCATGTGAACTAGAAATCCCTGCTCTTCATGCAAACTTATTTCACTGTCATCCTCCTCCTCATCCACTCCCCTCGGATCATCTTGTGTTGCTAAAGGATGACCTCCCAAGGCTTGGTACTCAATTTCTTCTGAGTCTGAGGCCATACTTCATTTGCAACTAGGTCTGTATTTTTAAATCAATATGCATTTAACATTTTTTTCAGTCTAGGTGAAATTTTAAAATTATTTACCTAAGAATAAAAAATGTGAATTTATAACAGTGCAATAACACCACAATAATATTGTTACGAACTAGTCAGGGAATGGTAAAAAAGAATAAGAAAAAAATAAGAATAAATAAACACAAATATCAATGATTTCTATTTATTACCACAATAACACAAACCCGCCACCCCGACTAATCTACTTTGTCCCTAATGGTCTATCCTAGCCTAGGTCTACTACAGTACAGACATCTGGCTTGCCACCAGCTCACAGAGACGTCCCATGAGTCTCATAACCCAAGTTATCCAAGTGTGTCTGTCCCCAGTCTCCAAAATATTCCACTTAAAGTCAACCCTTAGTATTATTAGCAGAAAGTTTACCCGGCTTGGTCTCAGCAAACAAGCAGGCTTGTTGCATTGAGTTATCCTTATAAATATATATCAAATTAAACTTTAATCCTTATTCTTCTAACAAAACTATCTGGACCAGGTGGTCGAGTGGTTGCGCTTTGGGCGGGTCATCAGGGGTTGAGAGTTCATGGTATAGTTATAGTATATCTAGTAAAGTAAAAAGATTTAGATCTAATCTGTACGTTAAATATAAAATATTTTAAAATCTTTTTTTTTAATAGCCTATTTAAATCTACTATTTAAGTATCGTATTAAACCTTGTCCTATCAAGGGAACACAGGCTTAAACCACAAACATTTTTAGATGACAAGAAAAACTAAGTCTTTGAGATGATTTTAGATACTGATGTCAGATAATAGACTCTCCTAAAAATAGGTGTGTTGAGTTGTTATTAGTATTCTAATCTCAACTAATTTTATGGTTAGACATTAGGCTAGGGTTAGGCATATGGTAGGACAAGGGTTGGGGTTAGCATTGACTGACATTAGCAAGCCAAGTGTATTTTAGTTTACTATCAGTAACCTTACACCCCTTTTTTAAGAAGATTCTATTATCAGATACTGGTATAAACAATTCCTTTGGTCATTGTATCACTATGGGGTCATCCATTTATGACGTCCACAAAAATTTAGAATTTTGGACCCTCCCCCAATTCGGACATCCGCAAAAAGTTACTAGACCTCTAAAAACATGATGCAAAATTACTAACTCATTAACATGTAATGTGTAGGCCTACCTTGCTACCTTAATACAGAGATTTATATTTTTGGTAACATCTATTACAATGTCTACTAAGTTACTAAGTAGTATTAACTGAGTAATTTAGATATCTACTACAACTTAGTAATTTTAATACTTTGAAGTATTTTTAGTGCCAAAAATAAAATAAGCTAAAATTATTTAAAATATTTATTAAGACCTATTGTAAATAATAGTTCCTACTAAATAAGTACTAATCTACTAATATATAATTCTCTTCATGGGGACCATGCGAGACCACAAAAATGCACGCCGTTACTCCCCCGCTCAGTAGGCATATAGCTATCACCCCCACCATTCTAGTGAGCTAAGGTTCACCTCGAATGTTTACTATTGTAGAGCCGCGTTGAATTAATAATTAGTAATGACTTAGGGGCAGATAATTTAGCTTTTTAACGATTTGAAACTAAGGAGAGGTAAGAAGTTCAGCATGATCTTTTCATTGTCGTCGACCGTCGACACAGACGGCTGCTTTCACAGTCGCAGGGAGGGGGGGGGATGAAAGGGAGGATGTCCAATTCACTAGCTATGAAGTACTGAAAAGGAGAAAATAAAACAACTAAATAGCGGCGTATAATAATAATATACGCCGCGGGTCAGCTTGTATTTATTTATAATTAATATCTATAATAAATTATAATTAATTCCCATAATTCGAGAGCCTGAGCAGAAAAAATAATAATTTTTAATTTTTTTTTTAATATAATTAATTAGGCCTACTAAATAAACTAGATCTAGTAATAAACAGTTTAATACACTGTGACTGATAAATTCATAAATGATTCTTGATTCTTGAATGATAATTAATAATGATAAGTTAATAAGTTAAACTATAGGTCATAGGTCTAGTCTAGATTTAGATCTAGTCTAGAAAATCAATTAGAGTAGTAAACACACTTAAGTCTTTAAGTCTTAAACAGTAAACATAGCTGACTTTCTTCGCAGCTGATCAAAACAAAGATTTTCTTAAAACCTAGACCTAGATTCTAGATATAAATACTAGATACATTAAGTCAGCAGCAAATGCGACCTTATTTCTTAAAAGTCCTTTTAAAATTAAAAACGCCTCGATTAACTCCGGGAGTAAGCCAGATAATAAATAGATCTAGATCTATCTAGGATCGATATCTTTATTACAAATTTGTAGCCATAATCAACTAGGTCTATTATAGACTCTAGTATTCAATAGTATTCGTGTCGAATTTTAATATCAATTTAAATGTAGGATAATGACTTTGAAGATGCAGAAATACCTACATTTAATAATGCAATATGTTACGCCAAAATGTTAACAGATAAAGTAATCTAGATCAGGATCTAGATTTCTATGTAATAAATAGTGATCTAGAATCTAGGCCCACTACTAGATTCTATATCTTGGCATATAATATTGGAGTCTATGACATAAATATATTATATTTAATATAATATAGTACTTGGATAAAACTTATAGACCTATCTATAGCTTATTGTTGAATAAATATATATTAAAATAATTAAAAACGTTTGTAGCATTTTGTGTCTCTAAAGACTAACAATAAAATAGTTGCATATTTCTATATGCATTTTAAAAAATTGCATTGATTTTTAACCTGCTTATATAATTATCCTTTATTCACCTCGGGATCACTGAGTAAGAGTTGCCATTTAGGAATTGTTTAGTTTTGTTAGATAAAATAAATACAATATACATAGAAAATTAAAGTAGGGCCTTAATGCATCACGTTTTAAATTAGACTCTAAGATTCTAAGGGGTCATCCATAAAGAACATGACACTTCATGGGGAGGCGGAGGGGTTGGAACTTGGTGTTACGTGTACAGAAAGTATGACTTTTAGAAAGACAACATTTGTTTAAAAAAACCAAGTATTTTTTTGAAAATGGTATTTAAGCTAAGGTAATTTTTAGGGATGGGGTTCTAGCTTTTGTGATACTGGGGAAGGAGGCGGGTACGTAAAGATCGTGACGTCATTTATGGATGATCCCTTATGGAATACAGACTTATGTTGATGTTGTGTGTGGAGAGGTGGGAGTAACATGATTAGGCCCTATACTATGTCCAGTTAATCACGTTTTTAGCATTTGGGTTAAGATCTATAGCTATAATGAAGTATAATGTGTTGGCTGGTATCCCATTCACTGCCCTATTTTTGTTAGCTTTTCATTTAGTTCATTGTTGTTAGAATTCAATTTTTGACCGATCAATAAAGTACCTCGATAACTTATATTTTTATTTAGCATAACATAGTTTAATTTGGATTGCGCAGGTTTTATAAACCGTATGTTCCAACGAGGTTGCACAGATGAAAGGAACAATAACAACACCTCGGTTCTCCCCTAACATGAATAATGTAAGGCTAGATTAAATATGCATTTGGGTTTGCAATATAATTATCGTGATCGAGAATGCGATTTTCTATGCTTCGAATATTGATACCCCGAGCCATTACAGTCATCAGTCTCTAGTTTTAAAGAAACAGTAAACCTTCTGTAGTTTTTTAAGACACATTTTAAAGTTTTCTACGTTGAAGGTTTTTTTTAAATTTTAGACTAAGAGAAAGACAGATTGTGTTTCATTGGTCCGTTTCAAAACTCACTAATATCATATTAATTTTATATTTACTTTTAGCTTTAGTTGGGGAAAAATTAATTATTTTTAAAAATCTTTTAGCTAGGCCTAAAATCTAAATTTGTCTTTTGTTTCTTATTACAGAAAATTTACCTGGCACATAAAGCTCGAGAACTACAATTATTTTAAGCTTTCGGTTTCAACCAGCACTGGAAACTTATTACCAAAAATAAGACACAGTACAGTAGAGTTGCTTGTTCCTTCATCTCTGTTCATTTATCCAGACCTATAATCTAAATGCAACCATTTTAATATTGTATAGCATTGATTTCATTATATTTCTTAAATATTAGGAACATTACCCTGTGGATGAAATAGAAACAAAATTATTAAGCTGGAGGGGATAAACATCAATGTCATGAATCCACTTGCTCAGCAGCAGCAGGTTGTAAATGTAAGTTTTTGGTTTAGGCGTAGAGTAGAGATCCTAGATCTACCGACTAAACTCTTAGTTAAGAGTTTTAAGACTTAACAATAAGTAATTAGATCGAGATCTAAGTAAAAAGCAAAGAGTCTACTAAAAAAAAAAACAACCAAGAAAGTTGAAGTGGAAATTTAGTTTTATTTAGTCCACTCACTGGGGCTGGGGGAATTTTTATACCAGTGTCTGATAATGATAAATTGATAATATAATTATTAATTAATAATAATTAGGCCTATAATAGTCTTCTTTGAAAATTGGGTGTTAGGTTACTGGTAGTTACCTAAAAAAATACACACATTGCTGGCTAATGTCAATGCAAGAGATTGTACCGGTGTCCGATAATGGAATCTTCTTTAAAAAAGGGGTGTTAGGTTACTGGTAGTTAACTAAATACACACATGGCTGGCTAATGTCAATGCTAACCCTGTCCCTAACCCCACTCCTGGTCCTACCATACACACAACCCTAATTTCTAACCATAAAATTAGTCGAGATTACAATACTACTAACAACCTAACACCCCTTTTTTAAAGAAGATTCCATTATCGGACACCGGTATCTATAATCATCCGTCAAGGATGATTTTAAATGCTGATAAGACTCTTCCATAAGAGTTAGTAGTATTGTAACCTCGACTAATTTTATGGTTAGAAATAGGGTTAGGAATAGGGTTAGAATTGACATTAGCCGGCCATGTGTGTGTTTAGTTAACTACCACCCCTAACACCCTAACCTAACACCCCTTTTTAAAGAAGATTCCATTATCGGACACTGGTATAAAAATTGCCCCCTTCTTTAAAAAAGGGGTGTTAGGTTACTGGTAGTTTACTAAAATACACACATGGCTTTCTAATTTCAATGCTAACTCTATCTGTAACCCCTATCTTAGTCCTACAATACGCTTAACCCTAATTTCTAACCATAAAAGTAAGATTACAATACTACTAACAACTTAACACACAAAGGGTCTACAGGAATCATGATATCATGTGATTACCCACCCCAGTCAATAAATAATGATCAAAGAAAAATTAAAAATAAGAAAATTGTGATGCAATGTCATAAACACATTTTACTAATAGCATGTCCCTAGGTGATTTTAGTAATTAAGTTCAAGTTAAATGTAGGCTATTATTTTTGTAGCTTATCTAATAATAGTAAATAATCCATATGACTTAACTTTAACTACAGTGAAATCTGTGACCTATATGTAAAGTCATCACTGTTGTACATTTTAATGTTTTTTTTTAAATTTGTATTTTAATTGAAGAGAGGCATGATTCCACAAGCTCCACTTCAAGTAGATAGAGAACGAATTTATCAGTGGATAAATGATCTCTCAGCACCTGAAACTCGTGAAAATGCACTACTGGAGTTAAGGTGAAAATAGTTGTAATTTTTAAGTAATTTACTTTTAGACTATTGCTATATATTTATGTTTATTTGCATATAGGTTTACATATAGTATAAAATTGTCATTAGTCATATTAGGCTACTAAATGGTTTTTTTTTTGCTTTTCCTGTTGAGCCAGGAACAAAGAATATTCTTAAATACTTGTTGAACTAAGTAAGATACTTAAATCCAAATCTGTCCTGAAAGGAAAAAGCCGTGTTCTTTCTGTTTCTGGCTCAAACATGGTGATCTGCGTACTTAGTTTAAAAAAAAAAACTTGTAATCAAATTTTAATAAAATTTATTTGAAATCCACATTATCAGCAAAAAACGAGAAATTGTGCCTGATCTGGCTCCATTGTTGTGGCATTCATTTGGAACAATAGCAGCTCTACTTCAAGAAATCATTCAAATTTATCCTTGTATTTTGCCACCAGTTCTCACGGTATGTAGATAATTAAAGATTTTAGAAATAATTATAACAATTTTGCTCAGTTTAGACATAAGATATTTTTATGTGTTAACATAAAAATTCTTTAAACTTCCAAATAAACTATTATTTGCCATTAAGAATGTAATATTCAATATATACACTTTTAAAGGTAATGTCAGTAATGCATACAGTGTATTTATTTACCAGGCATCCCAGTCCAATAGAGTCTGCAATGCCCTTGCCTTGTTACAATGTGTTGCATCCCATCCTGAAACAAGATCAGTATTTCTTTCAGGTAACTTCAATAATATTCATCAACATGTTCTGGAGTTTCAGTGTCTCTTCTTATTACATACTTTTTACATTATTTTTCAGCCCATATCCCCCTTTTTCTATACCCATTTCTCCATACTGTAAGCAAAACGCGTCCATTTGAATATCTACGTCTTACAAGTCTGGGTGTGATTGGGGCTCTAGTGAAGGTAAACACATTTTGATGGCAAAATTTTAAATGATTTTAAACAATTAAAAATGTAAGTAAATTAAGTGAGTTGTTTTAAGGTGCCTAACATTTGCTTCCTTAAAATAAAAAAAATAACCTTACTTTGTATGTAGTATTTTCTAATACCTTTTATTTTAATTTTAGACTGATGAACAAGAGGTAATAAGTTTCCTTTTGAATACAGAGATTATTCCCTTATGTTTAAGAATAATGGAAGGAGGAAGTGAACTATCAAAGACAGTAAGACATTGACATCTTGTTTCTTTGTATTTAGAGCAAACAAATGTTATTGTTTCATTTTCTGTACATGTTGTAATGAAACTTTCACTTATCACAGGTTGCTACTTTTATTCTTCAAAAAATTCTTCTTGATGAGACAGGTCTATCCTATATTTGTCATACTTATGAAAGATTTTCCCATGTTGCAATGATATTGGTAAGTTGTGATGTGTACATCACAGTGTGATGGAGTCAGATCATTTTACTATTTATATCAGTTGTGTAGTTAGCATCTAATTTATATAATCCCACTTTAAATACAATCTTACTTTTCTTAGGGTAAAATGGTTCTGTCACTTTCTAAAGACCCATCTGCTCGCCTGCTTAAACATGTTGTACGCTGCTACCTTCGTCTTTCTGATAACTCAAGGTAATAATTAAACATTACAAATTTTAATTTTATAGGAAGGTAGTTTATAAGAACTATTTGATATTAAACACTGAAAGATAATTTCCCATTACATTATCAGAGCCCGTGAAGCCTTGCGCCAGTGTCTACCAGATCAACTGAAAGATCTTACTTTTCAAAATTGTCTGAAAGATGACACCACAACAAAACGCTGGTTGGTCCAGCTCCAGCAAAACTTGTCAGAAAATACTACAGAGTCAAGTGTGCCTAGACCAATGTAATTTGTTTTCTAGTTTGATTTGATAGGGCACAATAACAGGAAGCAACTTTTTATTGCTCTCTGTGAAAGTGTTATGTGGTGCCAATTTTAACAGGTTTTGAAATAAGAAAAATGAATTAGTCTTGGATGCCACTAATTTTTTTATTTTTGTGAAGTTAATATATTTTCTTAGGCTAAGCTAAAGTTAAAGTATGTTAATAACATTTACTTTTACATTGTCATATCTTTAATTTTGTTGATTGAAAAGAAGCCTTTCATAAAATGCATTTCCATTTGGATTTAAGATTTAAAAAAAATTGTTTAACAAATGAGGGTATACATGTGTATTATGGTTGTTGATTTTCACTATTACAGTATAGGATGTCACTTTAGCAGTAAACTGTCTGGCTTACTTTTTAGTGGATCATTATAAAATTTAGAGTAACTTGCTGACTTTTATTTTAAAAACAGTCAAAATTCTATTTATTAGTGTGCAGACGTAATACTAAACTGAACATTAGTACAGTAACCAGTGGTTCAATAAGCTAATAAACTTTAAATGTTATTTGTGAACGCTTCCAGTATAAAACTGCAGCACTACCTGTAAGTCAATTGAAACAAAACTTTGTTTTGCCATAAAATTAAACCACTTTTACAAAATATTAGAAAATGTATTAGAAAACCAAATAGAATAGTATGCAAGTGTAATTTTATGCATGTATTATAGTTAATAAAAATGTAAATATCACTTTCATTGTAAATACTAACCACATGGGACGTTTCCATGTGTATAAAATTGGTGTTGTTTTTAACAAAAATTAATTTGAATGCTTTAATTTAAATGCTATTACAGAAAATATGTACTGAGATTGTTTACTTGAGGCTATGATGGTATAAAGGCATTCCATGTGACACATTATTTTGAAGTGTTTAACCTGGGTGCACACATGGTATAAATGCAGTGAATTTACATTTTTAACATTTTGCTTCGTATTTTTGTAACTTTTTCAGGTTACCTTTTGTGTGTTGAAATAAAATGTATATTTTTACATTATTTTGAAAAAGAGGTGAATGATTGTGTCTGTTTTATCAAGGGACTGAATGGTAGGTTCTTTTAACATTATTTGCTGCTTGGTGCTAAGTTTTGTCTTTACTTAAATACTTAAGTCAGCATTAATTCTATTGCTGCAAAGTAGTTGAAAAATTGTCAGTCATCAGTGTTTGTGAGATGTCACCAGATAAGAATAAATTCTAAAATTCCTAATGGTTTGTCTTGTGATAAATTAAACTTTAAAATTCTTGAATTTGGTAACTTACTGGCATTTTAAACTGGATGTGTGTGTAAAAAGATTGGTGAAAATGTATTTATAAAAATTACAATCCGTATTTACTGTAAGGGGCATTTAATGCAGCCGTTTTCAAACAAGGAAGTCTGGACTAGTTTATGGATACAGTGAGGAGTTAACTAACTTAAATAGGTAATGTATTGGATTTGATAAAGGTCTTCAACAGTTTGCACAACTGAACTACAAGTGTCTGCTTAAAACATTGTAGATGTACATGTAACTCAACCAACAGGCATTGTGCTTCATTTAATTAATGCACCATTTAGAAGAAAGTGTTGTTTTTTTTTAGAAAGTAATGACAGTGTGACATCTTTCTGACCACACAGAAACTTGTCTTGCTGAACTATCAGGATCAGGCGAGCTCTACTCTCATTGTTCCAGTGGATTGTTGGAATCTAAAAGTGTTTTTAAAAAATGGAAGATGGAATCCCACAAATATATGCTCAAATTAATTTGTGGACTAATGCCAAGTGAAATTAGAGAAAGAATTAAATTATCTAATTGACAAATTACTGAACAATATTCTCGAAATATGTCATAGTTTAATAATCTTTAACAGTGGAGGAATCAGCATTTGTAATTGTAAAAACATCACATAAAATGATTGGCAGGTGTTTACAACAAATATTTGCGTTAGCCACACTTAAACACAAGGACATGGAATTAAAAAAACATGGAAATAACCAGCATTTTCTTAGGCTATTAAATAAAACTACAAAAGTAAAAATATTTTATACAATCTAAAATTTAGAGTTCTGAGATATATTAATAGAATGTAACAAAGAAAGTTCAGTCTTATGCTTAATAATTTATGGCTTGTTACATAGCATTAGGAGAGTTAACCTGACTTATGTGACAAAATTATTAAAAAAAATAGCTGTTATACTAAAAAAATTTGAATGATATATGTACTATAAAAGTAACCATTAACCATGATCACAAATTTCTGTTTGCTTTTAAATTTCTTTTCTTTTCCCATGTAAAGACTAAAAGGAGTTAACGTTTTACTCACAATTTAGGGCAATAGAATCTTTTAAAATTGAAGACCTTAGTGCTAAAAGTACTTAAGTCACAAAAACAACATTTTGAGAAAAATGAGTTCAAAGATTAAAATTTACTATGAAACATTACGTTTTTATATTATTTGTTTGTTTGGAAGAGAAAATTAAATAAATTCTTCAGTATCACTATTTGTTTATAAGATAAAGTTAAACTAGAGGAATAACGATCAATGCTTGGTTTGATTTTCACAAAAATGTGACTTAAGTACTTTTAGCACTGGGCTCTTCAATTATAATGCCATAATATGCATTTGTGTGTTGCATTCATACTTGATCCTAAGATATTTTAAATTACTTATCTACTTATGGCAGTGGGTGCAGCTTTATAACTGAAGCTACATTTAATACTGACAATTTGATCTTTACATTTTATCTCGATTAAATGAGCTATATACATTTGCATAAAAACATTTATCTAATATTTTCAAAGCTAAAATATGATTGTCAAAAAAACTGTCTTTCTGCAAACATTGTCAATTTCAACACTAACACTATTCCATTGACTTTTGTACAGAGTTTAACTTAAATGTATGAGTTAAATGATCACTGAAGCTTTGACTTAAGACCAGTCAGTTCCTCTGTAACCGTCCAAAGTTTATCAGCAATCTCCATGTTTCGTGACATCGGATTAACATCATTTTCTTCAATTTTACAGTCCACAAAATACTTTCCACTTATGTCCTTAACATCATCCGAAACAGATAAGTAAATACTTGTCTGAGCTCCTTCTTCTCCTGTCTGAAGTAACGTTTAAAAAAAATATTTTCATTAAAAGATTTTTTAAATTATTGAAGTTGACTTTTTAATGATTTGGCAAAGACTTTCAAGATAGCTGGTTGCAATGTAGATCTAATAAAATTACAATAATGTAATGCATTACAGGCTGAATAAGCTTCATTCAATTTTAAACACAAAAAGTAAAGTGAAGAAAATTGACTTTCTTACCTTACAAAATACCCTGATGAAAGTAGCCACAGGTACACGGATGAAGAAATTTAGGTTATCCAGAAGTTTAGTAGCAACACTACCAGGATGTAACACATTTACTGTAACTCCTACAGTACAAAAACAATAACATTGAATGGAGATTAAAGAATCAGTTATCTATAATTTAATTGCTATGCAGAATTATTTGAAATGGGTGCACATTACATTTTGTTTCTTTAGTACAAAAAAATTAATATAACCTTTGCATAAACATAATTAGAATTTTTGATAGAAGGGCTTGATAATTTATATTTAAACTGGCACTAGTTACAAGTGTTCTATTAATACTTCATTAACAGCATTTTATAATTCCATGTAGGTGGCTTAAAGATGAATTGCTTTTACCTGACCCTTCAAGTTTCCTAGCCAAAACTCGTGTAAACATGATAATGGCCAGCTTGCTGTCAAAGTAACGTTCATAGTGCTTGAAAGATTTCTCAGCATTTAAGTTATTAAAGTCTATAGTTCCATACTTATTCACAACTGATGAAAGATTCACTATGCGACTTGGAGCTGATTTTTTCATCAAATCTTTGATAAAAATTAGCATGTTATCAATTGAATTAACTTTAAAATTTAGTTTATAGCTGAAATTTATGGAAATATCGATGAAACATTGTAGCTTTCTAAATTACTTTGTCTGAAGAAAATTTACAACAATTTATGGTGAAACTAAAATAAATTAAGGTGTTCTTTAAAAAAATTCTTAACTATATAAAAAATAAATGTACCTAAGAGCAAATTTGTGAGCAGAAAAGGACCAAAATAGTTAACTGCAAAAATAGTCTCCAGTCCTTCATCTGTGACAGTTTTAGGCTTTCCTTCAGCTAAAACAATGCAAGTAAGGTACAAATATGAAAACTTTTGTATGACAAGATTTACACTATAGAAAGATCTATATATTAGCTACCAAACAAGTATAGTAAAGGTTATAAAGGAAATTTGGTTTTAAAACTTACTAACAACACCAGCATTGTTAACTAGTATATCTAGACGTGGCTCCTCTGTTAGAAACTTTTTAGTGAAATTTCGTATGGATTTCAAACTGCACAAATCCACTTCATAAACAACGACATTCTTGTTTCCGGAGCTAGAAATTATAGAATCTCTGGCCTGTTCACCTTTGTTTAAGTTACGGCATCCTAAAACTACACGGGCATTTCTTTTGGCAAAATCTAAGGCAGTAAAATAGCCAATACCTGTGGGGGGAAAAGAGAGAAAAATTGTTACAAAAAAAACTCTTTAAAAACCAACTTTGCATTTAAATTATATTTGTCAAATTATTTAAATATTTTTAGCCTAATTGTTAGATCTATTTTTTTTTAAAAGCTAGAAAAAGCAAAACTGAGGATTTGCACACCTACCATTATTAGCTCCAGTTACCAAAGCAGTTTTGCCTGTCAAATCTGTTTTGCTTACACACATCGGCACATTTTTACGGAAGTAAAGCCATGCTGAGATTGCTATAACCAATATTACACATATGATGCCAAACACTTGGCCTATATCCAGTAATGCCATTTTCTCTGCAGCTATTGACAGAATGAGAGAGTGGATTCATTATTACAATTTTCATTATTTTTAAAACTAAACCCATTAACACTACCAGACTACCAGTGGTAGTACCACTGAATAAGACATAGATATCTAGATCTAAGTGGAAATAGCCTAGGGTTAGACCGGTTAGATTCTAGAGAGATCTACTTCTAGATAGTAGATATCTAGTTCTAGATCTAGATCTATGTCTAGATCTAGAAATCTAGTTAGTTATAATAACAATGTTATTAAATTAAAGTTACTCAACTTAAGACTAAGTCTAAGAGAGTAAGTTAAGATAGTTAAGAAGTATTAAGAAGAGTTAGATAAATAAAAGATATCTAAGACTTTAATAATAGCGTGTATTTCGAAAATTGAAAATTCGTTATTTTCGGGGGCAAAAGATACCGATCGAAGCGTAATTTTTTACTAAAACTACTTTTTATATTGTGTATGTGTCTAATTAAAGTTTATTTATCATATTTCGATTTTAAAATTTTTGTGTTTATAAAAAATTTGGATTAACCTGCCACCATTATTTTTCCTCTTTCATTAAAAAAAAAAGTGTCTCCGATATCGGTAGTACACAACTTGATGACGTCATACGCGTCAAATTATATTTTCGGACTTTTCGTCATTTTACTATACATTTTTAATGTAGTATTTTATTATGAGTTTGACTTATCAAAATTATATTTACTATACACAACTAAGCCTAATAATAATTAAATACATTATTAGGCATACATTTACTAAAAACTTGAATTACAACCACCCTTTAGACTACAGGGTCTGTAGTAGTAGCAGAATTTAAAAAAAAATAAAAGTAGGCCTATTAGATTTTAACATTTGTGGGATTTCATAACAATACCAGTGTCTGAAATAATGAAAATGTTATAATGTATATAGGCCCTCTTTAATAAAGTTGTTCAGCTGCTTCTTATAGATTATTAATACTAACCTGGCTTGAACACATTATAGTAATTGATCTGATTTAAACTATTGATACTAATTAACTCAACCATTTTCTTTCACTAGGATTATTTATTCATCCTAAATATTTATTATGTACTTTGGTGTCTAATACTAATATATATTCTTATGGCCTATTGACTGCTACTTTCAATATTTGTTGTACTGTGTATTTAATCATGTAATCAAGTCGAGAGGAAAAAACAACTTCCTAAGCTTATTTATATGACTTTGAGGGCCTACTCATTGCAAAGGTTTTTTTTTTTCTAGACATGTAGGCCTATAGTATTAGTATACATGTGTTAATTTGGTGGCACTCTGACAGACCCACCAGTATTTATTTTAAAGTAAAACAAATTTTATAACAAACAAAAAAAATGATAAAAAAGTCTGCTTACTAAATTATATGTATTTATTACATTTAGATGCAATTACATTAATTTCAATTTATTAATGAAAAGCACATAAAACAGGTAATAATGGGTTTAAGGTGTGAGTACAACAAAGTGATTTATATAATAAGTTTTAGTTGATGAAAATTAAAGAATGATCAGGTTGAATGAAAATCATCAGTCAAGAAAAGATACTAAAATCTGCATTAGAAAAAAAAAATCAATTAATTTGATTGTTTACACAATATTGTGAATCAAATTATAACACCATAAGCTAAATATAAAAGCAGAGATAAAAACATGCCGTTACATATTTGCCTAAATGTAATAGCCAATACAATTTTTATAAAATATATTCTATAAAAAATCTTAACTGACAAACTAAGCAACAGTAAAATTATAAATAGTACTTATCTAATTCTTTAAAAACTGTACATCACTATGTAATGTCCATCAGAGTGCTGCAAGCTGAAATACAAAAACGAATTAACTTTCCAAATAAGAAATAGTACTAGTAAGGAAATAAATCAATAATTAATCTTAACTGACAAACTAAAATACTAGATTATAAATATTACTTATCTAATTTTAAAAAAACTGTTCATCATTATGTAATGCCCATCAGAGTGCTGCAAGCAGAAATACAAAAACGAATTAACTTTCCAAATAAGAAATAGTACTAGTAAGGAAATAAATCAATAATTAATCTTAACTGACAAACTAAAATACTAGATTATAAATATTACTTATCTAATTTTAAAAAAACTGTTCATCATTATGTAATGCCCATCAGAGTGCTGCAAGCAGAAATACAAAACAAATTAACTTTCCAAATAAGAAATAGTACTAGTAAGGAAATAAATCAATAATTAATCTTAACTGACAAACTAAAATAGTAGATTATAAATAGTACTTATCTAATTTTAAAAAACTGTACATCATTATGTAATGCCCATCAGAGTGCTGCAAGCAGAAATATAAAAACATATGAACTTTCAAAATAAAAAACTGTATGAGTAATAAATTATAAACATTGCATGCAATTACGAAACTAAAAAAATATATATTGTGATAAAACCTCAACTAGCTGCACCATCAAGCCAAAGAATATTTTTTTAAAATTAGCACACTTTTGAAAAAATACAAATTATATAATATTGTAAAGGCATGGCATATATTGCAATCTTTGCATGTAATTGTAAACATAATAAAAATATTTAACAAAGGAGTAAAGCAAATTTAAAATGAAACAATACTTATTTTTTTTAAATCCAAAATTGTTAAAAATCCTGCTGTTCAAGGTTTAACAGCAGATTAGGATGTGAAGCAGAGATCCCTACTAATCAAGTCAGCTATTAGTGACTCAGCAGATAGGCAAAAGTCCTCAGCTTCATCCTCATCCTGTGCCCAGTAGCTCACAGTGTAGACAGCAGATTTGTTCTTTTTAGCTGGTACTCTGTTAATAATCCTCCCATAATAGCGATGCACTTTCTGATCATCTAGCTCCCACTTGTGAGTCAGCTGGACACCAAGCAGATCTTCACCACCCAAAATTCTTAACAAAAATGGTTTCTGCTTTCTGTCAACACCACGAAATAGAGGATGGTTTACTGAGACATTCGATCGAGACAACACATCATAGATGGACTTTTCAGTCTCTCTGCGCTCCGTAGCCTCCAACTTTTTCTTCATCTGCTTCATTCGAGATAAAATGTCTGAGTCTATTTCATGCTGTAACAGATTGCAGGCTTTCCTTATCAGGGCACCCCTCTGCATCGCGAAGGTCACCAGATTCACCTGCTCTTGCATGGGTTTTTTGTCCAGCCAGTCCATAGTGTGATTTGTGACTGCTTTTAATTTTGAATCCAGAAAACCAACTGACACATTCGGGGTACGCCGAATAAGGAAGTCTGCCATGCCAAGACACCTTTCTGAAAAGATATTGTTGGGTGGTGCAGAGCTGGTGGCAGCCAACATGTCATTACTGGGGCTAGACAGATCTCCAACCAGATATCTGTCCAACTGGCGTACTAGGACAGCCTCTGTAGAAGTTAACAAAGCCTTCATCACCTTCATAAACAATAGCTTATTTTGCACCTTACGAAGAGCAATCAAGGTTTTGTCGACCTCTAGATGCTGACCAAATACATCACAGTCAACTGATAACACATTCCGAGGATTATTCTTCAGTCTGCTAATCTCCTGTTTAGCCTTCTGGAACAAAGGTGCCTATTAAAATATATAAGAAGAAATTTTTTTTTTTTTACATTAAAAAATGGTATGTCAATGTGTGTGTGTATATATTTATCACTATCTCTAGCTCTCTATTTAAATATACATACATAGAATTATTAAGTATTTGAATCAAGTTAACCCTTACAAAACTAAGATTAGACATATTAACTGCATTCTTGTAAATGAGCCTCATCCAAGGTCCGGTGATCAGCTTTCCAATGAGTCCAAGGGCTTGCAGCTCTACCAGAACTTGACTGAGGTTCAGATCCTTCTTCAACCGTGTGCATATGTTGTTATTACCATAGCTATTAAAAAATTTTTTTTTATATAATGACAGCTTAAATAAACAGTTACATAAAACGTAAAGAAATATATATTTAATAATCACCTAGTCACAAAATCCAGTAGTAGTTTTTTATGATGGACGATGACGCTAGCCATGTGGAACATCACATGCAGTCTGTTCCCAACATAGCGGACAAAGGTTCCAGCAGCTACTTTATTCCTTTTCAGGTAGATTTTGAAGGCTGCAGGTTTCCCATGCTGGCTGTATCTAAATGAACAAGATAAAATGGTATTTAATTTTACAATCAATTAATGCTAGAGAAAAAGTAAAAGAAAGGCCATTACAACAAAATAATTACAGGATAATTAAAACTAACTGTTAAATAAAATTAACATACCTGAGCATTGAAACATTCATTATTACACCCACTGCAGCTGCGACACTTTTCCCTGAAGCAGATGTCAACTTTATCTTTCTGTCTAAACTGGCTAGACACTCCCTGGCTTTTGATCCCACTGCGTCTAACGGGTGTATGTTGCAGTTGAGCTGAATCAGCTTCATATCCAACTCATTTTGCAGCATTTCCAACACACATGTGTTCACAGCCGCCCTATCTGTCACACTGCAGGTGCACTTGTCCCTGAACAGGCTGAATGTTTCAATGAATGGCAGGCCAGTGTAGTCGCTGTAGACAGAAGCCACTTCTTTCATGGAAGAAATTATATGGCTAGCGTAATCAATAGCCGTGCCACCAGGAACCCTAGCAGTCGATACAGCCAACTTCTCTCCAGATGGTGCTGTCGAAATTGAAAAAGTGTTAATGTGCTTGTTTCCTTTGGTTGTGGCATCAAAACTAATACAAGCAGATTCACACTTGTGAAGCGCTTCACCCACCTGGATTAAAGCAAGGACTCCTGGCTCGTGTCCCATCCTAGCCACACTAGTGAAATGAGGCATCTTCAGCGTATCTTTCCCAACAGCTTCCGCAATAAATTCTGCAAGCCCGCTGACATTCCTAACAGGGACATTCTTTAATATACTTTTATAAGCAATTTTCCTTACCTTCACTCCATACTTACATGATGGCTCCTCATCATCATTGTGGTTTCCGTCAATGACCCTGTCAAACTCCTCAATCAGTTTGAGATTCTCTGCTTGAAGGATATCATTCTTTGCTGAGATCTTGTCCCTTTCTCCTCTTAAAGCATCTATCTCCTTCAATAATCTGTCATTGTCAGCAATCAGCCTATCCATTTCCCATTTAGCACTATCAATCTTGGCTCTCAATTCTCTGATTACTTGCTGAAGATGTCTAGTCGTTCTCTGAAACCTAACCTGCAATTTAGCATATTTAATATGAGATATTCTCAATAGCTTACCCTTTCCTGCTGTTTCAGCACCAGCCAATACCTGCTTCGACATCTGTTGGTTTTTTTTCTTTTCTGTGAAATATTTTATCTTCCAACACTGGATCTGTGTCTGTTTTCTCTGTAATGATTTTCTTAAGCTTTTAACTTTTACAGCCTCAACTGTTTTAGCATCTTTTCTTAGTTTACTTATAGTGTACTTACATCGAAGTATGGTCTGATTTCTCAGAACACACCTGGCACACTTGCTAGCTCTCAATCTGTATGTGCTGTCAATACTGGTAGCTGTGAACACACCTACATCAGCTGAACTTCCATCTGTCACACAATAGTTGTGTTCCTCCATGCATGCTGAACCTACTACCATATTATCATCACCTGTTATAAAAGAATCATTAGAAATTCCCTCAGCAGATACTGAAGGGCCAGCAATATCCTTACCGCTATCAGCAATCTCATCTTGAACAAAGAATGGATGTGTCAAAAGCTCAACTATTCTATTCCAGTTGCGGGTTGGTGTGCACCTCAGGCGGCTGACTTCTTTCTTCAACCTCTTGACAGCATTATAAACTTTCCTCAAACCTACATCATCACCAACATCAGCCAGATGCTGCTCTAATGCTAACTGTTCACTCAATTTGTTGATGGAGGTATTTTTGTAAACTTGCATCATGTATACCACATATCCATTCAGAAGTGGGACTGATGGTTCTGAAAAAGTCTCAATTAGACCATTTATATTAACAGCTTTCATGCTTTCCATAATTGTTTATTGTTAAAAGCAACTATAAGGTGAAAAATATTAATTATTAAGGTAGGCCTGTATAACTCTAGTTTGTAGCTGTAAGTTAATGAATTATACTAAAATCAACAATTGTCAATTAGTGTGAAAAAATTAGTGAAAAAAGTCTATTACAAATTCAAATAGATCTAGATTTAGAAAATTTAGATCTAGATCTAATTAGTCACTAATTACTAAATAAATAAAAAAAATAGGCTCTAATAAAATCTAATCAATAATTAGGTAAAAAAAAAGATCACTTAACTTATCAGACAACTGTAATTACAATCTAGATCTAGTAATTAATTACTATTAGGGATGGCTGATTGATTTCTCTCTCAGATCGATTTCATTCAAAGAGCTGCTAGACTGAAATTGAAAAAAAAAAGTAGATTCTAGATCTAGATCTAGATTCAATAATACATAGTTATAGATCTAGATCTAGGTTTCACAAATTTATTGATCTAGCCTCTGCCCGCTAGATCTAGATATCTAGAATTCTAGACAGAATCTGGAGTCTAGATAGATCTAGACGATCTTTAGATTATCTTCTTTTCTAGATCTAGAATAGATCTAGATCTACTACTAGTCTTACTCAGCTAGGCCTCTGTTACTGCTATTAGTTTTTTTTTCGTAATATTGTTTTTTTAATGCTATTTTTTAATAAAATTAATAAACATACAATATTTCTAAAATCTTTTTAAAAAAATGGCGGCTACAAAGCTATCGATTCAGACTTTGCAGGTACACTTAAACGACTTGTTGGTGGGAAATAAGCCGTTTTCAGACTTAATAAAAATAAAATTTGCAAGAATCTGTTGAACAACCAAAATTTTAAAAAGAACAAGAATCTAATTCAAATAGAAAAAAAATGATGAAATTACCTCTATTTTTGACAGCAATATTCCGAAGAAAGAAAAACTAAATCAATAAATATCGTCCGCCAAAAATTTTTCCAATATGTCAAGTAAAACCGAAAGGAAGAGAGCGTCAACGAAATGCCGGTTGGAACAAGCCGTTAGTCTATTTTTAGACTCACGCGCGGCGGTGACGGAAGCCTGGGACAAAAAGCGAAAAGGGAAGTCAGCGCCATTTCCAAAATGGTTGCCCTTAGAAATTACGAAGCCGAAATACACGCTATTAATAATTAATTTAATAAAAAAAAAAAAGACTTAGGCTACTTTTAATACTAAATTTAAGTCAATTTAAGATAATCTAGATCTAGAGTATAATAGATCTAGAATCTAGTAGATCTATATTCTTAGAATATTCTATTTCTATTCTAGTGTTACGTTACTGTTTAGTTACTGTTACGTAGGTTAGACTGTTAGTAACAACTACTAAACTAGATCTAAGTCTAGATTCTAGTAAGTAAGTGTTAGTGAGTTAGTCACTGTATGTACTATGTTTGCTTTCCTTTTTTAAGTCGAAACATGCAGGCTTACAGTTACACTAGTCATCGGCAGACTAAGCTCGACATTGGTGATTCAACAGTAGTCAATAGTTACTAGTTAGTCTAACTTTTAAATTAACACTAAAAAAACACTTTTTTGAGACCTTGCCTCCTTCAATTTTATTTTTAGTATTTACTTAGATCTTAATCCAACACATTTAGAGTACTGTCCCCTTTCCATTTACTGAGCTATGTGGGGTCTACCAACAGGTAGGCCTAAAGCCTATTCATTACAAATTAGGCCTAGTGGCCTATTGTAGTTTCGAGACCTTTGCAATTCGACCTTCTTATCTGAAAACACACTACACATACCTATACGTTCAGGAGCACAGCCATAACTAAGCCTGTTCATAATTATTAACAAACCACAAGGGGACTGAAGTTTCTATTAACTCCCCAAAATTGATTTATTCAAAGGCTAGACGTGATTATGTATAATTCTATCTACTAGGCCTACTAATTGAATTAGAGATACAGTATCATCATGGTATGGGTCTATTTTATTATAAACAGTTCCAGTGTCAAGCAGAACGCCGAACAGCCTACAGTAGACCCATAGGCGTAGCGAGGGCGGGGCGGGGGTGCGGACCGTACCAGGTGACACCATTGGGGGGGGGGGGGGGTGACACCAAGCCAAAAAAATGCAAAATGTACAGAAGAAAAATACCTTTTTGCCAGATCCATTAGTGATTAATTTAAGTTAAATAGTCTTTTTAGTACAGATCGACAATTATTACAAGAGGGTGAGGGTGACACCATGACGTAAACCTGCTAACTATAAGGAAAACATTGCTACATCCAACAGTTTTCTTAACAGACTGTATAGACAGCGCCACTATAAATAACGTCACCATGGACTAGGACAACTTAGCATGAGCAAGCAACACACATCGTAGGGTGGGAGCGGAGGGGGGTGGTAATTAAAACCGATGAAAACATGGAAAAATATCATATTTGTATCGACTACAGCATAAGCAGAGCCACACCATCAGATCACACACCGCGTAAAACACCCCACACCATGAGAAACACCCCATACAATTAGAAACACGCCGCGCCATAAGAAACATCCCACACCAATAATAACGCACCACACCATTAGAAACTCCTCACATAAAAAAACCCAAACCATTAGACACACCCCGCAAAATAGAAACACACCACAACACCAAATATATATATATATATATATATATATATATATATATATATATATATATATATATATATATATATATATATATACATACATATATATATATACATATATATATATATATATATATATATATATATATATATATATATATATATATATATATATATATATATATATATATATATATATATATATATATATATATATACTTTGTTTCTTGGGGGGGGGGGGTGACACCACGAAATGCCGCAACGGGTGACAGCCGACATAGCGACGCCACTGTTGTATAAGAAAAGTCGTTACGGCTTTTAATTGTATGATTCTGAAGATAACTCTAATCAACATTTTAAGTTGTTTATCAAAGCAAGCACCGAAAAGAGCAAGAAGTGCTTTTGCTGGCTAAGTTAATGGAAGTCAAGCATTGTTCAGTCACACTGATAACACAATGGTGAAAGTCACATTTCTGAATCCTAATTTATAAAAGGCCATGTGCGCTCTTCTCTCTCTCTCTCTCTTTCTCTGTCCGCAAAAAATTTTCGCCGGACATCACGTCAGAATCGGCAGCGGTATATGGAGAACTTTTTACGGACTTTTGTTGAAAATAATATGTTAGATGTTTTAAATGTATAACCACAATTTTACTTAAAGAAGAAAAATAAAAGTTAAAGGCGTATTCGAATGTAGAGAAACAGTATTATTTATGCAACCGGAAAAGCATTAATATATGTGAAAAAGAACGCATAAAACTGTGACGTCACTATTGCTTATACATTAACTAATGACGTCATCTGCCGTGTTAAGAATGAAAAGAAATGAACTATTTCATTCAAATTTGATTTAGATCTACGTACACTATGAAATGTATACAATACAATTTTTCCGGCCTAAACTCATAAAATTTATTTTATGTATTTGGATTCTAGATCTAGAGATTCTAGATCTAGACTAAATCTAAATCTAAATCTACGCAATAACTAGATCTAGCTAGACGTAGACGCTAAGATCTAGATTTAGACTCTAACTTCTCTAAAATCAATTCCAAAAATAAATTTCTATATTAGGACTAAACTATTTCAAGACTTATTTATTTTATACAAAATCTTTGTTTGGAACTGGCTAATTTGGGATAAAAAATTAATTTGAAAGAATAGGCATATTCGCGTAAGTTAAGATTTTAAAATACGTGTTTCATTCTCCGTATTTTATAAGGTGCCTAAATAGCGGAGATGTTAGTGTACATTAAACCACGCAGATGGTGCGGGTTCGAGACACAGCAAGTCAACTTGGTTAATGTATTCTTTTTTATTATGCTCGGGCTAAACTTAAAAAAAAATTCTTTTAGGAATCTAGATCTAGATCTAGATTGTCGGGTGTCCGATAGGGCACTTCCCGGCGCCGCAGGCGCTTCAAATTTGGCATGATCTTGCCTTGGTGCGACAGAACACGGGGGCCGGTTGGCCGAAAAGTCTACGATGTGGGGGTCAAAACTGACCTCGACTGACCGGTACCTTATATGAGCTATAAATCGAAAAAAAATGTCCACGGAGGAACCTCTTCATAACTCTTGAGGTCGTAGACCGACCTTCGGGCGAATTAATTAAGCATTCAAATTCTCAATGTTTTCGAAAGCCTAAGCGAAGCTGGGCAGCATGCCTAGTGATCAAAATAAAAACGTACGAGTTGATCTCAGATCTCTCTCTCTCTGAAAAATCGGTTTGTATGTTTATGTTTAAAATTAGGTGCTATGTATGTGAGAGAACATGTGTGCGTGTGGGCAGGGAAAGAGTGGTGGGTTGATTTACATGTTGGCAGCAGGAAAGTTAAATAACATATAGGATAAATAAACGACCGTTAAATTACATATGTGATAAATAAACGACCGTTAAATCACATACAGGGGCACTCAGACATAGACTCGTCACATACAGGAGCACTCAGACATAGACCGTTTCATCACATACATGAGCATTCAGACATAGACCGTTAAATCACATACAAGAGCACTCAGACATAGACCGTTAAATCACATACATGAGCACTCAGACATAGACCGTTAAATCACATACATGAGCACTCCGACATAGACCGTTAAATCACATACAGGAGCACTCAGACATAGACAGTTAAATCACATACAGGAGCACTCAGACATAGACTCATCACATACAGGAGCACTCAGACATAGACCGTTAAATCACATACAGGAGCACTCAGACATAGACCGTTTCATCACATACAGGAGCACTCAGACATAGACCGTTTCATCACATACAGGAGCACTCAGACATAGACCGTTAAATCACATACATGAGCACTCCGACATAGACCGTTAAATCACATACAGGAGCACTCAGACATAGACCGTTAAATCACATACATGAGCACTCAGACATAGACTCATCACATACAGGAGCACTCCGACATAGACCGTTAAATCACATACATGAGCACTCAGACATAGACCGTTAAATCACATACATGAGCACTCAGACATAGACCGTTAAAGCACTGAGGGAAGCACCTAACTTCTTCTCTCTACGCTGATCAAATTGAGTAAACGGAGTCCTTAGATGGCCACTTAAACGTCACTATTGCTTATACATTAACTAATGACGTCATCTGCCGTGTTAAGAATGAAAAGAAATGAACTATTTCATTCAAATTTGATTTAGATCTACGTACACTATGAAATGTATACAATACAATTTTTCCGGCCTAAACTCATAAAATTTATTTTATGTATTTGGATTCTAGATCTAGAGATTCTAGATCTAGACTAAATCTAAATCTAAATCTACGCAATAACTAGATCTAGCTAGACGTAGACGCTAAGATCTAGATTTAGACTCTAACTTCTCTAAAATCAATTCCAAAAATAAATTTCTATATTAGGACTAAACTATTTCAAGACTTATTTATTTTATACAAAATCTTTGTTTGGAACTGGCTAATTTGGGATAAAAAATTAATTTGAAAGAATAGGCATATTCGCGTAAGTTAAGATTTTAAAATACGTGTTTCATTCTCCGTATTTTATAAGGTGCCTAAATAGCGGAGATGTTAGTGTACATTAAACCACGCAGATGGTGCGGGTTCGAGACACAGCAAGTCAACTTGGTTAATGTATTCTTTTTTATTATGCTCGGGCTAAACTTAAAAAAAAATTCTTTTAGGAATCTAGATCTAGATCTAGATTGTCGGGTGTCCGATAGGGCACTTCCCGGCGCCGCAGGCGCTTCAAATTTGGCATGATCTTGCCTTGGTGCGACAGAACACGGGGGCCGGTTGGCCGAAAAGTCTATGATGTGGGGGTCAAAACTGACCTCGACTGACCGGTACCTTATATGAGCTATAAATCGAAAAAAAATGTCCACGGAGGAACCTCTTCATAACTCTTGAGGTCGTAGACCGACCTTCGGGCGAATTAATTAAGCATTCAAATTCTCAATGTTTTCGAAAGCCTAAGCGAAGCTGGGCAGCATGCCTAGTGATCAAAATAAAAACGTACGAGTTGATCTCAGATCTCTCTCTCTCTGAAAAATCGGTTTGTATGTTTATGTTTAAAATTAGGTGCTATGTATGTGAGAGAACATGTGTGCGTGTGGGCAGGGAAAGAGTGGTGGGTTGATTTACATGTTGGCAGCAGGAAAGTTAAATAACATATAGGATAAATAAACGACCGTTAAATTACATATGTGATAAATAAACGACCGTTAAATCACATACAGGGGCACTCAGACATAGACTCGTCACATACAGGAGCACTCAGACATAGACCGTTTCATCACATACATGAGCATTCAGACATAGACCGTTAAAACACATACAAGAGCACTCAGACATAGACCGTTAAATCACATACATGAGCACTCAGACATAGACCGTTAAATCACATACATGAGCACTCCGACATAGACCGTTAAATCACATACAGGAGCACTCAGACATAGACAGTTAAATCACATACAGGAGCACTCAGACATAGACTCATCACATACAGGAGCACTCAGACATAGACCGTTAAATCACATACAGGAGCACTCAGACATAGACCGTTTCATCACATACAGGAGCACTCAGACATAGACCGTTTCATCACATACAGGAGCACTCAGACATAGACCGTTAAATCACATACATGAGCACTCCGACATAGACCGTTAAATCACATACAGGAGCACTCAGACATAGACCGTTAAATCACATACATGAGCACTCAGACATAGACT